TCACTCCCTGTCCGGCCGGGGATAGAACTCGTGCCGCAGAGGCTGCCGGTAGCTCCACAGCGGAGACACTGAACCCCTTGTGCCCACGGGGAGGCCCCAGAGAGATGGTTTATGTGCCAAGCACGTCCCAGGACACACGTTCACCAACACGGGGTCACACACTGGCCGTCCGGCCGGCAAGGCTGCTGGGGGCTGCAGAAGCAGGAACTGGCCATAGCGGGAGCCACACACGGGGGGGGCTGCTTGATTCCACCCCCACCACCCCGACTCCCTCTGCTCCGTGTCCAGTTCGCGGCGCTCTGGGATTTGTAGTCCGCGGTGCCCGTGGGGGCAGCAAGAGCACCTGTTCCCGCACCTGCGCCCCTCGGCAGGAGGTGCGACACCTGGAGATGGCGGCCCTCGCCCGCTGGCGCCGGAGACGGACCTTTCCGCCGTGCTCAGCACTGTCCTCGCGCGTGACCGCTCCCCCCGGGCGCCCCTGCAGGCGCCGCATGTGATCTGGTCACGCGGGGAGCTCTGAATGGGAACCGTGTGTTGTGGGGAGGCGTCTTGGTCATCACCACCAGTCCCCAACATCTGGAGTCCACCCTGGCGGTTGCACGGCTTGGCTGCCAAGGAGGGGCCCCGGGGGGCCTTATGTAACCGGGGTGTCGGGGGGGGTTGGGGGGTGGCCTAGATGCCTTCCAGATGCCGAATGCTCGTCCTGCCGTGACTCTTTCTGCAAAATCGGCCGCGTCGTTGTGTGTGTGCGTCTGTGCTGAGGAAGAACAACCTTTCCTGATTTTTACGGAAGCCTCGGGGAGACTTTTGGGGCCCCCCGAAAGCTGGGGGGCGTGTAGGTGCTGCAGAATGAGTGTTGAGGAAGACGACGTCAAGGCCACGGAGAGACACAACGACGGCTCTTTCCTCCGTGTCTGTCTCGAAAACCAGCCCACGGCCCCCTCCCTGCCCCGCAGACGGGGCCCCCCGTCTTCAAGGGGACACTGCCGACCGCCTGATGGGGGCCAGGCCTGCGGGAGGGAAGGGCCAGCAGAGCTGGGGGCCACCGCCTCGGGGGCGCAGCACAAACCCGGCTCCTCCTCCCGCCACCGCCTCCGTGTTGGCTCCCAGCGCGGCCGGCCTCAGGCGCCCACTGGAGGCCCCGGGAAGGACTGGCCGCTGCCCAGCTGTCCTGCTGGACGCCCCTGCTGCCCGAGGCTCGCCGTGCGGGCGTCCAGCTGGCTCTGAAAGACCCTCCGTCCCCGGAGCGGCCTCAGCGGCGGATCCACAGCCCAGGAATTTTCCACTCGGCCTGTTGTGAGCGCGCGACACTAAAAATGTGTGTTTTTAACACATTTATCCCCGTTTGCATCGCCTGGGCCGCGCGTAGGGGGACATTGGGGATCCGACCTCAAAGCGTTGCCTGCGCGTCTGGGTTTCCCTTGAGGCTGCACCCCCTGATTTCTGCTTTTCCTGGGGGTAGTGACGAGATGGGGGGACAAAGCAAGGCCCCAGCTCGGTGGAGACGGCGCCCCAAATTGTCACGTTTCCGTCTCCGTGTTCCAGCGGTCAGCCGCGTGCCTGTCAAGGCACCCCCTGATATTTTGCAGACTGCACCCCAAAGAGCTCAGATGCCAAGAACTGCCACTGTGGGCCTCCCTGGGGGTGCCAGGGGCTGGGCACAGACCTCTGAGGGCATCTGCAGCCTCTGCCGCCGGAGCTTGATCCCCGGCCCGGGAGCCGACCCACAGGGCGAGGCAGACGTCTCCTGCCCCCCCTGCACCCCTCAGCGGTGGATTTCTGCTCCCCACTCTGTGTCTGGGCCGTCCTCTCACCTGGGCTGCACCCCGGCTCTTGGAGCATCGGTAAATAAATCTTAAAATAAAAACAAGAGCCACCATGCCCGGCACGCCGTGATCCCGCCCACCCGAGGGCCCTGCGGGGATTGGGGCGCAGCGGGCAGCCTTGAGTGTCTGACAAGTGACCCCCCTATGCGCTTCCTCTTGTGTTTTGGGCTCCGAATTGCACCCCGGAATCGCTAGGACCCTCCTCGCCCCTCCCCAAGCTTCGCAGAAGGCGCCTCAGGCGCGCGGCCAGCTGCCGGGTCTCCGTGGCCGTGCGGGGCGGCGGCTCGGGTGGGCCCGGCGGGGGGATTCCGGAGCTCGTGTGGCGGGAAACGCTGTCCCCGCGCCCCGCGCAGCCGTTCCATTCAAAACATGAAACCTCGAACGCCAAGAGCCCTCGCTTTTAGTTTTTTTTTCCCTTCTCTCGGCATGCGGACGTCCAGATCCTCTTCGAGGCCGCACACCCTCACAGTCGGGGGCCCCGGGGTCCCTCGGAGGTGCGTCCACACCGTTCGGCTCCGGGACAGGGAAACGCGGGAAGTGGGGGCTCCTGCCCCCCGCGGAGGCGGCCCCGAGAGACTCACTGGATGTTCTCGTGTCGGGTTCCGGTCCGGTCCGGGTCACCCGATCCCAGGCCGGGCCCCGCGGGGGGAGAGATGCTCCCCACATCGTCCCTGCGGTTTGTGCTGACTCCCCCCGAGGCTGCTGGAAAGGGAGTGTTCCCGCCGCTGGACTCATCTTTTATTCATTCACCCACTTAATCTGCTCCCTCCGGGCTCCGCGCGCAGGAACGGTCTCCGCTGGGCTTGGTGAAAGCAGCGCCGAGCTACGAAGCGGGGCCAGAAACGCGGCTTTTCTATCTCCCGCTTGCAAGACTGGCACTTTTTTGCGGGGGCTTCCCTGGGGGTGCCAGGGTGAAGGCTCGGCCACTGCGGCCTGAGGTCGAGGCCCGGCCGGCCAGGGAGTGACCCGCAGGGCGCGGCAGACCCTCCTGCCTCCCCGCTGCTCCCCTCGGCAGTGGACCCGCCTGTTCTGCCCCCCACTCTGTCTCTGGGGAGTCCCCCCAGCCACCCCCTCCCACCTCTGGCCTGCACCAGTGGCCGGAGCTCCGGTCAACCCCGGCGGGGCGGCCCCGGGGATGCCGCCTCTCGGCGCAGAAGCTGCAGCGTCATTCTGCACAGCCCTGCGGCCCACGGCGGGAATTCACTGCCCCCCGCTGTGGAAACCACCCGCGGGGCGTCCCGCGGAGCTGCCCGTGCGCCCCAGAAGCTGGGAAGGAGAGGGACGCGGCCTCAGCCCGGTGACCGCTGGCTGGAGGCGCCTCTGCGTGTGCAAGTCGAGCGCAGTTGCAGCTCTGGGCCGTGCCGTCCCGGCCCTGCACCTCCGTGGGGCCCCCGCGGGGCCGGGCCTGCGTCCGGCCGGGGACCGTGGCTCCGAGGTGCCCGCGTCTGCGCTGGCCGCGCTCCAGGCCTCAGGCAGACGCTGCTCAGAGCCGGCCGGAGACTCGGAGCCTCTCAGACGCAGACAGAAGCACAAGCCGCTCTGCGGTTCCGGACACCCCCGTGGCCCCGCTGGCTGCAAGCCTGGTCTGGGGCGGCTCTGCCTCGGGCTGAGGACACAGGGCCAAGGTCTCGCGGGCCCCCCACCCCCCCAGGATGCCCGTCTACGCGGCAGGCGGGGAAACAACAGGGCTCACGTTTCTGCAGGAAACACCACGGGCCCTCATCCGAGAGAAAAAATCACAACAGCCTCAAGACATGGGCGAGGAGCCCCCCAGGATGCTCAGAACAGGCCCCCCAAGATGCCCAGAACAGACCCCTCGGACGCTCAGAGCAGGCCCCCCATCTCCTCAGGAAAAGCCCCCCAAACTCCATCTGACCGTCACCCCATGAGCCTGTCCTCACCCTCCCCGGCCTGGGGACCAGCCCCTCACCGCCCTGCGGAAGGCCCAACTCTGACGGCCAAGCAGCCCCCGCACTGCTCCCCAAAGCTCCCTTCTGGGCACCTTGCTTGCGTGCGCCGAGGCATAAATGATCACGCCTGCTCCTGGCAAGGCAGGTGGCGGCCAAAGTCCAGGGAATTAACTTCCCAGAACTGAACGCAACGCAGGGGCGGGGTTGGGGGACCCCACGGGGTCCAGCGGCGTCATGTGGGGGTTCAGGCCTTGGCTCCCCTGCCGGTCAGGTCCCTCCCTGGACGCAGCCTCCCGGCCCCGCGTGTCCATCTGCACTGTGGCTCCCCGGAGATGCCCGGCGGCATTGAGGTCCGGTGCCAGCGGCTCCCCCATGGACTGTACCGGCTGGAAAGGGGGGGCTCTGAGGCCCAACGGTTGTGGGGTTTTATTTGGGTTTGTATTTGGGGCCCAGGAGTTCACCCCAAAATGTCCCACGGGGTCTTCACGCATCCGAGACCGACTCTGGAAAGGCTTGTCTGTGGGAGCGGAAGGGACACCCTCAGGCATTTGGGGGTGACCGTGGGGATTTGGGGTCGTTGCTGATGGGACCCCAGCAGGGAGCCTTCCGGCACAGCCAGGGGCAGCAGAGCTGGACATTGTAGGCAAAGGGCACCACTGCCCCGCGCTGCAGACGGCCCAGCTGGACACTTTCCTCGGAAGATGACACAAAGGCCCAGGAGGTGCCCACGAGGGCGCTTTGGGTTCTGACCTGCGCCTCCTTCGGGGCGCACGGGGCGGGCCAGCGCCGTTAGCAGTGGGGACGCGGCCATGACTCACTTTGCTGCCCTTTGGGGTGTCTCTGGCAGCCAGGGCGCTGTGGCAGGGAACCGGAGGGGGCCGGGCAGACTTTGGGGGGCGCACATTTTCCCGGAGGAGGGGGTAGGCGGAGGGGGCGCGCGGAGAGCCCCAGCAGGAGCAGGAGGGGGCGTCCCTGGCGCGCCCCGGGCCGCCCTGGGCCAGTGTCCTGCGACCCTCGCCGGGGTCCGAGGCGCCCGGGGGGGGGGTCCCGAGCTCGGGAAGGCGCCGCGCAAAGCGCCGGGACCCGCATTTCCGACGAGGGAGGGTTGTTTTCCACCGCCCCCCTCCGCGCCGCCGGCGCCCGCCCAGCTCGGGACGGCGGGTGGGGGCGGCCCGGGGCGGCCCGGGGCGGGGCGGCCGCGCCCCGAGTCCCGCCCGCGCGCCCGGGAGGGGCCGGCCCGCGCCTCCCGCCGCACTCGGGCCGCTCCTGCGCGCGGAGCCATGTCGCGCCGGGTGGCCGTGGCGCTGCTGCTGCTCGGCCTGCTGGGCTGGGCGCGGCCGGACCAGGGTGAGCGGCGCGCGGGGGCCGGGGGCGCGGGGCGCGTGGCCCCGGGGCTCGGGCTGCTGTGCGCTCGGCGGGGCGCGCGGCGCTGGGGGAGGCCAACGCCCCAACTTTGTCTCCGGCGACTTTGGACTCGCGCGCCGCGCGCGAAACTCGGGCTCCTGGCGGGACCGGGCGGGGGCGCGCGTCCCGGGCCGCCGAGGGGGGTGCGCGCCGCGTGGGCGTCCCGGCCGCCGCGCGGGGCCCCCCGATCCCCCGCGCCTTTGTGAGCGAGGAGCGCGCGGCCGTCCCGGCGGCTCCGGGGCCGGGTTTGGAGACGGCGCCGGGCGGGGTGGGGCGCGCGCAGGGCCCGCGGGGGAGGGGCGGCTCGGCCGGGCGGTGGGGGCGCAGACTGGGGAACCAGAGCGTGCCCGGCGCCCCGCGCCCCGCGCCCCGCGCCCTGGGGCCTCTGTCTTTCTCCCGAGAGAGGGAGCCTGGAGTCCGGGGCCCGCCCTGGAATGCGAACGGGACCGCGGGGCGGGGCGCTGCCCCTTCTCCAGGGGCGCGAGAGTCGCTGGAAAGTGGGGCCCGGCCGCGCCGGGGTTGGGGGCTCCGCTGGGCCGCGGGTACGAGCTGGCGACCGCCCGGAGGGGGCCGCACCCCGCTTGGGCTTCCGGCGGCTTCTGGTGCCTGCGGCCCACGCGCTGCATCTGGGTCCGGGCGCCGCGCCCTTGGCCTGCAGCTCCCCGCGGGGAGCTCGGAGCTCGCGGCTCGCAGGTCGGGTGAAGCCCGTGCCGGGCCCCCCGCGCCCCGTGGCAAGGGGAGGCCCCGAAGGCGGCTTGGCGGGGCGCGCTGGGGCTTCAGGGCGCAGATGGAGCCCCGGGGTGACTTCCAGCCCCGCCCCTGGGGTTGCTGCGGGGCGGGGCGGGCTGCTCGGGGCCGCCCGCGGGGGTTGCAATGCGCCCCGGGCCCCCGCGCGCCGAGCGCTCAGTTGCGCAGCTGGCGAGCCGCGCTGGGGCCTGCGCCCCGGGGTGCTGCAGGGGGCGGCTCCCCAGCGCCGGCGCGCCCGGGCGGGTCAGAAACCGGTTTCTGTCTCTGAGCTTCCCAGAGGCCGGGCGCGCTGTTGGAGCAGCGGTCGTGTCTGCTTGCGGCCCCCTGCGCCCCCGAGACACGTGCTCCCCAAAGCCATGCGCCCCTTCTTCTGTTACTGTGTGCGTGGAGGGGGGCAGAGAATGGCTCCCCAAGAATCTAGCAAGTATGCGGGACAGAGACACCCCCCCAGCGTGGCTCTGAGGCTCCCTGGGGTGGGGTTGCCCAGCGCTGTAGGGTAGGGGGGACTCCCCCCTCTCAGGAACCGGAGATCTGGGGTTCCCCGTCAGCCAGGCTGAATTAAAATGTCTGGGCAGCAACCAACGTATTTTGCCATTTTTTTAAAAACCCGCATTGGCGTTAGCTCAGGGCGAGTTGGGGTGCGGGATGGGGGCCAGGGAGGCCAGGCTGCACCCCAAAACAGCAGACAGTGCGAGGGTTTTTTAGACCCTGGTGACCCTCCCGTGTCCCCACCGATGTTCTGGGCTTGGCAGAGCTGGGGTTGTCCCCGCAAATGAGGGTTTATCAGGAGGGTGAGCTCAGGCCTCGCTGTTCCCTAAGGTCCGCTTACTCGCAATTGATTCCTCTTCCCCGGCGGGGACGCGTCTGCCTGGCCTGTCCGCGTCCCTCCTGGCCTCTGTGCCCAGCCTGGCCCTTGCTCCGGCCTTCTTCACGCACTCGGGGGCTCCTGTGGGGTGCACGGGTCAGACAAGGAGCGGGTGTCCCCGGCTGTGGGTGTGTGGGGCGCTCCTGCCGGGCACACTGGCAAGGGCCTGCGGGCACTTTGGGGTCCCAACTGGGGAGGGGCATCCTGGTGATATCCGGCAGTGGAGGCCAGGGAGGCTGCCCCCCTCCTGCCCGGGCACAGGACTTCTGCCCAGTGTCCAGCTCAAGTGGACAGCAGTGCTGAGATGGACACTGTGCTTGGCATGGCGGCTGCTTCCTGGCTTGGTCCTCCCTTCTGCTATTCCTCCCTCTCTCCCACCCTCCAGCACCCCCACTTCCTCCCAGCATCTCCCCATCTGTCCACTACCCACTCACCCACCCATCCATACACCCATCATCCATCCATCATCCATCCATCATCCATCCATCCTCCATCCATCCTCCATCATCCATCCATCCTCCATCCTCCATCCATCCTCCATCCATCCATCATCCATCATCCACCATCATCCATCCATCATCCATCATCCATCATCCATCATCCATCCATCCTCCATCCCCCATCATCCATCATCCATCCTCCATCCATCCATCATCCATGATCATCCACCCATCACCCATTCATCATCCACCCATCATCCATCCATCATCCATCCATCCATCATCCATCCATCCATCATCCATCCATCCATCCATCCATCCATCCATCCATCCTCCATCATCCTCCATCCATCCTCCATCCATCCATCCTCCATCCATCCATCCTCCATCCATCCATCCATCCATCCATCCATCCATCCATCCATCCTCCATCATCCTCCATCCATCCTCCATCCATCCATCATCCATCCATCCATCCATCCATCCATCATCCATCATCATCCATCCATCATCCATCCATCATCCATCTATCATCCATCATCCACCCACCCAACCACCCATCATCCACCCACCCACCCACCCAACCACCCATCATCCACCCACCCACCCACCCAACCACCCATCATCCATCCATCCACCCACCCAACCACCCAATCTGCCCATTCAGTGGTTAGCGACCAGGGACGAGTCCTTCCAGGGACCCCTGGCAGAGTCTGGACACATGTGTTTGTCATAGAGCAGGGCGTGTGCCCCTGGCCCTGATAGGTGGAGACCAGGAAGCCGGCTCATCCTTCCTCAGTGCACAGGATGCCCCCATGGGGGTGCCCCACGTGCTGGGGGTGCAGACAGGAGACGCCCTAGCATGACTCAGTGCTTCCGCAGTCAGCTGACTCCTTCCCCTACAGCGCGGTCAGCGGCCGATGGGCCAGAGTGGGCCCGGTGGGCACGCAGCACACGCCAGCGCTGTCCTGTTGTGGGCAGCTCTGGCCATCTGAGCAGTAGAGGCCTGAACTCTTTGGAAAGTCAGGGTCCCCCTCCCCACATGTCCTGGACTCCCTGCCCTGGGTGTGGGCTCTGATTTCCCCGCCCAGGGGTGCTCCGTGGAATCTTCTTTCCTCTGTGGCCTGCAGGTTGGGTGTGATCAAGGCGTCTTGCCTGTCTTTCCTTCTCCTTCCTGAGACCTGGGTGTTTCCACACGTCTTGTTTTTGCATGTCGGGCTATTTAAGCCGCTGTATATCTTGGGGGACAGCACACCAGGGTCCCCCGTTTTCTTCTCGAGACGATTTGTTTGCTGTTGTTCAGGACAGTTGCACCTGCGCCGAGCGTTTCAGCCACTTGGACGGTTAGGGAGGGCCCGAGGCGGGATTTCCTGGGCGGTGTCTGGAATTTTTTCCAGCTCATGCTTCCCCCAGGGGACCGACCCCACCTCTCAGGCTCACACTCTCCGTTCCGGCTTGGGGCGAGAGTCCGTGTCGCCCTCTGACTTATAGACGGGGTGGAAGTGAGGCGGGGTGTGTCTTAGGGAGCTGGGATCCTTCAGGCCTCCCTGTCAAGGGAATTTGTGGGGAGCACTCTGGGATGCCCGCCCTGTGGGGAGCCAAGACTCCTGGGCACAGTCCGGACTCTCCGGCGAGTCCCCGTAGGCCCCGGTGTCCATCCAAGGTGGCCCCACGGCCACTCCTCTCTGACCCTCCACCCAGGGCCTTAGGGTGATGGAACCCCAAGGCCCGTTACCTCAGTATCATCTCCAGAACTAGGGGGTTTTCTGTGTCTCCCACAACAACAGCTCCTGAGACACCAACAAGCACTCCCAGGAAGCCGGCCGCGTGCTCGTGCGTGACGGAGCAGGAATCAGTCGGGGACGGGGAAGGTGTTGGAGGGAAGCAGCCTTCGAAAAGGAAGCCTGTCCTGTCCCCTCCCAAGCCAGGGAGCTGGACGCAGATGGCCGCAGGGGAGCTCTGTTGGGTGGAGAAGCAGAAATGGTGGATGGGGAGGGAGAGGGAAGCGTCTCTTCCTCGTTCTCAAGTCCCCAGCCCCCTACAAAACAGAGACCCATGTCCACCCCCGCCGGACACCAAATGTCCAGTTCTGCTGGGCTCCTCGGAGCGAGTTGCCGGCCGTGTGGGAGACGCCAATGCTTGTGGCCACCATCTTGGTGGCGAAGGCCCAGGGAGTGCTGGTCGACCTCCGCATGTTGTATGTCCACGTGTTACTTTCATTCTGGTAATTTTCAGCCCCGGCGCCCTGTTATCTCCTTGATCCCTTTCTCCCACCCACTCCCACGCAGGGACAGAGCCCTGTGTCCACTAGTTTTTTTGGCATGAGAGAGCTGGGGTGCAGGTCAGAGGTGTGGGGGTGAGAGGACTCCCCAGAGACACCGTGGGAAGCAGAACAGGTGGATCCGCTGAAATCCACAGGGCTGCTGTGCCCTGTGGGTCAGCTCCCTGGCTGGCCAGGATGCATCTCAGGCCATGCAGCGACAGCCCGAGACTGACCCTCAGGCCACCAGGGAGGGCCTGGTGTCCAGGAGCCTTGATCGGCGTCCTGCGCTGTTGACCTGCCTGCTCTATAAACCCCCAGTGTTTGTGTCTGTCCCTCTGGCTTCCTCTGCTTGTATCCAGTCCGCAGGGCCTCCCATTGGGACATAAGTGGGCACCATTCCCTTCCGTGGGACTGACCGGTCACCCCCTCCTTGGCCCCACCCCGTCCGTGGCCACTGAGCGGGTTTCCAGGGCCCGGCGTGGAGACGGACATTGCGGGCGGCCTCTGAGCAGCTGCTGTCAGCTTCTCGGCCTGCACGCCCTCGTGTGCTCTAGCTCTGGGGGGTTGGGGGGTGGAGGTAGCCACTCCCCGGAGTCCCCACGTCTGTTTGCTTAGTGCACGCACTCTCACACCCCCAGCCAGCCGGGGACACCCCGTTCCCCACTGTCTGGGTGTGAGCGCCCGCGTGCTGTGACAGGCCCCCCGTCTGGGTGTGGCCCTGCCGCAGGGTGACTCACCGCGGTCTCCTTACTCTGCTTTTGAAAAACCGTCCTCAGCAGGAAACCGGACACTTCCTTCCCTTTTTACTCCTCCGAGCTGGGTGGAAACCTCACAGCTGCCCGCCCAGCTGCCCTGGCGGGGCGCCGAGCCCGTACCCAGGGTCTGTCCCCGCCAGGCCCGGCCCCTGTCCGCGGCCCCGCGGCCCCCACCTTGGGGATCTGGCACCGCCCCTGGGCCCTGACGCTGGCCTCCTGCTGGACGGCCCGGCCGTTCCCGAGTGGTGCCGGCTGCTGGCCTGGCGTTCCCGGGAGGTGACTCACCCCAACCACGTGGCCCGAGGAGTGTGGAATCCGGCCCGCGGGGAGAGGCGGCTGCGGCTCTTGGCGGACACAGAGTAAGAGGCTGTGTTTGCTGGGGCCTGGCCTGCGGGAAGATGGTTTTGTCAGCATGGTAGGGAGGCCTCTGCTGCTAGCGGTCCCCAGTGGGGCGCGGGGTCCATGAGGTCCATCCTGGAGAGGAGGGCACCCACAGAGGAGCACCCCGGGGAGAGCACAGCAGGCTGGGGAGAGGACAGGCTGGCTGGGCCTCGGGGTGACTGAGCTGGGTGCAAGGAGCCCACTGCAGGGACCTCGGATGAGGTGCTGCCAGGGAGGGTGAGGACAGCGACATGGGTGCAGGACTCAGGGGAGGACCAGTGGTCCGACTGATAGTGGGATGATGGTGAGGATGGGTGATGGGTGGTGGGTGGGGAATGGATGGATGATGGGTGGATTATTGATGGAGGATGGATGGAGGATGGTAGATGAGTGGAGGATGGATGGATGGATGGTGGATGATGCATGATGGATGGCTTATTGATGGGTGATGGATTATTGATGGGTGATGGATGGATGAAGGATAGATTATTGATGCATGATGGGATTATTGATGCATGATGGATGGCTTATTGATGGATTATGGATTATTGATGGGTGATGGATGGATGATGGATGGATTATTCATGGATGATTGATGGAGGATGGACGGAGGATGCATGGATGATGGATCAATTATTGATGCGTGATGGATGGATGGTGGATGGATTATTGATGGAGGATGGATGGATGATGGTAGATGAGTGGATGATGGATGGATGGATGGTGGATGATGCATGATGGATGGCTTATTGATGGATGATGGATTATTGATGGGTGATGGACGAATGATAGATGGATGATGGATTATTGATGGATGATGGATGGACGATGGAAGATGGATGGATGAAGGATAGATTATTGATGCATGATGGGATTATTGATGCATGATGGATGGATGAAGGATAGATTATTGATGCATGATGGGATTATTGATGCATGATGGATGGATGATGGATAGATCATTGATGCGTGATGGATGGATGGTGGATGGATTATTGATGGAGGATGGATGGATAATGGTAGATGAGTAGATGATGGCTGGATGATGGATGGCTTGGTGATGGATTATGGATTATTGATGGATGATGGATGGATGATGGATGCATGATTGATGGATGATGGATGGATGGTGGATGGATGATGGATGGTGGATGGATGGACGGATGCTGGGTGGGTGCATGGATTGGCAGATAGACACAAATCTATGCCTACCAGATAGGCCTATAATATACTGCCTACCTGATAAATGACACATAGCAGACAAATATTCAATGGATTGATAAATAAACATATAATAAATAAGCTGGGTAGCCGCATAGGAAAGACGGTGGCTGGAGCTAGAAGACAGAAGCGTGTGGGTGACAGACACATGGGTAGGGAGATGGGTGAGCTCTAGGGGGGGACAGAGCAGCAGCTCCCTGAGTGGCTTCCAGCCGGAGGTGAACATCCCCTCAGCTCCACCCCAGACACCCGCCCCTCACCCCTGCTACCCGCCCCTCACCCCTCCTATCACCACCTTCACCGCAATCTCTGCATTCTCTGCATATCTCTGATAAGGAGCTGACTCACCCTGGGGAACTACCCGGGGCAGGGAAAGACAGAGATTAGCCTCTGGGGGGCTGCAGGTTGCGTCTTCTGCCCCGCTGTGGGACAGGGGGTTCTGTGTCCACCTGCTGGAAATGGGGGCCTCTCTCCTGAGGACCCCAAGTCTCTCTCCAGGTCAGCCCTCCGATAGGCAACTACTGATGTCATAGACGTGGTCCATCTGATTGCACCCACGGGGTCTCACACGCCCCCTAGCTGGAGTTTCTTAAATTTTTCCTGGGCCCTGGATCTCCTCCTTCCTTCTTACCTTTTGTGATAGAACCATTGGCCCAGATTTTCAAACCGGAGTTTCCAGTCACTGCTGCCAACTCCTTCCTCCCACATCCAATCCAGCAAACCTGTCCACTCCATCTGGGGGCCTCTCTCCTGAGGACCCCGGGGGGCTCTCCAGGTCAGGCCTGTCACAGACAAGGTCAATCTGATTTCAGTGTCTCACACGCCCCCTACCTGCAGTTTCTTAAATTTTTCCTGGGCCCTGGATCTCCTCCTTCCTTCTTACCTTTTGTGATAGAACCATTGGCCCAGATTTTCAAACCAGAGCTTCCAGTCACTGCTGCCCTCTCCTCCCTCCCACATCTGACCTGTGCACCCACGTTCCACCAGCACCCCCCTCTCCCCTCAAACACAGGAAGCCTGATGGAGGGGGCCCTGGTCAGGCCGGCGGAGCAGCTTGGGCAAACAGAAGCCAAGGTGTGAGCATGATGGCCCGTGCGGAGCTGCAGTGGGCCAGGTGGGAGCACCCTTCGGAGGCAGGTGTCGTAACGATGGAGAGGGCTGGAGAGGAAAATGCTTTCCGTCTCTCCGAGGGGCTCCCAAGAGGAGGTGCCCTTGTCCGGGGTTTTGAGGCATGAATAGGAGTTTTCCCGGCGTGGCCAGAAGGGCCTTTGTGGCTGAGCTGAGGCTCGGAACAAAGGTCAAGGAGCCTGAAAACTCCTCCCAGGAGTTCCTGTGGCCACTGCAGGTGCCCGAGGGACCCCAGGGGTGGACCTTTCACCCGGGAACGCTCCCCTTAGGTTTTTGTTTCCTCGGCCCTGTCCCGCCTCAGCACTTGCCAGCTGCAGATTTGCCTACTTGGGCAATAATTTGATTTGAAGCCCTAAAGGGACGCGGTGCTTTCCGGTTGCCAAAATCCATAACAAATTTGAGTCACTCACCAGTAGGGTCCGGGCTGAGGCCGGAGGAGGCCCGTCTTCACCGCCTGCGTCAACAGAGCAGCCGCCCGAGGGAGGGGTGGGCAGGCAGTGACTCACCCTGTCCTTTGTGCCCTGAGCCACCCTGCCTGCCCTGACCTCTGCTCCGCACTGTCCCCGCCTTCCCAGGCAGGGGCGCTGGCCCTGGGCAGCCTCCTTCCCTGTCCATGCGTCCCTGCGCGCTCGGGCTGCGGCCATTGCGGGGTTTCCCCAGAGCCCCCGCCCCTCGCCTGATAGCAGTGGCCTCCAGCTGGCCAGGAGGGCGCGGGCTGCCTGACCATGGCCTTGGCTGGGGGCCTGGGGCTTCCCCTGGGCGGAGGCCCCGCGCGCAAAGGGGTTGCTGCCCTGCGCGCAAAGGGGTTGCTGCCCTGCGCGCACGCGCCGGGGCGGTTATGCCAGCGCAGGATGCTCGCGGGACCCCAGGCTGGCTTTTTAGAGCACCGAGGGCCTCCCCCGGCCCCCCAGCTTCCACCGTTCTGAGCTTGGGGGTGTTCCCAGGTGGAGCGCGCCTGAATTTTGGAGTCATCTGGAGCGCAAATGGCGAGGGAGGGGCCGTGTTTCCAAGAAGGAGGCTCCCAAAGGCGGAAGCCGGGGTGAAGCTATAGCAGCTGCAAGTTTGGGGGTGTCGCGTGGTTCCCTCGTCCGCGGACGTTTTGGGGGGGTTGCCCAGACGCCTGGCAGGGGCAGGATGGGGGGAGCCCGAGGGGCGCAGTCTCCCTTTCCCTGATGTGCGCCCTCAGCCCTGCCTGGACCCCGGAGCCCGCCTGCCAGTGGGCGGGGGCGTGTTGGGGCGCAGATGGTGAACCCGTGATGCTGCAGCAGGGGATGCAAGGAGAGCGGGTGCACCTGGCAGCCTGGGGTCTGCTGTGCCTGGGTGCTTGTGCTCGGTCTTGGGGGTCAGTGGGGGGACTGAGGTAGGGTGGGTGGGAGCGGGATGTCTTCTGGGGAGACTGGTTTCCATGAGGCGGCCAGGTGGGCCAAGCGCGGGGTCATGGGGGGACAGGGGAGTAAGCAGGGCGGGGTGTTATTAAGCAGTCAGGTGCACATGCACACCTGGGCCTGCACACCTGTGCACACTGTCCTGTACATGGCTGTGCACAGCTGTCCTGCACACAGGTAACACACCTGGGCGTGCACACCTGCCTGCCCACCTGCCCCGCACACCTGTGTTTGCTGGCGCAGCCCCCAGCCCAGGACCGTGGTGGGGGGGTCCCCATGCGCCCATGTCCTCCCGCCCGCCCTGACTGGCTGTTTCTCCCCCAGGTGACGACCTGAGCTTGTGGGACGCCCTCGACGGTGAGTGGCCTTCGTGCCTGGTCCAGCGCGGGCTGCTGGTGCCCGGCCCGCCGGGGTACCTGGCGCACTTCCTTGGGCTCCCGGCGCGGTGGGGGGCGGGGGTCCCGCGTCTCTGGCCCTGGAGACCTCAGCGCGCTGAGCTCGGGGCCCGGCGATGGGGCAGAGTCGGGTTCCCACGGGCTGAGTCGGGGTCCCTCGGGCGAGGGCTGCGCGCCAGAGGCGGGAGAGGTGTGGCCGTGGGTGGGCGCTGCCCCGCGAGCCGCAGGTGGCCATGCACCCCGGACTCTCCGCGTCCTGGGGACCGGCGCGCGCAGGGTCACCCACCTGGTGACCGCCCCGGGGCTCAGCAGTGCCCCCCACGCACCCCGCGCCGTGGGGACGCGCTCCCCGGCCTTGGAGGAGTCGGGGCGCCCCGGGGCCGTCTCGCGGACACACGAGGGGTCAGTGGCTGCAATGTGTCCTCTTTCCAGACAGCGACAAGAAGCCCACGGCCGCGCCCAAGAAGCCCAGCGCAGGTGAGAGGCCGCCGGCCCTGCGCGCCCGGGGTTGGGGGCGGTCTGGGGCCCTGCTGGGACTTTGGAAACGCGGGGCGCGCGTCGGGGAGGGGCCCCGGGCAGGCGCGGGGGGAGGGCGCCGCGGTGGTCACTCGCCCGGCCTGGCCCGGCCCGGGACACGCGCAGGCTCAGGCCCCGCGAGGGCGAGAACGACCCTGTGCGCGCGCGGGTTGGGGTGAAGGTGCCATTCGGGGGGTCCCTGTTTGGGTCCATCTGCGTGAGGCCCTTTGTGGCAGCCGAACCCCGAGATGAAGCCCCAAATCTGTTGTCCACTGTGGCCACTGGCGTGGACAGGGCGGTTCTGTAGTTATCGAAACGTGTTTATAAAATGACGTCGCTTGGATGAATGGTTCGTAAATACATGAGCGCGCACTTAAAAAATCATGGTTGGGTGATATTTGCAGAGATTTATAATCTCTCCTCCTATATTTTAAAATATAATATATGTTATTAAGTGCATTTATTAACATTAATATTTATTAACATTTAATATTTATTGATATTTAATATTTATTGATATTCGATATTTATTAACGTTAATCTTCATCAGATATATTTGATAATATTTATTAATATTAATATTAAGCATATTTGTTAATATTTCATTATACTTTTAAATATAACATATTATATATGTTTTAAGTATAACATATTATCTATGCTACTAAATATATTGGTTAATATTTAATTATATTTTTAAATATGACATATGTTTTAAATATAGCATATGTGTTATGAAATATATTGATTAAATATTTGTTAATATGAATTATATTTTTAAAGCTAACGTAGATACCATTAAATCTATTTATTAAATATTTATTAATATTTGATTATATTTTCAAATATAACATATGTTATTAAGTATATTTATTACATATTTATTAAGTAGTTTTCATACATAGTTAAAAGATGTGTTATATTTAAAAGTATATATTGATATTATATTTAAAATGGAAATATAGAAACATAGAAACATGTATTTTAACTCCATAAAATATAGACCATAGTTGCATATGCTTATAATTTGTTTTTAATATATTGCTCAGTCTATACAATACATAATCCATTTCTATATCGTTATCGGAATAGCTGTATGTTTATATAAACATACCAATTAAAGGAAAGGAACCATAAAAATATTGGAAAAATGATCCCGTCTACCTGTGTCCGTGACCTGTAAGTGTCTGCACATACGCAGAAGCAGATAAAATCAGCCTAAGCTGCTCCTTACACGCACATGAACAGACAAGATAAACCTATAACATATTTAAATCCGCGCTTCGGCGAGGGCGACGCGACACTTGAACCCACGTTAGCAAACACGTCGAGTCAATTGCGTTGAAACTGGATCCAATGGAGCAAATCCCTGAAATCACCTTAATCATCGTGAATTTTTTTAAAGATTTATTTCACCGATTGATGCGCACAAGAGCTGGGGTGCAGGCCAGAGCTTTGGGGGGCGAGAGGACTCCCCAGAGGCAGAGTGGGGAGCAGAACAGGCGGATCCGCTGAAATCCGCTGCTGAGGGGAGCCGCGGGGAGACAGGAGGGGTCTCCTGGGGGTCACCATGTGGGTCACTCCCTGGCCGGGGATCGAAGTCGTGCTGCAGAGGCTGGTGACGGGGTCACGGTGCAGAGCGTTACCCCCTGCGCCCCCAGGGAGCCCCCATGGGGAATATTTTTTGAGCGAGCCCATTTCAAAGTTGCCCGGACACCAGCCACCTACGAAGACCTTATGACAGAAGCCGTATATAAAGTAGACATCACGTAGATTCACCGCGTCTACACGGCGCTGCCCTATTTATAAGGAGATATCAAAATTACAGAACCAGGCTCCAGACACCCCAAAGAGGGCACCCACAATAAAGGCGAAAAATCTTCAAAAAATGGGGGGTTGAGATCAGCTTGGGCACCGCCCCCAGGTGCTTTCTCTCCCACGTGCAAGTTCCTGTCTTGGCAGAATGTTTCCAGGGCCGAGACCCCACAGGATCCCCGAATGGAGTTGGAACCCGGCCACTGGGGCTGGGGTCCCCCTCCAGACCCCTATCTCCGAGTGAAGGGGTGACTCTTCCCGGCTCAGATCCCGCCTCGGATGGGGCGGGCACCATGGACCAGAGCCTGAGCTGCTTCTCCATCCTGGGGCCTTGGGGTGTCCCACCCCTTCCCTGCTGGAGTCTGGGGGTTTCCCAGAAACCTGGACTCCCAGAAGCACCCCCAAATCCAAGGGGGCAGCTCTGAAGTGTTTGTGAACGGAGATGCTGTTCGCAGGACCCGCCTCGTGGGGTCTCCTGGAGCACGCTTGACCTGCAGCCGCTCCTGTGTGTCTCTGTCCATCTGCGAGGACCGGGCAGTAGTTTGGGGTTCCGTGCAGCGCCTGCTCGGGCTGATCCTCCGGAAGTGTCCCCAGACCTGGGGCTGCAGGGTCCCCAGGTTTGGCCCAGACCGTGGTCTCACAACCGCTTTTCCTCCCCCAGGGGACGACTTCAACCTGGAAGATGCCCTCGGCGGTGGTGGGGAGAGAAGTGAGTGTCTCCTGGGTCCGCTGCGGGGCCGACCGGCCAGTGTCCCCCGCCCCACGCCGCTGTCCTTGCCCAGAGCGTTGGCTCTTGGACGCCATGAGGCCAACCGGCTTTGACCCCAAAAGCTGAAACCTACGACTCTTCTTGTCGCTGGCTGGCTGTGATGTCTTGACCCCGGCTCCTATTTTCAAGCTCTCTGGGGGGACAGAAACGGGGTGGGTGTCCACTCTGGGCCCTCTGTCCCGGGAGGAGCCTCCACTGGGGGTTGAACGCTCTTCGGCCGCCATATTGAAATTCTTGACTCTCTTCCGTAAGGGCTCTGGTCTTCGGTTGGCCCCAGCTCCCGCACATTCCAGAGCCAGTTGGGACGCCTGTTGGTGGGGCTTGGCAACACATGGAGAGTGGGGAGAAATCGGGGGGTGGCTGTGTCCCGTGTCCCCCACGGTCCCAAGGACACGGTCCAGTTTCTGGTCAAGCATCTGTAGACGCACATGCACCTGCCGTTGTCTTTACTCATAGTCAACTCGCATCTCTCTCAACAGATGACCCCCGACCGACCTACAGACCCAGGCCGAAACCCAACCCCCACCCCAACCCCAACCCCAACCCCAAGCAGCCGGGATCGTCGGGTAAGACCCTGGGGGTGCTTTTTCGGGGTGTGACGTCCCTGTTGGAAACCACCTCTCGGTGGAGGAAAGCAGCCGTCGCCAAAGATCATTTCGGTTTGGATTTTTGAGTTTGCGGATTTGACTTGCGAGGGTTTGTGGGGTGCAGGGTTTGGACTCGGTGGGATCCGTGGGGGGAAAAGCTTGCGCTTGCGTGTTCCCTGCCGAGAAACCACTCACCTCGCAGCTGCTTTGTCTGTTCCTGGCGCAGCCCAGGTGGGTAGTTCCGAGTCGCCCCAACATCGGCCACGTCTTGTCAGTGTGGCGGAAGGAAAATCACGGGAAACTGTCCACTTCCTTCCCGTCGTGACGGGTCTTGCCTGCTCGTTTCCCACACGCGTGTTCTCAGGCCACGCGCTGCTTTTCCATCACGCGGTTTCCGTGTGAGCGTAATGAAGCTTTCTGTTCCCTTCTGGGATGGAAGAGCAGGTGTTGTGGGTGGTGCTGACGAGCTGCTCCGGGGTGTGGGGGAGCCCCACTCGCCTTCGGATAGTTTATTTATTCCCACGTCCCAGGATGCTGTCGCCTGTGGCTTCCGAATTTTTGAAAAAACAACCAACTTTGATCATTTTCTTTGGGCTGGGAGCGAGGAAGGAAAGTTTTGCCTGACTTGAAGGCAAAAATGCAGCCTGAAACGCCTTGAAATTCACCTTTATTTTTTTTTAAGATTTATTTATTGATGCATACAAGAGCTGGGGTGCAGGCCAGAGGTGCGGGGGGCGGGTGAGAGGACTCCCCAGAGACAGAGTGGGGAGCAGAACAGGCAGATCTACTGAAATCCACTGCTGAGGGGAGCAGCGGGGAGTCAGGAGGGGTCTGCTGCGCCCTGTGGGTCAGCTCTCTGGCCGGGGATGGAACTCGTACTGGAGAGGCTGGCGATAGCTTGATCTCACTGTGTCTTAGCCCCTGAACCCCTAAATTCACCTTTATTATAAAATAAGCGCTGATGTCAGCTGGTATGAGTCGCTTCCCCACTCCCGTCTCTCACACCCTCCTGTCAGCTCCCACATGCAAGAGCCCCAAGCTGGACAGACACGGCTGTAAATAGCATTTGCTTGGAACCTCCTTTGGGCCAAGAATTGGCACAAAACATGCTCAACTGGGTGGAGGGAGAGAAAAGTGGGGGTCGTTAAGGCCAGGGGGGCTGTGGCAGATGCAGCCATTCACAACAGTTATTGCCAGTCCTCTGACTTCCATTTCTTCTGGTGTCATCTTTATCCGAAATCTTGGACTTTTCTAGGACTTTCCCAGGACTCTTCCAAGAGTGTGGGGATCTGTCGGAGCTGCGTAGTTGCAAGATCCGCCCGTAATGTGGTCCCTTTGGGGATCCTCGTGCCCTCTGCATTGGCTTTTGGCTCCCGTTGTATTTCTGTCACCCTGAGGCATTAATGCCCTCCCGCCGTGGCAGTGTGGAAGCTGACGCTGTCTTGTTCTCTCCTAGGTGGGTTCTCAGACTCCGACCTCTTCGACGGGACGGCAGATGGAGGTACAGTGGCCCTTCTCCTCCACCCTTGTGACCCACCTGCTCTGCGCAATCAGAGCAAGACCCAGAGTCTCAACCTTCGGTGAAATCATGGCGGCTCTTGGGGAGTGTCTTTGCCAGCCCAGGAGGCAAGACCTGCCCCACGAGGCCGCGTCCTGGGAGTTGTGTTTAGAGTTTGGGGAGCTCCCCCCACCCTTGGCCTTGGAGGTAGGCAGCACCCACCAGCTATCTGGTCTACCAGCCACCCGTGTCTCCCGCTGTGCTCCAGCGTTGCCGGTTGCGCGCTGCGTCCTACAACCTGATGAGTGTAGAAACGAAAGGCCAAGTCGTGGAGTGGCAGGACTTGCCCAGAGGACCCTCGTCGACAGATTTACTGCTGGAGATTTCCTACCTCTCTTTAGAATCTTAGGACCGAGTAGGGCTCAGCGCAGCATTTAAATATCATAAATAAACGAGTAGAATAAGAGCCATTGGTAATCATTAGGGTATATTGACCTTTATTTATTCGATGTCTATCTATTGATATGTGCATTCAGTCCCTCAACAACTCAGGGACCTGGGGCACCAACCCCCCGAGGCTTTGAAACTCCATGGAAAATGTTGCCCCCCACATCTTAGCTCCCAACAGCCCATGTCCACTGGAAACCTGACCACTCCCGTCAGTAAAAAAAATGTTCAAGAGCCTCAGAGGGAGAGGATCATTCCTCTGGACAGTGGATCATTCCTCTGGACAGTGGATCATTCCAACGGACAGTGGCTTTCAACTGTGTGGGGTCCAGGGCCATTGGATAGTCACTGGGTCCTGTGTCCACAGCAGCTGGTCTTCCTGTCCATCATGTAGCCTGGCATCACTGGGGAGCCATGGCCAGGGACTCAGGTGGCCCAATGGGGGTGGATGGGACCTCTGCCCACCCCAGGACACACTCGGGGCCATCCCCGGTCAGCCACTGAAAAGGACTCCCCGATCCTGGCTATATCTGTGGCCTGGTCACTGTCTCGGGGGTCGGTCACAAGTCAGGGTGACGGGACTCGGTCCTTGTGGTGAGTTTTTAGCCAGAATTCACCCCAGTGGTTTCTGTCTTGCAGGAGGCGGTGGCCGCGGTGGACACGGTGGCCGTGCTGGCCCTGATGAACATGACAACACCCAGAATGGCGGGGCGCCTCAGGGTATGCCCCCCATGTCCTCACCCCTGGGGTTCTCATCCGCGCCCTTGGGAGCAGGGGGCAGGGGTCCGCCCTCAGGTGCCGCCCTAGCACTGACGGGGAGCAGGGAGGCGCCGCCAGTGCTGGCCTGACCCCAGGGCCACGTCTGCCCCGCCTGTCACAGAGGTGCCCCGCCGGAAACGGAGGTGTGGCCGCCGACCCCTTCCGTCGCGGAGCAGGATTAGAGACCATGTTGGGGGAATCAGGCGACACTCGGCCCTCCAACCACCCTCCCTTGAGGTCGGTTTTCTGCTCCCACTCCTTGTTCACGGCGCACCCCGTTTTTGATCAAGACCCATTGGGGATTCATCCTGATGATTCCTCCCCTGGGGAATTTGCAGACCCCACCCCAGGAAGCAGCTGGGTCATGCCTGAGCCCCACCGTGGACACCCCCAGCGCCAGCCGCCACGCACCCCCCCAGGAGCACCTTCTGTGGGGTTGCTGACATTCCTCTCTTCCCCCACAGCGGACTCCCCAGGGGTTCTCTCGGGCATCATCGGGAGCGTCGTGGTCGCCGTGGTGGGCGCCGTGTCCAGCTTCATCGCCTACCAGAAGAAGAAGCTGTGCTTCAAGGAAAGCGGTGAGCTCCAGGCGCCCCCCACCCCGTGCGCCCCACTAACCCAACACCTGCTTCCTAAACCACTAAAACCGCGCGGAACCCCGTTCAGCAGAGCCACGCTCCTTGCGTAGTCGCCAGAACAGCTCAGCTCAGCCATGAGGCCACGGCCGACCCAGCAGGTCCCCCGTCACCTGGGTGTGGGGGGACATGTGTGCGTTGGTGGGGTTCATGGACCCTCATGCAGCAAAGGCCACCCCGGGGATGCCTTTCTCGGGGTGTCAAGCACAGGAGCCGCATGGGATCCCCATCAGGCTCTCGCCGCCGCCCGTTCTGTGCCCAACCCCGCAAGCTGCCCGAGCCCCTGGGTTGTCACCTGGGGAGGGGACCAGGGTGGACTCTGCCCACCGGGGGAATTTTAGGCGGGCTAGAAGGTCGAGTGGGAAGAGGCGAGTGTCCAGCTGGGTCTAGTCGCATCCTTGGCCGCAGCGTCCTGTCCGCCAGGTGAACTGACCTCCAGACACTGGCAGCTGGTTCCCTTCCTGGGGGGTTTTGAAAACCCTTGGGTGTGGGGTCATGGGGCGTCCCCATGACCTCAGGTGTGGGGTGTCGGAAGCTCTGGGATTATGTGATAAGGAAACCCCCATGTACAGGGCTCGGGGATGCACCCACGGGTGCTAGTGGATTTGGTGTTGGCTCCTGTATGGAATGGGGTTCAGAGAAAGTGAAAGGAAAGGGTCTTCCCCGTGCCCGACCCCATTCCAGGGTCCTGGTCGCAAGGGTCAGGGGAGCCCCACAAGGACGCCATTTGCCTCTGGACGTGACACAAACAAGATGGGCTGCTGCCCACGTCACTCGGGGCCGAACCCCGAGTGTCTCTCTAACCACTTGGGTTTCCGGCTTGGACGATGAAAGGACTGCAGTGCCCTCTCTCGTGCACCCTTTTACGAACAGAGAAAGAGCCGGGAGGTGCAAGCACTTAGCACCCATGTGAGAGCCTCCAAGTGTCCGCGGCTGTGCCGACTTAGTCTCAGACGGTCTTTTATTTTTTTTTAAATTTTTGCATAGAGCTGGGGTGCAGGCCGGAGGTGCAGGGGGGTGAGAGGACTCCCCAGAGACAGAGCGGGGAGCAGATCAGGTGGATCCACTGAGACCCACTGCTGAGGGGAGCAGCGGGGAGACAGGACCGGTCTGCTGCGCCGTGTGGGTCACTCCCTGGCTGGCCGGGGATCAAACTCAGGCCGCGGCAGCGAAAGCTTCAGACTGACCCGTGGGCCAGCCGGGAGGCCATCTGGGATGACCATTTAAGAGCAGCCCACCCGAGCTGGGAGAGTGGATGACACGCTGAGGCCACACGCGGGCGGGGGAAATGCGTCCACCCCTGCAGCCAGGACTGCGGCTGCAGTAACCACAGGTCAGGCAGCGATTGTTGACGTTGCCTCAGAGGAGCCCGGGCCAGGGGGGTGGAAGCAGATGAGGCCTCGCCATGCAGAGACAGACCAGCGCTGACACCTCACGACGCGTCTCCGCAAGAGCCTTGGTGCCGCGCCTTGAGCTACCGGTGCCAGCACCGAGCAGGCCTTTCTTTAGCCAGAGACTCGCCCAGGCGCTGCAGGCGCGGGGCGCGCTCTCGTCTCCATGGCGACGTGTTCCCGGGCTTTTCCGTCCGCGTTTCTTGGCGTGTTCGCGGGATCCGACAGGTTGACCTGCTGGGGTGCGGCCCGGCTCCTGCTGCCGCCTCGCGCTAACACACCCGTCGGTTTGCGCCCTGCGCGCACGCTCCGCTCCGCCCCACTGCGCCCGCCTGCCTCCCGCCTGCAGCTTCTCGGAGCTTCCATAACGCACCTGCGCGTCCACCTGGCTCCTTCCTCTCCGCACGTGGCCTGCGCGTCTTGGCTGCCGCCTGCGCCTCCCGCTCCCCCCAGGAAGTGCGCGCAGTGTCCAGAGCCCAGCGCGGGCCCCGCATTCACGGCTCACCCCGCTCTCCCTTTCAGGTGGCGCGACTGTGTAGGTGGCAGCGTTGCAGGCCTCGACTGCGCCCGGCGGCTCGGTGTTGCTCGTCTAAGACTCTAAAGCAACCTCAGCGCCCTGCCACCCCCCCTCCTGCTCCCCAGTGAAGGCGCACCCGGGCTGCGCCCCTCCTGGGACTGCGGGGTTCCCCGTGTGGGAGCTGCTAGCTGGGCCTGGCGAGGGGCTGCAGAGGAAAGCAATGCAGATTGTTTACGCGTGGAGGCAGGAAGCAGGAGCTGGCAGGGACCAGCAGCAGCTGGGTGACCCCCGGGGTCCCCTGCAGAGCCTTTCCGGGCACCGAGGGCGTTTTTAACCTTGTGTCGTCCTTGAAGAAGCTCGTGTCTCTCTCCCCTTTCGTGTCTCTGTCCGTCTCTGTCTCTGATCACTTTTTTCCAACGAGGTGAACTTCTCCACCCACGTTTCAGAAAACCCCCAAATCTCATGACCTGAAAATTCTAAGTAGAGCAGGGCCGGGGGTTGGGTCTCCCCGAGAACGAGATGCTGCCATCTGGCTCCTTCCATGTCCCGCGGCAAAGGCTCAGGCGTCTCTGTGTTTCCTCCGCTGTGCTGGGCATGAAATCTGGTCTTTTGACTTTGTGCGGAGAGGAAGGCAGGTCGCCCCAGGGGCCTGTGGAGGGTTGGGGTTAGTGTGGGGGTTCGGAGAGGAAGTGGGTCGCCCCATTGATGAATGAGCACAGCGGAAGATTTGAATCTATGGGTCCCCAGTCTCATGTGACACCCCCAAGCAGACACTCGGAAGCCTCTGTCGCCGTAACTGCCTTACTAGCTACACGCAGTTCCCGAGCGCCCCCCAAACCACCAGGAATCACCCTAATTCATCCAGCCACGTGGTGTCTTTGGTATTTGACAGTTCGGGTGTCACAGCGGGTAGGACAGGGGCTGGTGTCCCCGGGGCACGTCTCCGGAGAGGCCGACTTGCTCACCCCTGCATCCGAAGGGATCCCGTCTGCTTCCGGCACTTCAAGGTTGTGCGGCTCGAGCCCAGTGCACGTCCCGTGTTCCGAGGACAGTGTTCTCTGCACACGTCCTGGGCATCCAGAGAGAGTGGGTGCCCGACCGGGCAGTGAGGTCTCTTGACACACACTCAAGGGCTGTGACCTTGGCGTCCTGACACCTCCGTCCCTCCCAGCTCCGGATGCCCAGAAGCAACTTGTGCCCACATGGACCTCGTTTTCACCATATTTTTTTGCTCCCCACGGGCTTCCCGTGGGTCCCGTGACCTTCCCGGTCCTGTTAGCGCCCTCGGAATCTATTCCCTTTCGGCTCTTTGCTTTCCGATTCCATCTGCCTTTGCTTTTCGGCATCTGTACGAAGACTCTATCCCCCTTCTAGCCCTTCGTATTTTTTTGGATAGAGAAAATTTCTATGTCCCGTGGAATTAGATCAAGTCCCGGCTGCAACGCCTGGAGGGTTCGGGCTACCACGCGCCCAGGCCGATGACCACCGCAGTCACCGCAGCCGACAGGGATGTTCCTTGAGCTCCTGCTTTGAGTGTTTCCCCTTTGCGTGATGGTCAGGCTTGCGTTTCTTGGACGCGGCTGTCGCTCCATGTTTGGGGTGCAGGACACAGACTGGCTGGATTGTAAGCTCCATGCGTGCTCTGGCAGGGACCCAGTTTTGTAAAGATCTGAGCTCCGAGCAGGGGGTGCCGGGGTCGCAGGCCCTCAGCGCCTGTCCCGCTTATGTCCGTGTCCTCATGTGTCTGCAGCGACGACGAAGAGAGAAATAAACATATCTGACCCCTGACTCCTGTGCATGTTTCATTCTCTCCACCCCGGAGAGCGTCTGAGGGGGCTCACGTGTCTCTGGGTGCATGTTTGAAAAATCTCAGCATCTACGTCTGCAGGGAAAAATGCCAAAGTGGAACAGGCCTGCAAACTGTGGCCCACAAGGCCCCCTTTATTTTGCCTCCTGTGGCGAGCTAGGGCTGGGGCTCTCCCTGGCGCCGGAGTTGGGGCACGCAGGAGGACGAGATTTGCTGGGGAGAAGGTGTCACACGGCTCAGCTTAGGGTCTCAGTTTGGGGGCTCAGGTTGGAGTGAGGGTCTCCAGGGAGCCTCATTTGCTAAAATGGGGTGTCGCTTATACGTCTGTTGTAAGGCGGGGCTGGATGCCGCTGATCAAGGTTGTGTCTGCACACGCCATGGCCTGGAGGGACCCTGGCCCACCCACCTGCCGAGCCAGGGTCCTGGGGTGTCTGGGACCATTGGGGGCTGGGGTTTGGGGCTAGTCCTCTTGTCCATGAGCCTGCAGCCCCGTAGCGGCCCCTGGAGCCGTTTCTTGTGTTTTCACCATGCTGGGGTCTCTTCTTCTTGCAGCCGACCCAAGCGAGATGAGCATGGAGAACCACAGCAGCAAGGCCGAGCCGCCCGGTGAGAGGACCCTGGACGCCCCACCTGGGCCCCCGGCCTGCCCCCTCCTCTCGGGGCTGTGGGCTTGGGTGTGGCCCCGAGGTCTCGAGGGATTCGTGGGGAAGACCGAGGCCGTAGCTAAGGCCTGACGGTGCCTGAGGCTCCATTCGAGACCCGTTGAGATGACATTTACTGAACAATCCACAGTTTTTCATGACATTTTAAAACATTTTAAACTCCCAAAGCCAGACCCCCTGAGACCTGAGTCAGGCTTCCTCTTATTCAGTGTTGGGGAAAGTGGCCTCAGCGTGGGGATCGCCCCAAAGCCGGCAGCGATTTCTCCTGCCCGGTGTCAGTCTTGTGGGGGTCCAGCTCCCTCCCCCACCACAAAGTCTGTGGACTCTGGTTGCCTCCTGCAAATCCTCCCTCCTCCATGCAACTCCTCCCTCCTCCCTGCAACTCCTCCCTGCTCCCTGCAACTCCTCCCTCCTCCCTGCAACTCCTCCCTCCTCCCTGCAACTCCTGCCTCCTCCCTGCAACTCCTCCCTGCAACTTCTCCCTCCTCCCTCCAACTCCTCCCTTGTCCCTGCAAATCCTCCTTCCTCCATGCAAATCCTCCCTCCTTGCAACTCCTCCCTCCTTCCTGCAACTCCTCCCTCCTCCATGCAAATCCTCCCTTCTCCCTGCAAATTCTCCCTCCTACCTCCAACTCCTCCCTCGTCCCTGCAAATGCTCCCTCGTCCCTGCAACTCCTCCCTCCTCCCGGCAACTCCTCCCTCCATGCAAATCCTCCCTCCCTGCAATTCCTCCCTTCTCCCTGCAACTCCTCCCTCCATGCAAATCCTCCCTCCCTGCAACTCCTCCCTCTTCCATTCAAATCCTCCCTCCCTGCAACTCCTCCCTCCTCCCTGCAACTCCTCCCTCCTCCCTCCAACTCCTCCCTTGTCCCTGCAAATCCTCCCTCCTCCCTGCAACTCCTCCCTCCATGCAAATCCTCCCTCCCTGCAACTCCTCCCTCCTTCCTGAAAATTCTCCCTACAAATGCTCCCTCCTTCCTACAAATCCTCCTCCCTACAAATCCTCCTCCCTGCAACTCCTCCCTCCTCCCTGCAACTCTTCCCTCCTCCCCACAAAGTCCCTTTAAGATTGAAACGAGGGCCTCCCCTGGTGGCGCAGCGGTTGAGCGCTGGGTTGGGAGGCTGCCCGCAGCCTCTGCAGCGCCAGTTCGATCCCCGGCCACCGGCGAGGGTCCCACAAAAAAAAATAAATAAATAAAAAAGATTGAAACGACAACGCGTCACTCAAAGGACAGCGAGCACATCAGACACTGAAGAGTGTCACCAACTCCCTGAATCACCCAAGACCGTTCAGCCCCATAGAGGTGACTCAACGTGAGCTTGGGGGACGGTGCAGCCCCCACGTCCACCAGAATGTTTGCTCAGAGGCCAACGCGGACCCCACTGATTGCGCTCACGCGTTTCCGCTGCCTTGTTTGAGGCCCTGCTGCTTCGCAGCTCTGTGGGTGATTTCGGGGGACAAAGACGGTCTTGGGATGGGGCTTACAGAAAGGGTCTCGCCCCGTTTTCCTTCCGATTTCCTGGAAGTATCTGCTTTCTTTGCGCCTTTGGCTGCCGGGCTGGAGCACCCAGCAGGTCAGGTCTAGTTCTTGCTTCTCCTGGGGGTCAGTTGTGAGCCCGGCTAGCTGAAGTAGAAAGAGGGGTCCCCCTTTGGGGAGCATGTTTGGGGAGCTGGGGTCACTGCGTAAACCTCTCCTTCTCTCTGCCCTTGACAGTCCGGCAGACGCTTCTGGAGAACTAGGAGACAGACAGCGGAGAGCGGCCCCCGGTCCACAGTGGGGCACCCGGACAACCCCGTGCACCCCTAGAAGATGTCCGCGGAGTTCAGGGGGCCACCCTGCTCCCAGACTGGATTCTTCCAACCTGTGGGCTCTGCCTGTTGGCCTGTGGGCACCTGACACCTGCTGGCAACACGTTTGCGTCCAGAGGGGAACCTGAGCCTCCCTGAGACGCCCCGAGGGTCTCCGTGTGATGGGAGAAGCCGGCCTCTCCGAGCCCCCCTCGGGCAGCGGGCCATGGACGGTCCCCACTGGGCTCTCTGGGTGCTCATGAACACGCCGGGACGCCCCTGGTCGTGCCTTCTGCGCGGGGAGCTCAGCCTCCGGCAGCCACTTCCCTCCAGGCGTCCCTGGAGGGGTATGTTCTCCGCGGGACTAATAAAGGGACTTGGAAACCACGTCCTGCTTCTGTCTTTGGTGCTTTCCTGGGGTGGCCCCCCAGGAGGACAGTGTGGGGGTCGCCCGCTCCCCCTGGGGCCGAGACCCAGCTGGCCGTTGCGTGTGGTTCTGGGGTTTTCTCTCTGCTTTTCCTTTTGACTTGTCATGTTGGGAGACAAGTGCTTCTTGGCCCTCAGCTGCTCCCCCAGCAAGGAGGGGTACTCTCCTGTGTCAGCTGCTCCGCCTGTCAGCTGCTCCCGCAGCAATGAGGTACTCCCCTGTGTCAACAGCTCCCCCAGAAATGAGATACTCCCCTCTGTCAGCTGCTCCCCCTGTTTGCTTCTCCCCCAGAAATGAGGTAGTCCCCTGGGTCAGCTGCTTCCTCAGCCATGAATTACTCCCCTGTGTCAGCTGCTCCCTCAGCTATGAGATACTCCCATGTCAGCTCCTCCCCACCCATGAGATACTCCCCTGTGTTGGCTTCTCCCCCACCCACGAGATACTTCTCTGTATCAGCTGCTCCCCCGGCAACAAGATATGCCCTAGATCAGCTATGCCCTCTTTTAGCCACAACACTCCCCTGCGTCAGCTGCTCCCCCAGCCATGAGATACTCCCCTGTACCAGCTGCACCCCCAGGAATGAGGTTCTCCTCTGTGTCAGCTGCCCCCCCAAAAATGAGGTACTCCGGTATCAGCTGCTCCCTCAGCCACGAGATACTCCCCTGTGTCAGCTCCTCCCCCACCCACAAGATACTCCTCTGTATCAGCTGTTCCCCCAGCAATGAGATACTCCCTGTGTCAGCTGCTCCACCAGCCACGAGAGACTCCCCTGTGTCAGCTGCTCCCCCAGTCACAAGATACTCCTCTGTACCAGGTGCTCCCCCAGCAATGAGATACTCCCTTTAATGAGTGAGCTACTCCCCTGTGTCAGCTACTCTCCTAGCAATGAGATACTCCCCTGTATCACCTGCCCCTCCAGCTGAGAGGCACTCCCCTAGGTCAGCTACTCCTCTTGTAGCAGCTCCTTCCCTTTGTCCTAGTGTGGAAATGCCGCAGGTATATTACCTCTCCACAGGAGGGTGAAATGCTCTGACGGGAGAGATGCAGGGATTTATGTGCCCTGGCAGTAGGTGACGGCCCTGTGGGGACCCCCGTCACACACCCAGAGCGTCTCGCTGGCCCCTGGTCCTCAGCCCAGCTGGAAGGCATCCAGAGCTTCCCTTTCGTCGCGGCGGGCTCTCTGGGCATCAGACGCCCCGGTGAGCTGGGGACAGGCCAGGGTGGCCGACGCTGGAGGCCTGGGAGTGTCCCGGCACCTCCCAGACAGGCCGGCCTAGATTCCTGATGGCGGCTGGCCCGACTCGTCCGGGGCTGGGCTGTGCCCTGAGCTAGCCCCGGGCGCTGGACGCTGGCCAGAGCTGCCGGAACCCACACTTTCCCCAGGGACCCCCCAGCGTGTCCGTTCCCGGACTCTGCAGACAGACTTGCCGATGGCGGGTGAAGAACCACGTTGTCAGATCTGGGGACTCGGCGACTGCCTTACGTGCAGCCTCATGACCCGGCGCCCCCGACGGTCTACGTGGGGCAGGGCACGGGCTGGGGTGGCCGCGGGGGCGGCAAGTGTGGCTCATCCTAGGTCCACGCAGGAGGAAGACACGGTGTCTGTGTCACTGCCCGGTGCGCGCGGCCGGCCAGCCCCAACAGAGGCTGGAGCTGTCCTGTCCCTGCAGCCGCTCGTGCGTGTCACGTCCCTCCAGGGAGTGTGCAAGACAAGCGGCCGCTCGGGCTCAGCCCTCAGAACCCGGCCACCGCCTCACGCTCTCCATGGGGCGTTACAAGAACCAGAGCCGTGAATGTTGTGTGTGCACAGACACGTGTGCACAAGACACGCCTGCACACACACACGCACACAGACCCACACGGCACACACTCAAACATGCAGACAGAAATGCAGACACACACCCACAGACACTCCTCGTCACTGCTGCTTTGCAGCGTACACACGCGTGTATTCAGCTGTGCTTGGATGTGTGTGTGCTCATGGGCACAGCACACATGGTACAAGGTGCAGTCATGCACAAACATACCCACATCCTTATATAAACACAGCACACACCACACACTTGTGCAGCCAGCTAACACATACATGCACGAGTGTGCACAGACAATCATGTGCACAGACATATGTGCACATGGATGCAGAACCACACACATATGTGTGTGCACAGTCACCAAGGTGTGTGTACAGACACACGCACAGACACAGACATAGACGCACAGTCACACATTCACGTGCGGACATGAAGATACACAGGGACACACACATTCCAGATAAAACACAAGTACACACACAAGCATGCACACACAGAGATACCCGCGTGAACACAAGATGCATCTGTGCACATGCAGGCATGCCTACAGACACAGGCACACACATGGCCACACAAACATGTACACGCACACACCATACATGTGTGCACACACACCATACATGTGTGCACACACAGACATGCATACAGACAAGATACACTCACAGACACACACAGACACACATGCACAGACACAAGCATTCACGGTTGAACACAGAGACATGCACACACACACCTACACAGACATGGACACACACCATATACACGTGCACACACATAAACATGCCTGCAGTCACAGGTACACGCACAGTCACACACAAACGCACGTGCACAGAGACACATAAGTGTGCACACAGACACACGTGCACACAGAGACACGCCCACACACCGCACACCACGCGCGCAAACACAGGCGCAGCCACACTCAGACCCACAGACACGGCTGGGGCGCGAGCACCGTCTCAGCACCTTCCCCGTGGACCCAGAGGGGCGCGTACCCAGAGGGGCGCATACCCAGAGGGGCGCGTCCCGTCGTGGCTGGTGGGGCCTGGGGCGGGCGGGGTGCGCAGGGGCACACGGGGCAGTGGGGGGGGCGCGCGGGGGCGCGCGGGGGCGCGCGGGGGCTGTTTCTGGGTGGAAGAAAGGCTTTTCTGGCACCTGAAACTCTGGGCTGCCAAGAGCGCGTTAGGGGCCGCTGTGGGTTCGCACACAGACGCGGCGTTGGAGACCAGACGCCCCTGCGCGCCCTGCGCCCCAGCCTCCGCCTGGGGAAGACACCCCCGGGTCCCCACGGACGGCCGCGCCCCCAGCAGCGCGCCGCCTGCGCCCCCGCATTTACCCGCCTCCTGGGCTGGCCAGACGGGCGCGCGCGCCGAGATAACCAGCGCCCAGACGTGCCCAGCGCAGATAAGCGGTCGGGGCGGGCCCTGGGGACCCCTCCCGTGCCCGCGTCCCCCCCACCGCGCCGCCTTTGAAGCCTCCGCCCTCCCGCCCACGCCCCGGCAGGGCGGCCAGGCCGGCGCGGCCGCTTCCCGAGCCAGGACGGGTCACTGCTGGGGGCCTGGGCGAGCCGGTTCTTGCCCTGTTCCCAGCCGAGGATGCTCCGGGCCGCCTCAGACTTTCCACTCGAGGGCGGAGCCTCGCGCGCGCAGCACAGTCAACACCGGGGCGTGGTCGGGCCGGTCGCGAAGCATGGAGCGCCGGGGCCTGGCCGCGCTCGGGCTGCTGTGCCTGGCGCTGCTCGTCCGCGGTGAGTGGGGCGCGGGGCGCGGTGGGTGGGCCCGGCCCGGGGCGCCCGGCCGCAGGGAGCACCCAGTTGGCGGGAGGGAGCCGGCGGGCGCCTCTGTTCTGAGCCCCAAGCTGGGCGGAGGCGCCGCGCGCGCACCGGGCTCCCCGTCGGGCCGGAGTCGGTGCCAACCGCGCAGGAACCTGGCGCCCCGCACCGTGCGCTTGAAACTGTGCGCCCTGTGGAGGGTCGGAGGCCCCAGCGGCCTCCCCGGAGGTTCCAGCTTCGTGCTCAATGTGCCGGCAGATTAAAGCCAGCTGGTTGGGGGGTGCCAGGGCTCCGCCCGGTGGATTTGGGGCCTCGGGGCTCTGGGGGAGTCGACCCAGGCGGCCGCCCGGGTCCGGCTTTCCGCGGGGGGCTGCCGGCGCCTTCCTGAGCGCGTGGGGCGTGGCTTGGACCCAGCGGCTGCGGGGTCAGGTCCAGGGAGGCGCCCCACACCCGGTGCAGCTCCCGGCCGCAGAGGCAGATGGAGTGACAAGATTTCAGGGGCGCAGGCTGGGGTTCCTGGGCGTCCTGGCGGAGGCGCGCCGAAGGGCAGGGCGGGCGCGATGCTCCGCGGGGCTGGCCTGACCCTCCGGCCGGTGTCCTGCGCTCCGGAGCGCGCGAGGCGCTGGGCTAAGGCAGAAGCCGAGGGCTCTCCCGCCAGGCGTCGTGGGGAGCAAAGCCGCCCCCCAGATGTGCACCCGGAGGCTTGCTCTCTGCGCCCCAGCCAGGGGCTCCCGGGAGCTGAGGGTCCCACGTATGAGACAAATGGACTCGGCCCCTGCGCTGGACTCTGCGTTCTCCGTGACCCCGTGGGCGGCCAAGGGTGTGTCTAAGCAAAGCTCCCCGCAGGACCAGAAAGGGGTCCCCCTCCTGCCGGCCCGGGGGCCTCCTGGGAGATTCTCTTGCATCCCTGGGGTGGGGCGCCCTGCCTGAGGGCGTTTTAGAGCAGGGTAAACTGAGGCAGGTGGGCTCGAGCTTTGCCCAAGAACACAATTGTGGAGCAGACAGAGCCGGAGCCAGTGGGGAGTCTGCCCTGGGGTTCGCACCCAGACACCCTCGTACCCCAACGACCACCGGCTGTGGACTGAGAAGGTTCCAAGGTCCCGGAGACACTCCCCAAGGAGGGCAGGGAGGGGTCATTACAGAGCCAGGAGACCAGGCGGCGTTAGGGTGAGTGTGGTGTGAATTGTCGTCGTTGTCATTTATCGTGGAATGAAAGTTACAGCCGCGTCTGGTCCTCATGAGGAGGGTTTGCAAGTCGGCAGCTCTGGGTTTCCAGGGCGTTTAGTGGGTTGACTCTCCAGGGTGGAGGGGATGGAGGAAGCTTGGAGGGCGTCCGCGGATGGAAGGGGAAGTGAGGAGCAGGAAGACGGGAAACCCCAGAGCAGAACTTGTGATGTTTGGTTTGTTGAGGATAGAGAGGCGGGTTGTGCTCAAGAAGGCGTCGACTTCACCCCTATGTCGATTCTGTCGTCTGGGCGTGTGGGTATGTGTCCGCCTGTCTGTCTGTTTGTCTTCTGTAATGTGTCCAGGGTGCTTGTGTCCAGCCCCAAGCTGTCGTATATCTGTCCATCCATCATCCATCCATCCTCCATCCATCCTCCATCCATCCACCATCCATCATCCATCCATCATCCATCCATCATCCGTCGATCATCCACCATCCATCCATCATCAATCATCCATTCATCTGTCCGTGATCCATGATCCATCCACCATCCATCATCCATCCATCATCCACAATCCATCCATCATCCATCCATCATCAATCATCCATCCATCCATCAAACGTCATCCATCATCCATTCATCATCTATCCTCCATCCATCATCCATTGATCATCCACTGATCATCCACCATCCATCCATCATCAATCATCCATCCATCCATCCATGATCCATGATCCATTCACCATCCATGATCCATCCACCTTCCATCATCCATCCATCCATCCATCCATCCATCCATCCATCCACCATCCATCATCCATTCATCATCCATCCATCATCCATCATCGATCCACCATCCATCTATCATCAATCATCCATCGATCATCCACCATCCATCCATCATCAATCATCCATCCATCCATCCATCCATCCATCCATGATCCATGATCCACCCACCATCCATGATCCATCCACCTTCCATCATCCATCCATCATCCATCATCCATCCGTCATCCATCATCCATCCATCATCCATCCATCCATCCACCATCCATCATCAATCCTCCATCCTCCACCCATCATCCATCCATCATCCATGTATTCCTATACACACATTATTGAGTCTCCTCTGTACACACTGACCCTGAAATTCTCCCCCCACTGCCCTATCCACACTGTGGAATGTGGTGTCTTCTCCCCTGAGCAACTTGGCCCAAACCCCACACTCACGTTAAGCCACCGTCCTTTCCATACAGAGGAAAAACCGGAAGCGGTGGGGATGTTCTTTATCATGTTTAACAACAGCCGTGGTGTTCCGAGCGCTTCCCAATGAGTCAGGTGAGGGAAATGCTCGGGGCGCCCCGGAGTCTGAGTCCGGCATCCTGGGCGTGGCCCTGAGAGGGCTGATGCGGGCAGGTGGGACGGCCTCCCTCTGCTGAGCCCTTGATCCTGCCCCTCCTCGCGACCCCTTGGCCATCCATAACGCTCCCGCCCGTGGGCGTGGGAACTGGGCCCGTCTTCAGGGCTGAGCCTGCCCAGATATTTAGGGCCGTGCTTCTCGGTCTTGTGCAGATGAGGCTCCTGGGATTCTTGAGCAGGTGCCCAGGGCTCCTCCCTGAGCTCCTGCTGCGGGAGGGGGTGTGTCCTGGGGCACAGGAGAGCTGTGTTCTCAGGAGCCCTTGGGGTGGCGCCCACACTGGAGCCAGGGCTCTCTTTAGGATAGTGACTGAGGCCCACATGTGTGGCTTCTGTGGCTCCGTGCCCCAGGGGGCGCCTGCTGACTCATGACGCGTCACCCACACGCTCAGGTCAGAGGTGCCGCGGCCACGCTCAGGCGGTGTCCCCAAGGACACGCGGTGACAGCTGGAGTCGATTCTGCTTGTCACAGCTGGGAGTGGGGTGAGTGCTGTCAGGCGGGTGGGGCCAGGGAGGCACCCTAAGTTCTGGAGAGGACACGGCATGCGGCTAAACTTCTCCAGTCGCACATGCCATAGTGCAGGGGTGGAGACACCTGCCAGAGCACGAGGCTCAAGACTGCCCTGTCCCCACACCCATCATCCATCCGTACACCCTTCTGTCCTGCCTGTCTAGCCATGTGGCCATCCATCCATGATCCACCCATCATCTATCCATATCGTCCACCATCTGTCTCCCTCTCTAACAAGCAACCATCCATGTCCATCCCTCCACCCATATATCCATCCATCATCCAGCCACCATCCTCCATCCATCATCCATCCTCCATCCATCCTCCATCCATCCATCATCCATACATCATCCATCCACCATCCTCCATCCAGCATCCATCCAGCATCCATCCATCATGCATCCATCTATCCATCATCCATCCATCCATCCATCATCCATCCACCATCCTCCATCCAGCATCCATCCAGCATCCATCCATCATCCATCCATCTATCCATCATCCATCCATCCATCATCCATCCATCCATCATCCATCCATCCATCCATCATCCATCCATCATCCATCCATCCATCTTCCATCCATCATCCATCATCCATCCATCATCCATCCACCAACCTCCATCCATCATCCATCCTCCATCATCCATCCATCAATCCATATCTTCTATCACCTATCTATCTCCTTCTCTATCCATCTGTCATGTGTCTATCAATCATGCATCTGTCATCCATCCACCGACCCACCTAATGCACATGTTATAGCTCTATCTATCTATCTATCTATCTATCTATCTATCTATCATCCATCCATCCATTTATCCATCCATCCAATCATCATCCATCCACCCATCATCCATCCAGCCAGCCATCCATCTAGCCATCTATCTATCCATCCACTCATCTATTTGTCTCTCTCTCTCTCTCTATTTATTTATCATCTATCCATCCATTCATGCATCCATCCATCCCATTTATGAATTGTCTCATCCATTTATCTGTATCATTTATCTGTATCAAACTCTCAATCGACTATCAATCTATCATCTCTCCACTGTCTATCATGTATCCATCCATCTATCACTTTTGTACTATTATCAGTCTTAACATACTGCTGGTCAGCTGCCTAGCGGCAGCCAGAAGACATGATCTCAACACATTACAAGATTATGGGGAGACCCTCTGGGGAGTGACCCCTGCCTGGGTGACCGTCACGCCTCCCCAGGGGGTGCACATGAGGTCTCCGTCCTGGAAAGGGAGGCCCCTGGGAGCTCTAGCACCCCCAGGAGCTGGTGAGAAGTGCCGTCATGTCCCGGCCTCACCTGGACACAGCTGGACATAGCTGGACACTCCTGGACATGCCATAGCTGCCTCCGTGTGTGTGTCCGTGTCCCGCTGGGTCGCCGAGCATGTCCTCGGGAAGGCTGCTTAGACCAAATGATGGGCGACTCCCTGGTGACCGACAACCTCCCCCTGGAGACCCTGTGGGTGTGGAAGAGTCTGGCCTGCAGGGGTCAAAGGGCCTTGGGGGCGCCAGGAGAACTGGTCAACCCCCGGGATAGGCTCAATCGCTGTGCATCGGGGTGTAAGAACCGGGTCCCCGCCCTCACTGGACCCCCTTCTCATCTCCAGGAGGGGCCGCCAGCCCCAGGAGGGTCAGTCAGCAGAGTCCCTGGACATTGGCGTGGAGGGCGCCACATGGGCATCCAGCCCTGTCCAGCATGTTGTGTCCTGCTGGCAACCAAGACAGAGGGAGAAAGTGGGGTGCAGATGGAGCTGGACCTGTGGGGGGGACGCCATCTCTCCGGGCTGGCCCCTTTCCATCCAGCTGTCCTCGGACCTGCACGAGCGACCCCTGGACATCTTGTTCCCTGCCCCGTCTGGGGACAGGGGCTTTCTCCCCGCGCCCGGCATGTGTCTCAGCTGCGTCACGCGAGATTCCCGAGGGAGCCCTGCTTTTGGCTGGCGGGCATCGGGGAGATGAGGTCCAGATGCGGCCCAGCCCGCCCGGGAGTCGCCCGAGGACACGAGGGGTGGAGCCCGCAGCCTCCGGGAGGCCTGGCCCGGACGAGGGGACGGCAGTGACATCCGGAGTCGGACATGGTGGCTGGAGTACGGGGCGGCGTCCTGGGGGGCAGGAGGAGGACTTGGCTGGAACAGTGGCCCCTGAGGGGGGCCTGGACCTGCGTGGTCAAATCCAGGGGGTCATTTCTGGGGTGCTGGGGGTGTCCTTCTCTTGCATGGAAATGCAGGCAGGGCTGGGGCTCTGGGCTGTCCTTACGCCCTGCAGGCAGCTGCACCCCAGCTCTCTGGCTTTGCAGGACACTCCCGGCTGCAGTGACCAGGGTCTGCAGGGAGGGCAGCAGGTGGGGGTGGGGGACACACGTGTCCTTGGCGGCGCCCAGGAGGCTGGGCCAGGGCTCAACCTGTCCGGTGCAGCTGGGGTTTGCTGACTGGCTTCTCGAGGGGGGCCTTGTGCACCAGGGGCCCGGCCCCCAGCTGCCCCGATGGGGTGAGGAGCCAGGACGTGGGCTCTCCTGGGGCCTTGGCCAGCCCTGACTCCGGTGGGTCCGGTCAGCACCAGGGGACGCTGGTCAGACTGAGAATTTGTGCCCAGAGGATGCTCTGGGGGCTCCTGCCAGCCTGGGGCACGGTTCCTCCAGCTGCTGACCCTGGGGGGCTCTGGAGACCTGAACAGGAGCCGCCGGCCCGGGAGCGAGGCCAGGTCCAGCCTCCAGCTGCCCCGCAGCCGCCTGCTCTCACGCGAAGCCCCGGGGCCACACCCCGCCCGCCTGAGTCACCCGCAGCTGCGTGTGAACACACCTCCTGCCCCCGCTCCGCACCCCTGCCCGGGACCTCTCTGGCCCTGGGGCTGCCGACCAGCAGGACCCGCTCGCCCGGAGAAGCTGCGCCCCGGCTGGGCTGAGCCGCCTGCCATGCGGGAAGGGCTCCCGCTGGACAGGACAGGGGTGGTCAGCGACCCCGGCCCCCGTGTGCTCCCCCAGGAGCAGCCGCGTGCACAGAAGGGCGTCCTGCCTGCTGAGAGGGACATGCCCGGGGCTGGGGGCGCCTCTGCAAACGCTCAGGGGGGTCGGAATGCGGGCGGGTGGGCAGGGCTGAGCCGTTGGCCTGGACACTCCGGGAGCCCATCCTGGGGTCCCTGTCCTGGCTCTGCCCTGTGCCTGGGCTGTTCCCTGTAAAGCAAAGCAAACCCCCAACACAGAGGGGCGCCTGCAGGGCGCTCCCCAGTGCAAGGGGCTTTGGAGGGCTGCGTAGTGGAGGCTCCGGGTCCTGTCCAGGCCCTGGGGCCGCGGAGGCAGCTGGCCTGGCCCTGACGCCCTCCCTGGCTCAGAACCTCCCTGCTGCCGGCTCCCCTGCCCTCCGGCCGCTGGGGACACGGCTGACCGGGCTGGGCAGGTCAGATGCCCCCAGGGCTGACCTGTCCCTGTGTTCTGCCTCCCACGGGGGCCGGGGCTGACTCTCCCTCTGGTCCGAGTGGCCTGCGGCGTGCATGGGCGGGGGTGGACACAGACCCAGGCCCGGTGCGGACAAACCACCGTCTCCAGGAGCTCACGGCCACCGGGAGGGGGTCAGCCGTCCCTGGGAGTGTCCAAAACCAGCCGTCCACAGAGACTGGACGCGGGGGGCAGGCGCTGGGGTGGCCGCCTTGGGGCGTCTCTCGGAGGATGACAAGGCGCCGGGGACCTGCAGATCCAGTTCAGGAGCCGATTGTGCCATCAGCGGCGGGCGGAGGGCCAGGCGGATTCCCCTCCCCGCGCCTCCACCATAAACACGCCCGAGCCCAGTGCACGGAGATGAGGCTCGGAGGGGGTGGCTGCTCCGGACCGGGGCGGAGCAGGCCCCTAAAGACAGGCTGAGCTGCAGGGGGACCCCGGGACCAGGGCTCCCCCTCTCTCAAGAACAAGCCGGGTCCCCACCACTCCGTCTTCTCTGGAGAAGGAGGGGGCTTGGGGGGCGAGTCTGGATGCGTCTGACCTCAGCCCTCACAAGGGAGCAGTTGGGGGTAACTCGGCACCCATTGGGGTGATGGTCACCCCAGAACAGAGCTCCAGGTGCCCACCCCCCAGCTCTGTTTCGTGCTGGAAGATGCCAGAACTCTTGTCTGCAGAGCTCAGCCTTCCTCTGGGAAGCAGAAACTCAACGCTGGCGCCGGGAGGAGGGTCTGAGGACCCTCTGCAAGGTTTTGGGGGAGACACGTGTCTCAGCCAAGAAGGGAAGCCCCACAAATAGGGGTCCCCCAGTCACAAGTCCCGGGAGCTCTCCTGCGTGGCACAGGGGTTGTTCCACACACCTCCTCCTCCAGGAAGCCCTCAGGGGCTGCTCGTGCAAGACCTGGACTTGCCAGCTGACCCCCGTCTTGGCCCTTTGGGGTGATGCCACGTCCCGGCCACCTGCTGGACAGGAAGGCAGGGCTCCCAGCTCACTCCTGGTGCTTGCAGATCTTGGGGCTGGGTTCCTAGGGTCTCCAAAATGTCTACGCGCTTTGCTGGGTCACTGGCAGCAGCTGAGATTCCTCCAAGGAAACTTGGGTCGGACGCGCTGTCTTCCGGGAGGGGGTCAGCCCCCTGGGAAGGCCAAGATGCAGCTGGACCCCACCGGGGAGGGGGTGGCCTCCCGTGAGCTTAGGCTGGGCTGGACCTCACAGCCACAGGACTGGGGGCAGAGCCCTGAACGAGGGGCCCTGGCTACCTCCCTGTGACTCGGTCCGTGTCCCCCCGACAGGTCAAGGAGACTTCGACTTGGCCGACGCCCTCGATGACCCCGGTAAGCGACGGCATTTGCGGGGAGCTGGGCCTTTTCAGCAGTGAGACATTGGGTGGCCCCATGAGGTCTCGGGCACCTTGGAAAGGACCTTGCACCCCACTTGGAAAAATGTGGGGAGTCTGGGGGGCCCAAGTGTGAGGTCTGGAGGACTCTGGTGGCCTTTGCTTCACTTTCTTTTTTTAAGATTTATTTATTGATGCATGCAAGAGCTGGGGTGCAGGACAGAGCTTTGGGGGGGGGGTGAGAGGACTCCCCAGAGACAGAGTGGGGAGCAGAACAGGGGGATCCACTGAAATCCACTGCTGAGGGGAGCAGCGGGGAGACAGGAGAGGTCTGCTGCGCCCTGTGGGTCACTCCCTGGCCGGGGATCGAGCCAGGCTGCAGTGGCTGCCGGTAGCTTCATAGCGCTGAGACTTAACCCCTGCACCCCCAGGGAGGCCCAAAGTTTTGTGGGGTGTTGGTTGTTCTCCCTCCCCCCACGGACATTGCATTTCTTTTTCTCTTTGCTCCCAGATCCCACGAGGAAGCCGAGCTCAGGTGAGTGAGGACTTGCAGGACCCAGGCGGCCCCTCGTTGCTGGTGTCCTCGACCGGCCGCCTCTTTGCAGAGCGTGTTTGGTGGAGAAACCACGGGTGCCCCTCGGCAGACACCCCCCACGCCTCCGAGGAGCGAAGTGGAAAGCGACGAGTGTCGTGAGGATGAGGAGAAACGGGGAGCTGTGTGCCTTTGTGGGTGAAAGGGTGCTGTTGTTGGGAGACCGTTTGGCTGTTCCCCCAAATGTAAACATTGGATTTCCAGCTGCTCCAGCAATTCCGCTCCCCGGTGTGACCCAAAAGGTGAAAACAGGGGGCTCCAGCAAAAACATGTGTGCACACGTTCATAGGAGCGTGGCTCTTAGTGGCCAATGGTGCAGACATCCAGCTGTCCCTCCACACAGGGGGGGGCACAGAACATGGCCCATCCACCCTGTGGAATATTATACACCAGTGAAAAGGAGGGAAGCTCTGACACTCGTTACAACCTTGAAAATACGCTGATCCGTGAGAGAACCAGGCACAAAAGGATGCACAGAGCAGGACCCATTTCTAGAAAGTGCCCAGAACGGGCCAAGGATCTTGGTGCCAGGGACGCTCTGCTCACGGGAGGGCCTCCTTTTGGGGGGATAGAAGCTTCTGGAATCAGGGGGAGGTGGCGCTTGCACCACAGGAAAAGCATGGTGTAGACAGAGCACCCCTTCTTGACCCCGTCCTCTGCCTGTGGTCCCTGAGCTGGGGTCTGAGTCCAGCGATGGTAAATAGGCTGCAGTGAATTCGTATTGGGGGGACGTTTTTCAGTTCCTGGTCTCGAGTTCTTCGCGTAAGATCCCAGAACGGGCTTGTGGGGTCTGGCGGTATTTCCACGGTCAGTCAGTGAAGGGTGAAAAATTATTTAAAATCTGAGAATCCTCACCCCCAGCCCCAGCAATTCCGCTCCCAGGAGGCTCAGACAGCACAGCTGTGCAGAGAGAGGGGTCAGCCGCATCAGCACAGGGAATCCTGATTCCAGAACAATCACGGATGAGTTTGTCGTGGAAACACGTGGTGGGGATGGGGGTGGTATGCATGCACCCCAAAATCTAACACCCTGTTGATAAAAGGAGGCAGGAGCACAGGCAGTGAGGCGAAGCCATGCCAGGCTTTGGGGGCATCTGAGGTCTGTGGCTTGTTTTTGACGCCCATGCAGGGAGGAGGGTCCCCAAAATCATTTGGGACAGGCACCTGCCTGTTGGTGTTTTTGTCTGGGGAAGAGGCTGGGTGGGGGCTTGCAGGACGCCAGGTGCCGCGATGCTGAAAACCAAAACTATAAATGCAGTTAGAGGAAAACCAAATTCCTTTTTTAGATCAACGCAGTCGTTTTTACGGACGGGCCACTCGGGTTCAACACGAGATCACTTGGGGAGAACAGTTTTACTCCCGCCCATGTGCACACACTTCTCCCTCCCTCCACCAGCGCCCCAGGGCGGGTGCCCGACCCCGTTCCTACCCAATCCGCTCTGCTAACCGGCAGATTTTTCAGTTATTTGCGTGACGCTTTCCCGGTCTCTTTTCTTGGTTTCTCTACATTCCACAAACGAGGGACACCACCTGGTCTCTGTCTTTCACATTCTGACTTTTTTCATCAGCAACATCCTGTCCAGCCCCATCCGTGTGGCCAGAAATGGTGACATTTGCCTTTTTCACGGCTGCGTAGTATTCCTCCAAGTCCATTGTGAATAATTTTCTTTACGTCTTTGTTTCTGGGCATTCAGGTGGGTTCCCTGCCTTGGCTGTTGTGACTGATGCTGCTGTGAGCACCGGGAGGCCCAGCCTCTTGCACCTTCCACCCCCATCACGGGGGGCGGCTCTGCCCCTGCTCCCCGTGCGAGGGAACTTGTAGGAGAGAGAGACACGTCTGCCCGTGTGTGGTTGCATGTTTGCCTGTGGGGGCAAAAGGATTCCGGGGCCGTGCACCGTGCACATGGCTGCACACGGGCACGTTGCCGGCCAGAAGGGGGTTTCTCGTGCCCCAAAACTCAATGTGTCTCTCCTCGTCCTCACAGACCTGTACCCCAAGCCGAAGCCACCGCCCCAGCCGCAGCCCGGATTTCCCTCCCAAGGCGGCGGTGGAAGTAAGTTTACGCTCCCGGCCCGTTTCCCGCTGGTGGGAGGAATTTGCTTTCATTGGGGAGGCGCCCGGGGCATGGGGAATCCTCCTGGCAGAAGCTGGGGCTGTGCTCAGCACCTGGGGTCACCCCACTTTGCCCTCTCCTGGGTGTGCGCCAGGAAGCCGCTGGCCCACGCGCTTGGCTCAGTGGTGGGTTCAAGACAGCGCCCCCTTCTCCGGCTCCTGCTCAGCCCCCAAGGACCTGGGCGCCGCGGGCTGTGTCTGCAGCGTCTCGGGTCTGCCTGTGGGCTGGGTGGGTCGTCCCCGAGAGAAGCTCTGATTCTCTCTGGCTGACCTTGGTGTCTCCCGGCAGATATCTACCCGCGGCCCAAGCCGCCCCCCGCCCGCCCGCAGCCCGGCATCTCTGACGGCGGTGGAGGTAAGGGCGGGGAGATCGGGCTGCGTGTGGGATGTGCTGGGACGGGGTGACCTTCTGCTGGGCTTGGGATGGACTCGACCTTCCCGTTGCATGTTGGGGTGGACTTGACCTTCCCTGTGGGTGTGGAGATGAACTTGACCTTCCTGTTGGATGTTGGGGTAAACTTTGACCTTCCCTTTAAGACTTGGGGTGGACTTGGCCTTCCTGTTGGGTGTTGGGATGGACATGACCTTCGTGTTGGATGTTGGGGTAAACTGTGACCTTCCATTTAAGCCTTGGGATGGACATGACCTCCCCTGTAAGACTTGGGGTGGACTTGGCCTTCCTGTTGGGTGTTGGGATGGACATGACCTTTGTGTTGGATGTTGGGGTAAACTGTGACCTTCCCTTTAAGACTTGGGGTGGACTTGGCCTTCCCGTTGGATGTTGGGATGAATTTGACCTTCCCTTTAAGACTTGGGATGGACTTGGCCTTCCTGTTGGGTCTTGGGATGGACATGACCTTCGTGTTGGATGTTGGGGTAAACTTTGACCTTCCATTTAAGCCTTGGGATGGACATGACCTTTCCTGTAAGACTTGGGGTAGACTTGACCTTTCCACTGGATGTTGGGATGAACTTGACCTTCCCTGTAAGACGTGGGACGGACTTGGCCTTCCTGTTGGGTCTTGGGATGGACATGACCTTCGTGTTGGATGTTGGGGTAAACTTTGACCTTCCGTTTAAGCCTTGGGGTGGACATGACCTTCCCTTTAAGCCTTGGGACAGGCTTGACCTTTCCATTGGATGTTGGGATGAACTTGACCTTCCCTGTAAAACATGGGACGGACTTGGCCTTCCTGTTGGGTGTTGGGGTGGACATGACCTTTGTGTTGGATGTTGGGGTAAACTTTGACCTTCCCTTTAAGCCTTGGGATGGACTTGGCCTTCCCGTTGGATGTTGGGATGAACTTGACCTTCTCTTTAAGCCTTGGGATGGACAGACCCTCCCTTTGGGCCGTGGACACACGTGCCCTCCCCTGCAGGACACTTGGGGCCTCACTCCCCACCAGCCACGGGGACCTTCCCGGCCTCACCCTCTGCAGATGTTGCTCAGACACGGGGTTCCCGCCCCAAGCGCTCTTGGCCACACGGAACTGGGCCACGTCCCTGGGGCCGCCTGGGTGGACAGGGGCTGACCTCCCGGCCCCCACGCCGTCCCTCAGGAGCCCCTCCCAGGGCGTCCCCACACTCCCCGAGCTGCAGGAGGTCTGCTGCTGCTGTTGGGGTCCTGCGGGCCTGTCGGGGGGCTCAGTTCTCCATAAGCTGCGTCCCCCTCCTCCCGAGGGCCCCCCGGCACTCAGGTCTGCCCCCACCTCTGCCCGCAGGTTACTACGGCGACGCCGATGACGGCCGGTACCCACCCAGACCTCGGCCGCCCTCGGGTGCGTGCTCAACCGGCGGGTGGGGGTGTCGGGGGACTCCGGCCCAGTCCAGACGGGGCTTAGGGCTGCGTCTTGGGGTTTCCCACCAGGAAGCGGTGACTTTGGGGAGCATGTCCCACAGCCACCCTCTGGGGAGTCTTCGGGGCATGACCTTGTGCTAAGTGTCTTCCCCCCAAACCCCCTGCAGGAGGCGGTGGTGGCAGCTACAACCCTGGTTATGACGGCTACGGAGACACGGCACATGGTACCGGGGCTTGGGGCGCCAGTTGGGGTCTCCGTACCCCTTGATACCTTCCTCCTGGGCTGCGGGCTCCTGTCTGCTGCCCCATCTCTGGTCTTCTGGGCTCTCCTGGTCTCGCTCCTGCCCCCCACCCCTGTGCCCGGCTAGAAAGGAACCCCAGACTCTCCAGGGGAACAGCTCCCAGGAGTATGGGGATCGGGGGCCGTCCCGAGCCGGCTCCCTGATTTCCCACGGAGAACACTTGGGGCGGAGAGTCTCTGCCAGACCAGAGGGATTGTCCTTGGCAAGACTGAGCCGTCCTCGGCGGAGACTGAGTGTCCTCCAGGCAAGTGCTGGATGTTAAAATCGTGGTTCTGGACGGAGAGGTGGGGAGCCGAGGTCACCCCCGGAGAACACGTCGCCCCATTTAGGGCATTTGCAAGTCTCAGTTGTGCAAAGATCATCAGAGCATCCGCTCAGAGCATCCAGTCCGGTCCACAGCGTGGTTTGCAGTCCCCCGGACCTGGAAGCAACCGGAGAGCCCGCCGAGAGGGGCCAGGCCAGCAGACGTGGGCTGGCCACCGTGTGGAATACTACTCAGCCCTGAAGAAGGAAGCAAAGTTGCCGCCTGCAGAAAAACAGAGCAGGGTGTGCAGGGAAGCGAGGCAGAAAGGAGCAGGGGTCAGAGCAGGGGGTTACGCGAAGCAAAGTGGACCTGCCCCAAGGAGGGGGTCTGTGAGGGCCACAGGGAGTGGACGGGAGGATGTGCTGAGGCAGAACCAGGGGGAATCGTGAAACAAAGCTCTGCTGTCCACACACTAGGAGGAGCTGCAGAGAGGGCTCCTTTCTGCCAAGGGGGCTGGCATAGGTTTTGGGGTGTCTTCCTGCACACGCCGGGCACAGGAGGTGAATTTTCCAAGTGCAATGGCCGCTGTTTGGGGTGGGGTTCGTGGCTCGGCCCCCACGGTCGGTCCAGGGCTTCCAGGGCGCTCACCCTGGGGCCGAGTGGTCAGTCTGCTCTGGGCCATCGGGGGGATTAGTGGGGGGCTCTGCTTGGGCCTGGATCTCAGTGGGGGTGTCTGCTTGGGCCGGGCTCTCTGCCGGGGCTTCCCGTGGATTCTGGGGCACCTGCTCTTCCGTTTCACGCGATCTCTCCGCCCGCAGGAGGAGGGCGCTACAGACCCAACCCCCACGGAAGTGGTTACGGTAACTGGCGTGTCTGGGCCGCTGAGGACGCGCGGGCCCTGCTTGCGGGACTAACCCCCCTGGGCTGACCGAGCTGTGTCCCCGCGGGAACTAACCCGGCGTCCTGGCTGCAGCCTCGGTTTCCCCAGCGGAGCTGAGGCCGCTTGCAGGTGTCCGCGTGGGTGTGTGATGCTGCTGCATGCGCGTGCACAGCTGTGGATGGGCGCATGCGTGTGAGCGTGTGCTGTGCACACACGCGTGTCTGGGTGTCTGCATGGATAAGCCGTGTGCACCCATGTGTAGGCGCGGGCATGTGTTGTGCACACACGTGTGGGTATATTGCGGTGCATACGTGTTTATGGTGGTATGCATGTGTCTGTATGTGTACACATAGCACTTGCACACACGTGTTTCGGGCACGCCACTGTGTACACTTGTGCGTATCGGTGTGTGCACTGGTGTGTTATAGGTGTGTTGCTCACGTGTGTGTATGAGCATGAGCAATGCCTGCGCTGGCCGTGTGCACACGTGTTTGTGCAGACGCATGTGTGTCTCTGGATGTCTCTTCTGTTAGGTGCACAAATGTGGGTGTGTGTTCACACACGTGTGTGAATGCATGTTGTGTATACATGTACGTGTTGCAAAGCCCGTGTCTGTGCCAGCAGACTCGCGCGCACAGATATGCACATCTGGGCTGTGTGCACACGTGATGGTGACATGTGTGTGCGTGTGTGCACATGTGTGGGGTGTTTGCGGCGTCTGCACGCATGCCCAGCTGCAGGTCAGCTTTGCACACGCGTGTGTTTGTGAGGGTTCCTGTGCCTCGCGTGTGTGTGCGAGGGGCTCCCCCCGCCTGTGCCGCGCTTTGTGTGCGTGTGGGTGACGCCCGCAGCTGTGCGCCCGCGTGTTGCACGCGTGTCTGCGTGTCTGAGCCTGGGTTGCACCGGGACGGCCTCCCGCACTGACCCGCCCCTCATCCCCCGGTTCCCCGCAGGCGGCAGCGGACAGTCCACCTACGGCCACCAAGGTAACGGCCGCGGGGGCCGCGGGCGCTGCTGGCTCCGCGCCGGGAGCCCAGGGGCCGGGCGCTCTCGGGCTCTGGGGTGGACGGGCCCGAGGCCCCTGGAGCAGGGCTGAGGCCCCTGGGCCTGCCCGGGGGACCCCGAGGGCCCGTCCCCTGCCCTGCTGGCCGCACGGTGACCGTCATGGTCACGGCCTCGTTGTGTCTGGGGACCCTGAGCTCACGAAGCCGGCGCAGGAGACGCCGCCGGGGGGCCCCGGCTGCCGGCCGCGGGGTGGGGGCGCGGGTCAGTGTCCAGCGGGCAGCAGAGACCGCCGGGCTCAGCCCGTGTCCTCGCCCGCAGGCAACACCGTGGCCAAGGTCGTGTCTCCGATCGTGTCCATGGTGGTGGTGACGCTGGTGGGGGCGGCCATCAGCTACTACAACCGGCGCAGGAACTGCTGCCAGAGAGGGGGTGAGTGCCGGCGGGAGGCCCCCCACGTCCCCCCCGGGCCAGCCCCGCCCCGGCTGCTCGTGGAGGCCGAGAGGGACTGAAGAGGCTCCGTCTCCTCGTGCTCGGGGCAATTTTCACATCAAGCGAGTTGGAGAAAGTCGTGGGGTTGAGCCAAGCGTCCCCCCGGCCCCCCAAAGAAGACCACGGAAGCCCCAAGTCTCAAGCTTTCTCTGCCATCTGGGGGCCCCGCTGGGTCTGGGATTCTGATTCGGTTTGGGGTTCAGGTTTAGCCATTGTTGGGGCAGAGGCCGGGTGTGGGGGCAGACAGAGGGATGTTTATGGCCCCGATGGTCACCCCACCCTCCCAGCATGTGCCTGTGGCTTTCCCAGGGGAGACTCCTGCACCCCTCAACTCTCCTATGTTTGCCGCGGAAGCCAGAAGCACCCCCAATTCCCAGGGCCTTTCCTTTTGGAGTTTCCTGGGGCCTCCAAACCCCAAAACCTGTGTGGGAGCTCCCTCTGCTGCTGATGCGAGGCACTGACCCCCCACAGCTCCCCAGCCTGGCAGTTTGGGGGGACAGTGAGTCTGTGCATAAAACAAGCGTTTTATACACAACTTGATTCATCTCCCCAAGTGTCGGCGGGAAACACAGAGGCAGCGCCCCGAGGAGTGAGGTTCAGGGGCGCCTGGGGTGGGCGCAGGGGGGTCCTGCTGAGACTGACGTGGGCTCTCCCTCTTCCCCTGCAGCCCCCGAGCACGTGTGAGGGCTCCGAGCCCCGCGGCCCCCACTGAGGAGAACCCCATGGAGAGAAGAGCCCCACTGCTCCCCTCCGTCCCCGGCGAACGCTCCCCCCAAAAGTGTTTTCTCTTAGCTGGAAGCAGCTGAGCCCCTCACACCCCAGCCCCGGACGCGGCGGCCTTCTGGGGACACCTGCGCCCCGAGATCTCGGGGATGAGACCGTCCATCGGCCTGTCAGCTGGAGCCTTCTTTGGGGGGCAGACTCCCACGCGGGCACCCCGAACTACCTCGCCGCGGGATGACCCCCCGCCCGCCGGGTGCACGAGCCGCCAGGGTTTCTACCAGCCTGGGCGGGCGCCGGGCGCATCCCTGAGGGATGTCGGGAGCCAGGACGGCCGCCTGCTGGTTTCGGGGTGCCGGGCTGAGCCCCTGGCGGAGTCTAGTCATCCCCGTGCCCGCCGGCCCGGCCGGAGCAGGCGGGGCTGGGGTTCGGCTGCCCGTTTGCTGATGCTGGAGCTGCCCCGGGAACAGGTGGTATTTTGGGTGACATCTGAGGGTCTCAGTGGGGTTTTTTGGGGGGGGTGGGGAGAAATAGATGGAGACAGGAGGAATGTGCGCACTATGCTCGTGTATATCCTGGGGTACCAGGTTTTTGGGGGTCAGTCTTACTTTCTCGGGGTACTTTTAGGGTTAAATCCTCCCGATCTGCACAGTACTCTTTGCTTCTTACTTTGCAGCGATTTGGGGGGGCGGAAAGATTCATTAGGGAGGGGGGTTGGGATCTCCCAACTGGGGTGCAGGGTCTGGTCATCTCAGGCCGGCGATGCGGGGGATCCTGGCCTTCGGGGGGCCCGAGGGTTCGCCAGGAACGGAGCGGGCTTTCCGCAGGCGGGAGAGGAGCCGGGAAAATCCCAAATACGCTCGCTGTGCGCCCCAAATCCTGGGGGGACGCGGGCAGGAGGCCTGGGGGAGAGTCCCGGTGTGCAGGAGCGCCCACTCAGGGCCGGCCCCGCAGGCTGCGACCCCGGGGGGTGGCCCGAGTCCCTCCTGGCGAGCCTGTCCTGGGGTCACTTTATTACGGGGTGTGTCCCCCCATGGGCACACGTGCCGGACACGCGCCACGAGGGCTTCCGGGGGGTCTCCCCGTCTCTGTAACCGCCCCAAGCACTGCCGTCTAATAAACGTGGAGAGGAAACCGCGGTCACTGGGGGGCTCCTTCCTGACGCGGGGGAGCAGGACACGAGGGGGGCCCGGCATGTCCCGAAACCTCCTGAGGCCGCCGGGCCGCCCCTGGGCCGCGGTGTTGGGGCGCGTGTCCCCAGAGAGGGGGCAGGGAGCCTGCAAGACGCCGCCAGCCCGTGGGAGCAGCAGGTCAGACGTGCCCGGACACCCGCTGCCCGCCCTGCCCGCCGGTCACTCCCGCCCTCCGGCCCCAGCCGGGCCCGGCCGACTCCCCGGACCCTCCGCGACCCCCCGCGGCTCCCGTGTCCCCCGCCCCGAACTCCGCTCCTGTCCCGACCAGGCTGCGCCCCAGGGCGCCCGGACCCGCGCCCTCTCCGCCCGCAGCTGGACACGGGCTGCGTCCAGGGAGCTGCGGCACGTGGACACCCCGAGCCCCGGCCTCCCCGGCCGGCCCCTCCGGGGTGTCCTGCAGCAGGACGGGGGGCTTCTCGGGACTGTGCGCGAGGGGTGGCCCCCGTGGGTCTCCCCGTGCCCTGCAGCGGTGGGGGGGTCGCTCCTTCCGGCCACCTGCCTGGACCCGCGATCCCCCCTGCCTTTCCCGGCCTGGCTGGGGTCTGGGGGGACCCGGGGACCCTCCCTGGCCCTTGGACTGCCCCTTTGATTTCTCCCCCGCACTGGCGTCTCGGGGACCCCACCTGGCCGGGGGGGCACGTCCAATTCCACGGGCCTCACTGGTCACTCGTTCATTCCCGCCTGCACGCGTTCGCGGGGGTCACGCCCCTGCGGTGCTCGCCCTCCCGGGCACACGCGGGCACACGCGGGCACTCGCCCCTGCACACGCGGCGCGTCATCCACGCCCTGCACCGTCCACCCGTCCCACGCGCAGGCGCCCCCACGCCAGCAGCTCAGGGGCAGCGTCCCTCGTGCATCACGCTCGGGAGCAGCACCCGCCCGCCCCCTGCGCCCCTCACTCACTCCCCCTGCACCCCCACTCGCCCCCGGCGCTGTCACCCGCCCCCCGCGCTCCCCAGTCACCCCCGAGCTCCCCCACTCGCCCCCTGCGCTGTCACCCACCCCCTTGCGCTCCTCACTCACTCCCCCTGCACCCCCACTTGCCCCCTGTGCTCCCCAGTCACCCCCGAGCTCCCCCACTCGCCCCCTGCGCTCCGTCACCCCTGAGCTCCCCCACTCGCCCCGCCCGCCGCGCGCGCCGCGCACCCCTCCAGCCCCCCCCGAGAGCCGCGCGCCCGGGCAGCCACGGCCTTGGCGGGCCCGCGGCCACCGCAAACACGGACTCCGGGGCCGGCCGGGGAAGGTCCAGCGGCCGCGAGGACAGCGCGCGAGGACAGGCGGCCGGGCCGCAGGGCGCGAGGGGCGGGCGGAGGAGCCGGGGCCGCCCCTCCCCGCGGCTCCCCGGCGGGGCCCCAACATCGGCGGGCGGCTGGCGCGGTGGGCGGGGCAGCGCCGGCGCCAGGGAGACCCCCGGCCCCCAGCACCCCGCCCCCAGCACCCCGCCCCCCGCGGCCAGGGCCGGGCGGGGCCGCGCTTCCGGCGAGCGGCCAATCGCGGGGCGCGGGGCGTCTCCGGCCGGCGCTGGTCGGAGGCTGCCGGGGCGCGGAGGAGGTGCCCGGGGGGGGGCGCTGGGGGCGCTGGGGCTGGGAAGGGGTGGCGTGCGCGCGGGGGTTTTGGGGTGCTGGGGACCACGAGCTGCCGGCGCTCGCAGAAGGTGCGGGGGGCGTGCCCGGGGCGGGGCGCACAGAGTCTCTCGAGGGCGGAGGAGGGGCGGGGCGCATGGGGGTGCCTGGGGCGTGGAGGCGCGGGGCACTGCGGGGTGGGGGCCTGAGGGGCCCCCTGGGCGCGGGGGAGGGGCGGGGCCGCAGGTCAGCGGGGCGCGGGCGGGGGGGGCGCGGGCTGGAGGCGGCCGGAGCGCGCAGGAGCCGCGGGGAGCGCGGGGCGCCGGGCCAGAGGCCGGTTGGGGATCACCCCGGAGCGCGCAGGCGGTGCGGGGCGCTGGGGAGTGGGGTGTCCCTGGGCGCGGGGCCAGAGTGGGGCAGGGGCTGCCCGCGGGAGGGGCGGGGCTCCGCGGTGCGGGCGCCCAAGGCTGGGGAGCCGCCTCGGAGTCCTGGGGTTCGGGGGGCGGGGCTGGCAGGCTGCCCGCATGTGGAAAAGGAGCAGCGGGGCGCTGCACCCCAGGGCACGCGCGGGGACCACCCGGCCGAGGCCTCCCCGGCGCGCGGGTTCACTGGGCGCAAGTTTCTCTGGGGCGCGCGGGGATCGAGGGGCGCCAGGCCCGAGGACTGAGGCTGCCCCGGGGCGCAGAGAGTAGCCGGGGCGCGTGGGGCGCGCGGGGCGTGTGGACGAGCCCGACCTGTTCCCCGCAGGCCGGAGCTGCGCGCGGGTCCCTGGAGACGCCTCTTCGGGGCTGCTCGTGGCCGGAGCGGGCGCACCCCTGGGCGCAGAGCCGCGCGGGCCTCCCCCCGCGCCCTGGACCATGTCGGGTGAGTGGAAGAAGCCTCGGCTTCGGCGTCTGCGCGCCCAGTGCGAAATGGATCCGCGCGCCCCGAGACCCTGCTCCGCGCACACAGCTGCTGCCAGGCGCCCCCAAACCCAGCCTCCCCCGAGCTGGGTCTCAGTGCGGGTCGTTGGCTTTTCCGGCTGGAGCTGGGTGGGGCGCCCGTTGGGGATCAGGGGGCGCCCCGGGGCCATCCGTTCCCACCTGTTCAGCAGCAGCTGGGCGCTTCAGTGGCCACCTCCAGGCGACAGGGTGAACAGGAGACGGAGAAGCTGGCGCCCCAGCTCTGGGGACGGCCCCCTCCACCCCCTGAGGTCCAGGCACTGCAGAATCCCCTTCCCAGCTAAGCTCCGGGCTCATCCCAAAGGGCTTGGGGTGTCCAGGTGGGTGCTGGCTCGGACCTCGAACCAAGCTTGGGCTCCGGCAAGTGTCCTGGCCAAGGGGGGGACCCCGCCCCAGAGGACGATGCCCCTCTGGCACCACCCAGCCTGGCCCCCCATCCTGGGAGGCTGTGGGCAGATCCTGGCCATGGCTGCCCCTCGGGGCAGAAAGGGCCGTTTTCCTGCTGGGGTCGTGTTTGGGGAAGCCGAGAAGTGTGGGGCCCGAGCGGAACCCCTCTGGCCCCGGCCCCGGGCTCACACAAAGGCCACATTCAGACGGGCTGGCTCCGCAGCCTGGAATGTGCTGGACGCCTGGACGCCGGTCCCTGCGGGGACAAAGCACCTTTGAGTGGGACGCGGGCGTGTGCCGGGCGCTGGGCGGCGCGGGCTCCGGGCCTTCCCTGCAGGCTGGTGCACGTCGTTGGCTCCGGGGCCCGGGGTGGACGGGACTGTCCGGTTTGCCGGGGCGCAGGCCCCGGGCCCCTCCGGGAACCGTCGGTGGGAGGCCCCGGGTGGCAGCCCAGGCCACAGTGGCTCGTGGGTCCATCGCTCAGAGTCCGGCCACGTGGCGCCTGAGGACGGACCGGACCCCCTTCATCCTCGGCCCTCAGGCCCGGCGAGCCTCGGCCAAGGCTGCCCGGAGCCTCCAGGGTCTGCCCGGAGGCCACTCTGGGTTCCGGGAACCAGTCGGCTCCCGGCTGGGGACTGTCCGTCCCTGTGGCGCCCCCGCCCCTGGGGTCCCCCGATGTCCAGTCTGCCCCTCCTCCCGCTGCTCAGCCTGCAGCCCCCTCGCGCCAGGTCCGGCCGGGGCCCGGGGTATTTCCTGGGGTTCCCGTGGGAGCAGGAAGCTTGGTGAGCGCCTGCTCCTGGGGTGCCGGGCCCTGCTCTCCCCGGACGCGTCTCCTCCGCGCTGAGTGTTTCTTTCCGCTCCTGCGTGATGTCCGCTGGCACCCCTGGCCAGCCCAGGTCCCCGGACGCCTGCTGGCCGGCTGCCTGCCCTGGGGCGGGGCGGTTTTGGGACCCTGGCTCCCTGGGTCCTTCTCCTGAGAGGGGCGCTCCTGTCGCCCCGAGTTTGCAGCAGGTCTGGGGGAGTTTTCTGCGGTGAGAGCGCCATGAGCGGCCACGCGGCTGTGGCCGGAGAAGCCCTCGCTGCTGTGGCTGCGTCTGCCTCACTTAGGGGGTTCTCTTCGGTTTCTCGGAGCGCCTGTGCACACCTGTGTGCACCCGTGTGTGCTGGTGTGTGTACCTGTGCACGCCTGTGTGCGCCTGTATGCTGGTGTGTGCACCCGTGTGTGCTTGTGCGTGTACCTGTGCACAACTCTGTGCACCTGTGTGTGCTGGTGTGTACCTGTGTGCCGATGTGTGCACCTGTGTGTACCTATATTCACCTGTGTGTGCTGGTGTGTACCTGTGTGCTGATGTGTGCACCTCTGTGCACTTGTGTGCTGGTTATATACTTGTGTGTACCTGTGTGCACCTATGTGTGCTGGTGTGTACCTGTGTGCTGATGTGTGTACCTGTGCTGAAGTGTGCACCTCTGTGCTGATGTGTGCACCTGTGTGCTGGTGTGTGTGCCTGTGTGCATCTGTGTGTGCTGGTGTGTACCTGTGTGCACCTGTGTGTGCCTGTGCGTACCTGTGTGCACCGGTGTGTGCACCTTTTTGCGCTGGGGTGTACACCTGTGTGTGCCGGGGTGTGCACGTGTGCATCTCAGTGGACGGACGAGGCTGCCTTGTCGCTGCTGCGCACCGTGCAGACCCCCCGCCCCCAGGGTAACCTCTGCTTCCGTCCTCGTCCCCAGTGTCCGACCAGGCGTTCGTCACGCTGGCCACCGATGACATCTCCTGCCAGGGGGCCCTGGTGCTGGGACAGTCGCTGAGGAACCACGGGACGTCCAGGAAGCTGGTGGTGCTCCTCAGCCCGCAGGTGTCCGGCCTGCTCAGGTGAGACTGGGGAGGTCTGACTCCCTGTGCAGGGCCAGCCAGGCCCTTGGTGCTGAGGCCCCAGGAGGCCTGCTCTGCCCGTGGGACCCAGGCTGACCTTCGGGTGTAGGTGCTGACGTCCACGAGCAGATGGTAACCCTCACAGGTAGGTGGTGACCTGATTCAGGCTTTAGAGATGACCTTCATGCGGAGATGGTGACCTTCGGGCGTAAGTGGTGGCCTTCAGGCATAGCTGGCTGGACAGATGGGTGGATGGGTGGATGGATGGACGGAGAGGTGAACGGATGGAGAGATGGAGTGATGATGGATGGATGATGAATGGATGGGCATGGCTGATGACCTTCACACCTAGGTGGGTGGTGACCTTCACAAGTAGGTAGTGACCTTCAGGAGTAGGTGGTGACCTTCAGGAGTAGGGATTGATTTTCACGAGTATGTAGTGACTTCAGGTCTAGGCGGTGACCTTCAGGTCTAGGGGATGACCTTCATGAGTAGACGGTGACATTCACGAGCACGTAGTGACCTTCACATGTAGGTGCTGATCTTCAGGCTGAGGTTGATGGATGATGGATGGTGGATGATGGATGGATGGATAATAATGGATGGATGGATGATGGGTGGATGATAGATGGCGGGTGATGGATGATGCATAGTGGATGATGGATGATGGATGGATGATGGATGGACGATAGATGATGGATGATGATGGAATGATGATGGGTGGATGATGAATGGTGGGTGATGGAGGATGGATGGAGGATGGATGATGGATAATGGATGGATGATGGATGGGTGATGGACGATGGCGGATGGACAGATGATGGATGGATGGATGGATGGATGGACAGATTCACGAAACAAAAGCAAAGCAAGATGGCGGTTAGCAGAGGGAAGCAGAAGGGGAGCCTGCGTAGTGGAGCCCCCTGGTTGGTGGCTGGACATGGTTGGTGGGCGAGGGGAGACACATGCAGTAGCTGAGGGGAGCATGTGTCCTCCCGCACCCAGTGCTGTGTTGGAAACTAGTCTGACCTCAAAAAAAAAATACCAAAAAAACAAAACCAGAATTCCGGGAGAGGACCCTAGATAATACAGTGCAGGATTCACCTTTTCCATATCCCGGTGGCGATCCCTGGTCACCCCTGTGCACCCGGCCATCACGGACCCAAAAAACCTGCCAACATCCGTTCCGGCAGCCGGACACTGGAAGGACCAGACCTCGCGTGGGCCCCGAGGCGACAGCTCCGTGGATTTCGCTCACGAATCACGTGCTCGGCCCCTCCTAACGCCGCGTGTTACGTAAACAAGACTCTTCTCTCAGCCCCGGGGGCCGCTTCACAAAATGGGTTTTCTCCTAACGGCCCCAGGAGGCGCTTCCCACGGGACTTGCCGGCGACACGGCGTGTTGCGTTCTCTGGCTATCAGCTCAGCAGCCCGGCCGCGAGGAGCAGCATGAACGGCAGCGGAAATAACCGCGCATCACGGCGCGGTCCCCTGGGGATCCCCCACCCGCGGGCGCTCCCGCTAGGTGGGCAGAGGAAACCCGGGATGAGACGCTATTTAACAAATAATTGCAGCGTGACGGCCGTGCGTGCCAGCTCCAGGCCCCGCGACGTGCCCGAGAGGGAGATTAAAATCCCGAAAGAACCTTTGCTCTTCCGAGCGCTTCGCGCTTAAAGCGACAGCAGAAAACGCGTCAGGCGAACGGAAGGAAGAAGTTCCTGAAGGCGACGGAACAAGAGAGAAACCCCGGCGGGTGATTTCAGAACAAACATCGGAAGTAGAAGAGAAGCGCCCGGACCAGACACGCAAATCCGGGCCCAAGACGTGCCCACGGCAGTCACCTGGGTGCGGCTGAGGTGACAGCAGCAGGTGCCAGGAGGGGCACTTGGCTGCCAGGGGGAGGTCGGAAGACGCTTGGTCCTGCGGGAAATGCAGATAATAACGCAGCTGGCCCCGGACGCCAGGACCCCAGGACCCCAGGACGTCCGCGGACCGTCGTCAGGGGCGACATGGAGGCCGTCGCCGGGAGCTCAGCGGGTCGCGGGCCGTGTCCGGCAGTTCTGGGCGCCGCCCCCTGAGTTGCTCACAGTGAATTAATTTCGACGTGATCGGAGCCACGCGGAGCCTGGGGACGTGGCTGCTGATTTATTGGGAGGGATGGTTGCCATCCTGCGAGCCCCGCCTGCTGGCGGCTTTTACTGTGTTTACACGGGGAGCAAAAGGCTTCATGATGCGGAGCAGCAGACAGGCCAGCCCCAGCCGAGCCGGCTGAGCAAGCAAGGGAGCTATTTAAGACCCGATGGGTGCGAGGGAGCCTGTCGGTGTGTCGGAGGGAGCTGACAGGCGAGGCTCTGCTTGTGAATGGGGAGCATATGGCAAATGCACTCGGGAGACTGTGATGAGGGGAGCAGGGAAATCTGCGAATCCAGCAGATCTCAGCCTTGGGATTGCTGTCGTGGGGCTGGCGGACTTCCTGGGGTGGCTGTCCTGGGTCCCGTGGGGGGCTGAGTGGTGTCCCACATCTCCATCCTCTGGACGCCAAGGGCCTCGGCCCCCCGAGCTACACACAGAGGTGGCTGCAGATGTTGGTGACTCTCCCCTGGGCATGGAAGCTGCCTGGAGTTGAGAGCACCACTCAGCTGCTGGTGCTGGTAGACATGTCGCCAGCAGAGGGCAGGGATGCGTGCAGAGTGGAGAGGAGTAGAGCAAATGGTGGCCAGGTAACAGGGGAGAGGGGATAGGAAGGTATTGATAGGCAGGTTGAAGAGTGATAGATGAGGGGTGCATGGATAGACAGCTACCTCCCTGCATGCACGCTTAGACGTTAGATGGCTGTATAGATAGGTAATATTTGGATGGATCGATGGATGGATGGATAGATGGATTGGTGGATGGATGATGGGTGAGTTGGATGTTGGATGATGGACGGATGGATGATGGATGGATGATGGATAGATGGTGGATGATGGATGGATGATGGATGGATGGTGGATGATGGATGGATGATGGATGATGGATGGATGATGGATGATGGATGGATGATGGATGGATGATGGCTGATGGATGGATGGTGGATGATGGATGGATGGTGGATGATGGATGGATGATGGATGGATGATGGATGGATGGTGGATGATGGATGGATGATGGATGGAGGATGGATGGATGATGGATGGATGGTGGATGATGGATGGATGATGGATGATGGATGGATGATGGATGATGGATGGATGATGGATGGATGATGGATGATGGATGGCTGATGGATGGATGGTGGATGATGGATGATGGATGGATGATGGATGATGGATGGATGATGGATGGATGATGGATGGATGATGGATGGATGGTGGATGATGGATGGATGGTGTATGATGGATGGATGATGGATGATGGATGGATGATGGATGGATGGATGGATAGTGGATGGATGGTGGATGATGGATGGATGATGGATGGAGGATGGATGGAGCATGGATGATGATGATGGATGGATGGTGGATGATGGATGGATGATGGATTCATGTGGATGGATGATGGATGGATGCATGGTGGATGGATGATGAATGGATGGATGATGGATGACGGATGATGGATGGAGGATGGCTGGTGGGTGGATGACAGGGTCTCATCCTAAGGTCAGGTCTCTGACATCCCATACTGACCATGGTGCTGGACGATACATGGTGTCCTGTGCTCTCTGAGGGGTTAAGCGTGTGGTGGGTTTGGACCATGGTGCCCGCTCCTCGCCCTCCCCGCCTCCCGCACATGCTGTGTCTTCCAGGGTCCTCCTCTCCAGGGTGTTCGACGAGGTCGTCGAGGTGAACCTGATGGACAGCGCAGACTACGTCCACCTGGTCTTTCTCAAGAGGCCCGAGCTCGGGGTCACCCTCAGCAAACTCCACTGCTGGACCCTCACCCACTACAGCAAGTGTGTCTTTCTGGACGCCGACACCCTGGTGAGCGGGGGTTGGTCCCCACCTGTCCAGGAGCGCAGGCATTCTTGTGCATGCTGGTCAGCGCCCACATGGCCCCCCCAGCCTTGCCCTCGCCCTGCCCATCAGCATCCACAATGCGCCCCCAGACCCGCCCTGGACCCCGCGGAGCCTGGGTGACCTGAGATGGTTTCTGACCAGGGTGGGTTTCTCATCCCCTTGTGCCGTCTGCACGAAGTGGGATAATTGGGAGACAGTCCATTGCTTCCATGGACATTGGCGCATGTGGCCTCGTGTGGACAGGACCAGCCCCCCGGCTTTGCGGCCCCCCGCATTGTCATTTGCCACATGGGACGTACCCTTGATGGCCACGTGGGGAGTACCCTGCAGGGTAGAGACCCTGCTGGCCACTTGGGGCCCTGGATGGCCACTTGGGGGTGGCGCTCAGGGTGGGGGCCTCAGTGGCCACTGTCAAAGTCAGTCGTCGGAGCTGGAAGTGCAGCCCAGGCCGGGTCCGTTCTGGACGTCGGGTTCTGGGGCAGCGCGTGCAGCAGGGCCAAGGAGTGGACGGTCAGGGCCGTGGCCCCCCAGCCACGCATGCAAGAGGCTCCCCAGAGGCGTGCCGGGCCGAGGCGCTCCATCCCCCGCTCTGCTCGCCAGGTGCTGGCCAACGTGGACGAGCTCTTCGACAGGGGCGAGCTGTCCGCCGCCCCGGACCCCGGCTGGCCCGACTGCTTCAACAGCGGCGTGTTCGTGTTCCAGCCCTCCCTGCACACGCACCGGCAGCTGCTGCGGCACGCGGGCGACCACGGCAGCTTCGACGGTAGGGATGGCTCGTGGGCGCCAGGGCGTGGGCTGTGGGCAGACCCTGCCCGGCCCACCCCGCGCCCTGAATACCGGGAAGGTGAGGGCCGCTAAGGTGGGCGTCGGGGAAGGCGTCGGAGGTAGCGCGGAAACACCCTCCCGCCGCGTCCCGGCGTGCAAAGGGGAGACCTGCTCTCCAGGGGGCCCGGTGGCCAGACTGAAGGCGGGTGGAGCAGAAACTGAGTATTTGATGGACCGGGCAGTAGCCGGGACAGCGCTGGTGGTCAGTTTAGTGAAAATGCAGCCCGGGTGAGGCGCCTGGCTGGGGGCGGGGCGGGGGGCGCAGGCAACGCCTCCGATGTCGGCACAGCCTGGTTGGCTTCTCCGTGGGGATCTGGAGCGGGCGGGTCCTGGGGGTCCACACCCTTGAGGCCGTCTCTACCGAGCAGAGGGACATGGAGCGGGGGACCTCGGACGCGAGGGTTCTCCTTGCCATTCACGCTGGTCCCCGTCCCGCCCGCCGGGCTCCCCGCTCACCTCTCCCGCCTCTGCAGGGGGCGACCAGGGCCTGCTGAACAGCTTCTTCAGCGGCTGGCCGACGGCGGACATCCACACGCACCTGCCCTTCGTGTACAACCTGAGCAGCAGCTCCGCCTACACCTACGGCCCGGCCTTCCAAAGGTGGGTTCCCCGCTGGGCTGGGGCCTTTGGGCCCGTCCGGAGCCTCCTCGTGCCGGACCCGTGTCGGCTTTTGCTCCGTCGGGGAGCGAGGACACCCCCTGGCCGGCATGTTGCTTACGTGGCAGGTGACCTGGGCACAGAGTATTGACGGTCGTGGTTCCCCAAGGGTTGTCCGGAGCACCCCCAGGGCTCCCCCGAGACTCTTTCCAGCCAAAACAGGTGAAAAGATGTCGCCCCTTTCACTTTTCCTCATTTGGACTTTCCAGAAACCGTTCGGGGGAGCAGAGGCAGCTCCGCGTCTGCTCTTGTGGGCGCATCTGTCCATCCGGGTGCCGAGATAGGGTCTCTCCAAGGATGTTTTGGGGGGAAAACTGGTGGTTTTTCTCATGAAAAACAGGCAATTTATTCCTTTAGGCTCCGTTACTGTGCGATCTTAGCCTGTGGATTTTTTTTTGATGCACCGATACGGACATTTTCTCACTTTCCATTTCTGATTTTCTTTGAAGATTGATTTATTGATGCATACAAGAGTGGGGGTGCAGGCCGGAGGTGCGGGGGGGTGAGAGGACTCCCCAGAGACCGAGCGGGGAGCAGAACAGGTGCATCTACTGAAATCCACTGCTGAGGGGAGCAGTGGGAGCCCGGAGAGGTCTGCCGCGCCATGAGGGTAGCCCGCTGGCCTGGGCTGGAACTCATAGGTTGCGTCTTAACCCCTTGCACCCCCAAAGAGGCCCCAGGATCATGTATCTTGGCGTAGAAAAGGAGCCCCTGGAAACTTTGTCCCCAACAAAAGGTCTTGAAGCCAAACAAACACCAGGCAACGTGGCTGCCATTCCGCTCCCAGGGGCCTGAGCGCGAGTCTTTCCGGCACCTTCCGGCATCTTCCGAGCGCGGCCAACTTGCCCGCGGCTGCAACCCTCTCTCTCTCTTGCCAGGTTCGGCTCCTGTGCCAAGGTCGTGCGCTTCCTGGGCCCCACCAAGCCCTGGAACTACAGGTTCAACGCGCAGACCGGCTCCGTGGAGGACGGCCTGGGGCTGGCCGGCCGGCACCAGCTGGCCTTCCTCAACCTCTGGTGGAGAACCTACCAGCGCGCCGTCCTGCCGCTCTACCAGCGGCTCCGGGACGAGGACGAGGGCCCGTGTCCGGCCCCCACGGTAAGTGGGTGCAGCCTGGGAAGCCACGCGTGGACCTTGGGGGTCCGTGGCCAGCCGCCCCGTCCACGTCCAGCCCCTTGGAGGCTGCACGGAGCCGCGCAGAAACGCCGCAGGGAGCTCTCCGCCGGGATTGTGCGCCCGGCACACGTCCACTTGCGATCATGCGCGGAGAGCGCTCGAGGCCGTGTCTGAAGAGCGCGTGTCCAGTTGTTGGGTGACACCAGCGCGACACCCCAGACGCCCCCAGCGGTGCGGGTCTGCGGGAGGCCTCGGCCGCGTCCAGCCGCCTTTGAGGACCCGTCCCGGGAAGCTTGATGTTTGTGGACCGGGGTTTTTGCCTGTCGGCTGGCCAGCGCGTGCTGGCCCCCGTGCAGCCGTGATTCAGTGCAGGACCTGGGGTGCGGGGAGGATCGGGGTGATGCAGGGGCTCCCCGGCTTCCGGTAAGAGGCAGGCTGGGGTGGTGCTGCTGGCTCTGAGGACGGGGGACCCGTCCGGCTTCTTCACGGCTGGCACATAGATGGGCATCGAGCGATTGGCCAGAGCAGGCGTCTGAAAGGAGTTTAATCCTCCCCTGTCCACCTGCAGTGTCCGTGGGCAGACCCGGCAGGACCGGCTCCCCCACGTGGCCCCAGCACCTTCAGAGCTCGGCTGAGGCAGCAGCACTCCGAGGGGGTCGAAGGGAGGCGCTTGGGGGGTTGACCGGGGAGGCCACAGGACACGCAGGATCATGTTCTGCCTCAGGGGAGGGACACTGTCGCCCCCCAAGAGTGCCTGCACCCTCACCCTTGGTTCCCAGGGTCCCGAGGGCAGCATCGTTGAAGAGCTCTCACGAGACCTTGCTAAGTGCACCCCCTTTTTGTGCAGGTTTGCCTGAGCGTGGTTGGGGTGCCGTGGGAGAACTCAGCGCCCAGCGAGGAGGGGCGGCGTGCAAGCTCAGGGACGGCGTCCAGCCAGCCTTGGCCTGACGAGGAGCCCGTGGACAGAACCTCGCTGGTGGAGGAGCCACCGGCCTCCCCAAAAAGATGCCATTTCAAAGAGGTAGGTACCCGCACCAAGTGCATCCCCCGCGCGGGATCCCCAGGAGGAACCCCAACCTGAGCAAGACTTGGCTAGACTGGGGTCCACCCTGGAGTCTGGGGAGGGCCACGGGGGACCCCAGAGCCCCTGGGGGGTACAAGGGGTCTCATTTCTGACAGCCCTGGGGCTCACTTGAGCCCGGGAGCCCATTGTGCTCCAGTTCTCGGGTGTCTGCTCACCCCCCTGGAATCCTGCGAGTCCGTTTCCAGGCGCCCCTCGTTTGCAGAGCAAGGAATGTTGAAGAGGCTGTTTTGTGCTCTTGGGTGTCCGAGCGGGCGCTTTGGGGGAGCACCAGTGACTCCCGGGGGGGTCTGGGGGATGAGCTGGAACCCCACACTCGCTCCTCTGCCTCCGTGGGGGGCCTCATCCCTCCGTGAAGGGTCCATGTGGAAGGCAAAGCCGAGCGGGGTGCGTTTGGTCCCCCCTGGACCGGACAGCGTCCTCCTGCCTCTGGGCGCCGGCCCGCCCTGCCCTCCGTCCTGGGTTTCTGGGTGTCCCTATACGTCCTGTTAGTTCCGCTCCCCTGGACACCCCAGATCCCCAAACCCTCTGTGCAGCCCCTGCTGCTCTGATTGTGCAACGAGGCCGTCTCTTCCCGGCCCCGCCCCGCCCCGTGCTCCCAGGTCAGCCGTGACCCGGGCTGCTGGCCGAGTCCCCCTGCTGGGGTTTCCCTGCGGGTGTCCCCGAGACCCCCCTAGCGCGTGGCTGCTGCCCCACCGTGGGCACCGGGCACGGCCACGACCATCAGGGTGGAAGGACGTCTGTGTCTCTGTGTGTGTTGTGTGTTCTGTTGCGTGTGTGTCTCTGTGTGTGTGTGTGAGAGAGACAAGGGCTCCAGCACCCAGGACACCCCCACTGGGAGGACCCCAGCTCCTCTCAGCCTCCACCCGCTGGCCCCAGCACAGGCGCCTCCTGGGGGACGCTCGGGCTGCCCTGGGGTGTCCCTGGGGCATCAGCACCCCTGTCCCCGGGGCCCCTGGGCACCCACCGCCGTGACCGCCCTGTGTCCGCAGGTGGACCTGTCCGTGTCGGTGGCCGAGCTCACCCTGCAGGACCCGGCGCGCGAGCGCAGCCCCGACGAGGCGCGGCGGACGTGGGAGGAGGGGCGCATGGACTACCTGGGGCGCGACGCCTTCGCGCGCATCCAGGAGAAGCTGGACCGGTTCCTGCAGTGACGCGGGGGGCGCCCGCGGCGGGCCCCCCAACTCCCAGCTCTGCTTCGCCAGCTGCGCGCCCCCAAGACCCCGTGAACCCTCAACCAGCCGGCTCGACGCCCCTCGGGTCCAGCTCCCCAGCCTCCGTCTCCCCGCGCACGGGTGGAAACTGCGGGGGATCTGGGGGCCTCACGGCCTCTCCTGGGGGTGACCGTTGTCAACGCAGCGACTCCGGGGGACGGCGCACGGTGTCTGGACCCCGACGTGCCCATTTCGGAGACGCGGGTTCGGGGACATTTGGCGCCGGCGGGGCGGATGCGCCTCCTGGGAACTGCTGGAAACCGCGCCTCGCCGACTGTGCGCCACGTGGACAGCCCCGCTCGCGCCCTCGGCGCCCGGGCGCCCCCTGCTACCTCTGCGCCGCGACACAACCCCTGCGCCCGGGCGCGCTCAGCCCCGCGCCCTCGGGAGTCTCCTCGCCAAGCCTCGTGGCCGCGGGGTCCTCAGGCGGCCACTCACCCCGCGCCCAGCACTGGAGGCCCTGGACGCCGGACGACGGGTTGGCCGCGCGGGATGGACTTTGAACTGCTGGACTTTCGTGTCTTCCACGCGCCATGCTGGGAAGCAGAGGCGGGGCGGGACGGGCTGGGGAGAGGGTGAGTCCTGGGTGTGGGGCGCGGCCCCCTGGGGCGCTGGGCTTGGTGCACGCGGTGGGAGTTTCAGGAAATGCGCGCGCAGGGTCCCCAAGGGCTGCCGGGAGGCGGCGGGGCCCGTCGGAATGGCCGGGTGGGCGGGACCGGGGGCGCACAGGGTGCACGGAATCGGCCTTGGGGGCCTTGGGGGGAGGCTTGTGCGCACGGAGGGACGCGCGCATGGGGGCTGCGCTCCCCAAAATTCACGCGCATCCTCCTCCTAGGGACTGCGCACTGCAGGAGGGTGTGCGCCCCTGTGCGGGTAGGATGGGCGCGTGCGATTAAAGCGTTGAAACGGCGGCTTGGTCTCCTGGTGCAGGCGCGGAGGGACGCAGCCGGCTGCGTCCTGCGGGAGGTGTGCGGGCTGGTGGGTGTGGAGCGCGCGCAACCGCGCCGTGGGTGCGCAGGGCGTCGTGGCGCAAAGCTCGCGGGCAAGGTGCAGACCCGAGGCTGTGCGCGCAGCAGACGCCCATCTGGCCCCTCCTGCTTCTCCTGCCCCCTCTCTGGCTCCTGCCCGTGGCCCTGCGGGGTCGCTCTCCGGCGCAAAGGGCCACACGCTGTCCTGTGAGTCAACCCTGTTTTTTTCCTTCTTCCACCTCCCAGCATCCGGCTCCCCCTGCGGACTGAAGCTGCTCTGTCTCTGCACCAGGGTCCATTGCACCCCTGACCAGGGCGCATGCCCATCTGCGCCTCTGACTTATTTCACCGAGCCCGGGCCTCTCTGATTCCACCCGTTGGCGCAAATGGCAAGAGCTCAGCTTTTTCATAGCTGCGTAGTATTCCACACATCCCGGATGCAGTCAGAGGACGAGAGTTTATGCTCAAAAGTCTCCAAGTGGGAGGCCAGACGCTGCCGTCTTGGATTCGTGGAGGCTCCTGATGGAGGCCACACACCAGACACACCCCAAGGAGCGAACAGCCCCCCGGAGCATGAGGATTTATTGATTGAGGTAAATTGGTTTACAGGATCGTGTGTCATTCAGAGGTCCAGGGTCACCCGTTGAAGGAGTTGTTGCCACGACGCCAGGGCAGCCATAGTCCTGCACCATGGGCCTCTGGGTAGTCCTGGCAGCCTAGCCCCTCCCCTCTGTACCCTCCATTTTACCCTCAAAATTCTAGGTTTATTACTTGGCTCTGTTTTCTGTTTCTCTTAATTCCACATCTAAGTGAAATCACCCGTGTCTGTCTCCTCCTGACTCATCTCACTGCACCAGGCCTCTCCGATTCCACCCACGTTGCCGCAAATGGCAAGAGTTCGCCTTTTTCATAGCTGCATAGTATTCCACATCTCCCTCACAGACTCAGAGGATGTGGATTTAGTTCAAAAGGCAAAGCCTCCAAGTGGGAGGCCAGGAGCTGCCATCTTGGACCTGTAGAGTCTCAAGAACGCCGTCGGCGGCGTGGAGGCCGCTGTTTCTGTAAAAATCAAAGAACTCAACAGATTCTATGAAGAATCCAAGAATCTGAGGAACGCAGCCAAGGGGCCGTCAAGAATGGCTCTTATGTAGCAGCCGGTTTGGGGATCAAGAACCCAACTGGATAATCACCGGAATCACCTCATTACCGGTTTGGATGCCCCAGCCCCGATAATCCGAAAGTTAAGGGGACGGACGTATTGTGGAAATCGCCGATGACCCCAAGTCACGATAATTGGCAGAACAATCGCTGAGCTGAAATCATTGTCCATCCACCCACTTGTAAACACCACGTCATGATATTAAAATTATATGCGCAGATTTATCTGAGTCCGAAATAGACCTCGAGGTCGCAGTCAGGTTAGCTCAGGTGACCCCAAAATCCGCCCCATTTTCGGAGCACGACGGAGCAAGTGAACCGGGAGAAGCTTCCGTGAAGGGAGGGTGGTTCTGTGCCGGGGAGAACGTGCGTGATTCAGACAATCTCAGGACTCTTTCCTCCGGTGCAGCCCCGGCCTCTGGGGTGAGGTCCCCAAGACAGTGTCAGGACACCCCCAGACATGTGTCCATGGGGATTGGGTTCAGAGGGAGGCTGCTCCCTGACATGCTGCGGGTTCTCGGGGAGTCGAGGTCCAGACAGGATTTGCCTTCAGAGGCTTCTCCAGACAGGACTGCGGTTGTCTCTGCTGCTAGTTTGGGGGACTCTTGGAGTTTGGGGGCCACGTCCCACTGGTCCTGCTGCAAAGTCCATGCCTGAGCTTGGCTTCCAGGGGCACGCGCCCGCCCCACCTGACCGTCCTGTCTCTGACGAGGCCCTTGTGGAGGACACACATTCTCAAGGTGTCAATAACAGGCTCCCCAAGATGCTCAGCATCCCCAAGATATTCAGAACGGGCCCCTTTTAGAACAGGACCCCCAAGACACTCAGCATCCCCAAGATATTCAGAACAGGACCCCCAAGATGCTCAGTATCCCCAAGATATTCAGAACAGGCCACCCAAGATACAGTATCCCCAGGATATTCAGAACAGGCCCCTTCAAGATAGAACAGGACCCCCAAGATGCTCAGTATCTGCAAGATATTCAGAACAGGCCCCTTCAAGACAGGACCCCCGAGATGCTCAGTATTCCCAAGATATTTAGAACAGGACCCCCAAGATGCTTGGTATCTGCAAGATATTCAGAAGAGGACCCCCAAGATGCTCCGTATCCCAAGATATTGAGAACATGCTCCCCAAGATGCTCAGAACAGGCCCATTTGAGATAGAACAGGACCCCCAAGATGCTCAGTATCCCCACAATATTGAGAACAGGCTTCCCAAGGCATTCAGAAGAGGCCATTGCAGGGGATGCCGAGCCCCTCCATCCCTCTGCAGGGCCTGAGTGTTGTGTTTGAATCCCGCTGGGGTTGGGGCTCTGATCTGACGATGGCAGCTCGTCAACCCTCCTGGTGTGATTCGGGGGGACGGCTAGTGTGGAGGTGTGGACATGTGGACGGAATTCTCCTTGACCTGAGCCAGCACGGCTGACCTTGGGGATGGACGGTGTAAGGAAGCAATGAGGGAAGTCGAAGTGGGGCCCTGGTCCAGGCATCTCCCTAAGAGTTGGTGAGAAGCCCAGCTTCTGTGCAGACATGGGGGAGTCCCTGGGGGAACATGCTGGGGACTCTGGTTGTCCTTGGTCTCCTCTGGAGGCCGGTGTGAGGCTTCACCCGCCCTGGGTTGCTTCCCTCTGGACACCCATGAGTCGGGTGAGGCTGTACCTCTCCTTTAAAGCATTCTTACCCCCGTGTCTGCTTCTAGCAGCCCCGACTTCTAACTCACGAGGACTCACAGGCAAGGAATAGTACGCAGTCACGAAAAAGGAAGACGTGGAGGAGCAATGATTTGAGAGTGGAAATTATGCAAGAGCAGACCCCGATGTTTCGCCCTTGTCACCATAAGCTAGTCCACATAGTTCGCCACTTTATAAGGTTGTTCATGAAGCATTGAAACCCCAAATGCTGTAGGATGGATGGGTAAAATACCAGACTGGGGTGTTTAACAGGAGCAGGAGCATTCCTGGGGCTCCACTGTGATCCTCTTACTTCTCAGTCTAGACAACAGCCCCTTTGGGGCATTTGGGGTTAGCTGGCCTTGTCCTCTCTATTCTCCAGAGGATTGAGGTGTAACTGATAGATAAAAGGGTATAGATTCATGATTTGATAGACGTATGTGCCGTGAGATGACCAGAGAGAGAACTGTGTGTGTGTGTGGGGGGGGCAGGGGTGAGGACACCTAAGACCCGCTCTGAGCAGGTCCCTGAGCTCATTTCTCTCCTAACTGGAGTCTGAACCATTGCACCATCACCCCGGGGGCCCGCACCTGCCACCCTTGGTCGCCACCATTGCACAACCTTTCTCTGACTGAGGGTTTATTTTGGATGCCCCCCCAAAGGGACATCATACCATCTGTGTCTCGCTTATTCCACTTTGCAGGTCGCCCTCCAAGCCCATTCCTGGGGTCATGAATACCAGCATTTCCCTTTTCATGCCTGCATACTATTCCCGCATGGATGATGGATGGATGGAGGAGAGATGGTGGATGATGGATGGAGGATGGATGGAGGATGGATGATGATGGATGGATGGATGGATGGATGGATGACGGATGGATGGAGGATGGATGGAGGATGGATGATGGACGGATGATGGATGGATGGATGGTTGATGGACGGATGTCTGGGGGACTCTCCATGCTGTCATCCGTGGTGACTGCACCCATTTACATGGCTCAGGGGCCCTTTGCCCCGAGTCCCGCCAGCACATGTGGTGTCTGCTTCTCCTGCACACTGCCCTACTGGGCGGGAGACGTGGTCCCACCGGGGTCTCCGTCCTCCTGGCAGGAGCAAAAGGGGAACGTGCCGCAGCACGGCTGCAGCCATGGCTTCCACATGATGTTGTCCAGAGAGAACTGGGGCGGCACGGGGCTCAGCGTCCTCCGGTGCTCCTCCACCGCCTGGCCCACCCTGGCGATCACCGCCTGGTACCGGGGTTCAGAGTCGGGGGACAGGGGCCGTGCCTCAGAGGGGTCGCTGGAGAGGTCGAAGAGCAGCGGGGGGTGGTGGTGGGTCACGCCATCCCCCGAGCAGGGGCACACACCATGACCGTAGCAGGCACCGGCCCCCTCGGGGTGGAACCGGGGCGTCGTATAGTGGACCTTCCAGAGCCTTCCGCCTGGGAGCAAAGAGGGAAGTGGTCAGGGTGGGAGAAACCCACTGGACGGTCAGCACCCGACCCAGCCCCAGGGACGGGCCACCATCCCAGGGCCGATGAGAAGACAGGACACCCAAGGTGCTTGCACGTGGCTGACATCGCTGCTCAAATCAGCGAGGGTGCGTGTGTGTTGGGGAGCAGGTTTCTCTATGAGGGGTCTGCTCACAGGGAGACAAAAAGGGGCTCATTCGCAGTGTTCAGGGTGGCCAGCCACGGGCACTCACATAGACACCCACAGCATATGCGTATCCATCTCCCCTGTTGTGTGAATGTTCAACAGCCACAAATCAATCACTAGAAGCGGGATGAATCGATAGTGTGATCGGCAAAGGTCGTGCTATGTTGTATAGGGGTTTGCATAATAAAGGCAAAGGATGGCGCAGAGCACCCCAGGAGGATGGAGGATGGATGGATGATGATGATGATGGAGGATGATGGATGGATGATGGATGATGGATGATGGATGATGCATGGATGGATGGATGGATGGATGGATGATGGATGATGGATGATGATGATGATGATGGATGATGATGGATGATGGATGGATGATGGATGGATGATGGATAGATGGATGATGGATGGATGGATGATGGATGCATAGATGGATGGATGGATGATGGATGATGGATGATGGATGATGGATGATGATGGATGGATGATGGATGATGATGATGGATGATGATGGATGATGAATGGATGGATGGATGGCTGGATGATGGATGATGATGATGGATGATGATGGATGATGGATGGATGATGGATGATGGATGATGATGGATGGATGGATGATGGATGGATGATGGATGGAGGATGGGTGGGTGATGGCTAGGTAGATGGATGGATGGAAGTATAGACGGGCAGGTGGATGGATGGATGAAGCCTCCAGGGTTCGAGCTGCCCTACCCCTTCACTCTCCATGCTGCTCAGGCACCTGCCTTGTCTCCCTGGAAATTATCAGCGAATCCGCTCAGATTATAACAATGGGATCTGCTCCGTGTTTTTGAATTTTACGTGGCAACATCGTTGGGTTCTGGTGACACATGGTGAAACCCGAGTGCGGATGTCCCTGCGAAACTGTCTTTGAGATGAGACCAACACTGCAGCGGTGCACTTGGGGTAAAACATTGCTCAACGTGGGTGGATGGGTGGGCCTGGCCCAATCAGCTGAAGGACTTTCAGCAAAAAAGACCGAGGTGCCCCGGGGAGGGTGCTGTCCTGCCTTCAAACTCAAGCATGAATAACCTGCCCGAACGTCTAGACCTCGGACACAACACTGCACCACCAACTCTTGCCAGGCTGCTGCCTTCCCTGGAGATTTTGGATTTGACAGCCCTGTAAGCACATGGGACAGTTCCTTAAATTCTGTCCGTCCATGTATGTGTCTGTCCATCCATGAACCATCCATGAACCATCCATCATCCATCCATGTATCCGTCCACCTACCCATCTGCCTGCCCTTCCATCCATCCATCCATCATCTGTCCATCCATCAGCCATCCATCATTGATCCATCATCCATCCACCATCCATCCACCATCCATCCATCCATCCATCCATCCATCCATCCATCCATCCATCATCTCCATCACCCACTCATCACCCATCCATCATCCACCATCATCCATCCATCAGCCATTATCCATCCATCATCCATCCACCATCCATCCATCTACCCGTCTATCCATCTGCTCATCCATCCATCCATCCATCTCTCCATCACCCACTCATCACCTGTCCATCATCCGCCATCATCCATCATTGATCCATCATCCATCTCATCCATCCATCACCATCCACCATCCAGCCATCTACCCGTCTATCCATCTGCTCATCCATCCATCCATCTATCCATCCACCCACCCCGCCATTCCCACCTCTCTGGAGAACCCTCCTCCCATAAAGCCCCTGGCCCCCTCCCCAGTGTGTACTCACTGTCCCTCTCCTGCCAGCGGGCCGCGTGCAAATACTCCCCACAGTAGTGGAACAGGAACTCGTGAGCCGAGTGCCGCGTCGCTCCCTGCAGCAGGGGCACCAGGCTGCGCCCATCCAGCACCCTGATTCAGCGAGACCCCAAGGGCGGAGTCAGGTCCAGACAGAGTCCCAGCCCTGCACATCCTCGCACGCACCTGCGGTCTTTCCTGGGGAAGCTGCTGGCACGAGGACAAAGACTGCGCTTCGGGGTGAGACGCTGGGGACAGAGGCCAGCGCTGAGTCCGCAGCCAGGAGTGTTTATCTGGAGAGCGGTGAGTCCCTCCCGGAGGAGCTACTGCTGGTTACTGTGGCCCCGGAGGACTGTGGGCTCCCGGCTCACCCTTCCCGTCCTCAGACGGTCAGGCGTGACCAACGGCGGAGAAGGAGTCGCCGCGCCAGGTACTTTATTTCATCCCGAATCTACTGAACACGGTGAGGTCGCCTGAAGGCTGCCCCTATGCGAAGGACCCGAGAGCTCATGTCCTCGCGTTCTCTTAGTTTTCCGCCTCCAGAGGGGAAATGTGCTAAGGGGGGCTCCCAGAAATGAGGGGACAGGCGCTTCCACCAGCCCCCTGTACCTGTCCCGGGGCACCGCCCCGCCGCCCAGCTGCACCACGGTGGGGAAGACGTCCATCAGGCTGGTGGGCTCGTGGATCACGCGGCCGGCTGGCAGCACCCCCGGCCAGCGGAAGATGCCCGGGACGCGGATGCCCCCTTCCCAGCCGCCCATGCCCTTGCCGCCTGCGAAGCCAACGACAGGGTTACTAGAGTCCAGGTGTCGTCCAGTGCACACATTCACACAGGTGCGCGTGTACGTGTGTGTGTCCGTACACACCCTCACAGATACACACCCTGACCTGGAGGGTCAGTGGATCTCTGGGGTCATGTCAGCATGGCCTGTGAGAAGTCAGATCATTCCCTGTACTGGGGTTTCAGAGAATGGAAGGTTGGATGGATGGGTGATGGATGATGATGGATGATGACGGATGATGGATTGAGGGTGGATGGATGGATGGATGATGGGTGATGCTGGATCATTCATGGATGGATGGATGATTGATGGATGATTGATGGATGATGGATGGATGATGGATGGATGATGGATGGATGATGGATGGATGATGATGGTGGATGATGGATGATGGATGGATGATGATGGTGGATGATGGATGATGGATGATGGATGGATGATGGATGGATGATGGTGGTGGAACATGGAAGGATGGATGATTGATGGATGATGGATGGATGATGGATGGATGGATGATGGATGGATGGATGATGGATGATGATGGATGATGATGGATGATGGATTGAGGGTGGATGGATGGATGGATGATAGATGATGATGGATCATTCATGGATGGATGGATGATTGATGGATGATGATGGTGGATCATGGATGGAATGGATGATTGATGGATGGATGATGGATGGATGATGATGGATGGATGATTGATGATGATGGACCCTGGATGGATGGATGGAGGATGGTGGATCATGGATGGATGGAATGGAGGATGGATGGATGATGGGTGGATGGATGATGGATGGATGATTGATGATGATGGACCCTGGATGGATGGAGGATGGTGGATCATGGATGGATGGAATGGAGGATGGATGGATGATGGGTGGATGGATGATGGATGATGGGGGATGGATGATGGGTGGATGACTGACAGATTAACAGGGAGACAGACAAGAAGACAGACCATGGACAAGCAAAATAAACCCACAGGAAACATTCTCTAAAAGGTGTAAAAGAAGAGCCGGGTCCCTGAAAGCCAAAACAACATCTGGACACGTAGACGGTTTCTATTGCTTGGACAATTGGATGAAAGACTCAATATTGGGTCAAAGACTCAAAATACGCGTATAGATTACAAACTATGGTTCCCAAATAATTAGGGGATATTTACACCGTCGCCAAGGGGATGGCTGGGACACACACCAAGCAATCTAAGAAGACGCAAGACCCTCTTTCAAGGGGCCCCGCTGCCCTACTAACCGCCCTGGTCCGGGGAGGCTGGCCGGCCGGTCTCACCTCTGTATATTCCGTTCCATCCACCCAGCTGGCCCCGCTCGTCTCTGGCCTCCAGGTGTCCTCCGTGGTCGGAGGTGAAATAGGTGAATGTCGTGTTCTTCAAACCGTTCTCTTCCACGGCGTGAAGAATTTCACCTTGACAAAAAGTGGGCGGTTTCACGGCAAAATAAAGGCGTGGGTGCCGCCCACACAACCCAGTGTCTGAGGGGGCGCCTGCTGGAGAGTCGTAAACGGGGAGCAGAGATGTGGGGAAGGCACTTGTCAAGCGCGAAGGCGTCACTACGTATCCTGACGACGCACGTCTGTTGACAAGCCAGGAAAGGAATCAAAGGCTGAGACCCAGGGTGGCACCGACGGGAGCTTTAAACCCACTACGCTGAAGAGATCTTCACCCTCCTGCTCAGAGCAGCACCACTCACAACACCTGAGGGGTGGAGAGTGTCCGGCAATAGATGACTAGCTATGAAGATGTGGTCTCTGCACTGTGGAATACTACACAGCTCTGAAAAAGGCAAAACCCTGCCCTCGTGCTCACAGCAGCACCACTCACAACACCTAAGTGTTCTCTATACACAGTAGAATACTATGCAGCGGTGAAAAAGATGAAACCTTGTGCTTGTGCTCACAGCAGCACCACTCACAACACCTGAGACGTGGATAGTGTCCAGCAACAGACAAGTGGGTAGGAAGATGTGGTCGGTACACACGGTGGAACACTACGCAGCTCTGAAAAAGGCAAGACCATACTCTCATGCTCACAGCAGCACCACTCACAACACCTGAGGCATGGAGAGTGTCCAGCAACAGACGACTGGCTATGAAGATGTGTTCTCTGCACACAGTGGAATGCTATGCAGCTCTGAAAAAGGAGAAACTGTGCCCTCGTCCTCACAGAAGCACCACTCACAACACCTAAGTGCACTCTATGCATGGTGGAATACAACGCAGCTGTGAAAAAGATGAAACCCCACCCCCGTGCTCACAGCACCGTCACCCACAGCACCTAAGTGGTCTCTATACACAATGGAGTACTACGCAGCTCTGAAAAATGCAAAACGGTGCCCTCGTGCTCACAGTAGCACCACTCACCACACCTGAGACGTGGATTGTGTCCGGCAACAGACAACTGGGTATGAAGATGTGATCTCTATACATGGTGGAATACTGCACAGCTCTGAAAAAGGTGAAATCCTGCCCTTGTGCTCACAGCAGCAACACTCACAGCACGTGAGGCTTGGGGAGTGTCCAACAACAAATAACTAGATATGAAGATGCGGTCTCTACACACAGTGGAATACTATACAGCTCTGAAAAAGACGAAACGGTGCCCTCGTGCTCACGGCAGCACCACTCACAACACCTAAGTGGACTCTATGCACGGTGGAATACTATGCAGCTGTGAAAAAGATGAAACCCTGTGCTCATGCTCACAGCACCACCACTCACAACACCTGAGACGTGGAAAGTGTCCAGCAACAGACAACTGGGTATGAAGATGTGGTCAGTACACATGGTGGAACACTACGCAGCTCTGAAAAAGGCAAGACCATACTCTCATGCTCACAGCAGCACCACTCACAACACCTGAGATGTGGAGAATGTCCAGCAACAGACGACTGGCTACGAAGATGTGGTCTCTACACATGGTGGAATACTACGCAGCCCTGAAAAAGATGCCCTCGTGCTCATAGCAGCGCCACTCCCAACACCTGAGGCATGGAGAATGTCCAGCAACAGACGACTGGGTATGAAGATGTGGTCTCTACACATGGTGGAATACTATGCAGCTCTGAAAAAGGCAAAACCCTACCCTTGTGCTCGCAGCAGCACCACTCACAACACCTGAGTGATGTCTGTACACCGTGGAATACTATGCAGCTCTGAAAAAGGCAAAACCTTGCTCTCGTGCTCACAGCAGCACCACTCACAGCACCTGCGACGTGGAGAATGTCCAGCAACAGATGGCTGGCTATGAAGAGGTGGTCTCTACACCCGGTGGAATACTACGCAGCTGTGAAAAAGATGAAACCCTGCCCTGGTGCTCACAGCACCATCACCCACAGCACCTAAGGGGTCTCTATACACAGTGGAGTACTATGCGGCTCTGAAAAAGACAAATCGCTGGCATTTGCAACACTTGGGGGGAAACCGTCTGCCCGGACTCACACGCGCCTCGGAAAACAAACACGTGAACTAAATAAAACAAAAAATGACGTTTCAGGCCGTGAGACCCCTTGGCGGTTACCCCAGTTGTTGGGGGCACCCAGGACTCACCCACCAGCCAGTCCATCTCCTCCACGTTGTCGCCATACGAGCCGTGCCGGCTCTTCCCCGCGAAGGCGCCGGTGGTCACCAGCGGGATGTGGACATGGAGCAAGGACACGAAGAGCAGGAAGGGCCGGTGCTTGTTCCTGGAACAGAAGCGCCTCAGCCACCCCGCGGTGCGCCCTGGGGCTGCCGGACTCGCAGGCAGACGCGGGGTGGAGACCCCGGGTGGAGACCAGTGCTCACCTCTCCAGGAAGGCCAGCGCTTCCCTGCGCATCCGCAGCGCGGCGCTCTCCAGCACCAGGGGCTGCTCGATGACCTCCCGGTCGCGCATCAGGAGGCAGTTCCAGCGGCGCGCGAGGGCGAACGTGCAGCCCCAGGCGGCCAGGAGCAGCAAGGCCAGGCCGGCCAGGGCGCCCAGCGCGCGGCTGGACACCGCGGGCAGCCCCCAGGCCCGGGCGACCGCCCCGCCCAGCGCCGCGGCCGCCAGCACTTGCATCCAGCGCTCCATGCGCGCCCGCAGCGCGCGGTCCACCTCGGGGGCGCGGCCGGGCGCGCAGTCGTTGACCAGCGTGAAGGGCACCCCGAAGAAGGCGCCGAAGCCGTGGCGCAGCGGGTGGTGGCAGTGGTCCCCGCGCCGCGCGCAGTTCACGCCCTGGTGCCACTTGCCTGGGGACGGGCGTGCGGACCCCGTCAGGGCAGCGCCTGGGGAGGCCCCCGGGTTCCCCCCAAATTGCAAAAGAGCAGAGGAAGGAGCTGGACCGTGGAGAAAAGCAGCAAGATGGAAACTGGAGAGAGACAGAAAGGAGGGAAATCTGAAGGGGAGCCGCGGAAATTGGGGACCACACCGTGGTTTCACCCGCGCGGTTAAGGGGAGCTGGGGGTGGCCAAAGACCGAGACCTCAGAAAGTCAGGAGAGGGGTGAGATGTTCTGGGCCTTTGGGGCCCCCCTGCTGTTACCAAAGTATCATGAATAAACAAAGTGGGGACTCCATTCTCCAAGAAGCTGCACCCCAAAGCCTTTCCAAGCTGTCTCTGCAGAGTCAGCCGCGCCCGGAACACTGGGCAGGCGGGATGGAGCTCAGATCCCAGCAGGAGGACGTCGTACTGGCCGGGGCGCTGCCCCTGCACCCTCAGCAGCTCCCCTGCGGGCAGGAGACACCCCAGGGCTTCCCGCCTCGGCATGTGTGCACCCCCAGGATGCGGTTCTGGACAGACCCGGGATGGCGCCTCTTAATGGGTTTACGAATAACCTCGGGAGGCAGGTGGGGGGCTCGGGGACCCTCCGGCCACTCCACCACGGGCGGAGGACAGTGGACCAGGAGCGGGCGGCAGAACTCAGAATCTGCTCCCCCAAACCCAGGTGTGGCGTGAGGATGGGGGGGCCTTGCGCGGAGCCCCCAATGGGAAGCCCAGAGTACCCCCGCGCCCCCGGACCAGCCAGAAACAGCCTCGTGACCCAGAAGGGGCTCCCTGGCCGGACATCACGCCCTGTGGACCCCCCCCTTGCTGGCCCTCCCCCCGCCAACCCTGGACCCAGGCTGGACGGAGCAGCAGCTTCGGGGTACGGACAGCGAGGTCTGGAGCACAGGGTCGGGGCCTGCCGCCTCGGGCACTAGGGAGAGGAGTGATTGCTGGTGCGAGCCGGGGGTCACGTGCTCCCCACCTTCCTGAGCATGTGGGGGGCCCCCCCAGGCGTGCAGCTGGCCAGCGCCGAGACCCCCCCAAGTCCAGCGGAGTGGCCGCTCCTAAGGCTGATGGCGGCTGCCGTGTCCAAGCCCTGCAGACACAGGCGGGTCCTCCCGGCACCTGCTTTCCTGCCGCACGCTGGGGCAGCTGCCAGGGCCGGCCGGACTGGCCCCTGGTGTCCACCCGCTGCTGGACGACTGGAGGACATGGGGGGAAGCTCCCCCCCCCCCGGGCTTGTCCCAGATGCCACCATGTTGGCCTCACAGTAGAGCCACAGCAGAGAGGTGACCGCGACTGTCGCCCCAAGTCCTCCCTGGACACACCCCCCAGGGTGGACGTGGCAGCCCCGACCCTCCTGTCTGAGCAATCCAGGGCCGGGCGAGCCCCCCTGGAGCTCCCAAGCAGCAGAGACGAGGCAGGGAGGGCAGGAGGGGAGCCCAGGACTGCCGTCTCCGAAGGACGAATCCCAGGGGCCAGCTTGGGGCAGGAAGTGGGGTTCCGGAGCTCCCCACCCCCCAGGGAAGCCGGGGGGCCCACCAATGAGGCCGGTCTCATATCCCTGCTGCTGCAGGACCCGGGCGAAGGTCGTCTCGTTCTGGGGGAGCCCCCCGGAGCCGGCGTTCCACTGCAGCGCCCGGTACCCAGAGCTGGCGCTGGCGTCCATGCCTGCGGGGACGGCGGTCACCACCAGGGGAGCCCACTCCAGGGGGACTGGGGCGAGGGGCCGCAGACTGGCCCGGGGACTGGCCCGGGGCCCGGCACCCACCCGAGCGGAAGGCGTGTCTCCCGGTCAGGAACGCGGCCCTGCTGGGCGTGCACAGGGGGGCGGCCGCCAGGTGCTGGGTGAGCCTCACGCCCTCCTCGGCCAGCCGGTCGATGTTGGGGGTCCTGGCGGGGACAGCGAGGTCACCGCGGCTCTAAGCCGCTGTTCTGCTGCTGGGCGGGTGCCCCACGGGGCCAGGCTGACCACAGTGGACAGCGCCAGGCAGGAAGGCTGGGAGCTGCTGGGGAGGGGTGTGATCTGGGGGGCGTCTTCCTAAGGCCACCCCCCTCCGAACAGAAGGGAAAGAGCCTGCACGGGGGTGGTCTGCTCCGTGGGGGACACTCGGCTCTCCAAAGAGGACGCACCTGCCTGCGTCCACGTGCCAGGTTAGGACGGCGCCCTGTTTGCGTAAGGAGGGCCCCGGGGAAAGTGGCGGGTCCAGGGTCCCTCCCCAACCCAAGGAGGGTGGAGCTGAGCAGGGAGGGCACTCTTGGGGCTCAGGGCCCCTGCTGTGAGGCCTCCCCGCATTCTGCAGCCTCTCAGCCCCCCAATACCTCAGGGTGCTGTTGCCATAGCAGCCGAGGTCGCCAATGCCCAGGTCGTCCGCCATGATCAGGAGGATGTTGGGCTTCACAGCAGGCGCCCCCGTGGCCTGGCACGGCCTGGGCAGGAGACACAGGCCGAGCAGGACGGTCCAGGCGTCCCTGGGAGGAAGCACAAGTGTCCGGCTTGACACCCCGCGAGGCGCTCGCGATGCCAGGGAGCGAGGATTTAAGGGGGCGCCGGCACCTGCCTCCCAAAGTCCTGTGGCTTCTAGGGCGCGCGCGTAAAGGACCGAGGCTCTGTGCGCTCCAGGCTGCGCCTTGGAAAGCCGACCGGCCCCAGCCCTCCTTGCACGCCCCGGGCACCCAACCATCCCCTGTGCGCCCCGGCACGGCTGGCAGCGCCGTCGCGTCCCCGCGTCCTGGGCGCTCTGGGGACGCCCGCGCACCGGCCTCTCCTCTCACAAGGCTCGTGGGGGCCAGGAGGGGCGCGGACACCCCGGGCCCGCGGCTGAGCCCCGAAGCTCCCGCGGGGACTGGTGGGCGCCAGCGAGGGCGGGGCGCGGCCGCGCGTCAGGGCGCACCGGGGCGGACCCGCCCGGATCCCGGGTGTCCGCCGCGAGGTGGGAGCCCGGCGCGTCCCGTGGACCGAGCGGAGGCTCCGGATCGCGCCCCGGGGCGACCCAGGGCGCGGACTTGAGACACCCTGGCGCGCCTGGGGCGCACGCAGGCCGGGTACGGAGCCGCCCCAGCCCCGGTGGAGGGTGCGCTGGGAGAGGGGGGAGTCCAGCGTGACCCACGGACCCCGGTCCCACCCAGCTCGCCCGCAGACTCGGCGGCTCGGGGCTGCGCTCCCCGGAGGCGCCCCGGGAGTGGTTTGCCGCGCTGGGGGCCCCAGTTCTGGGGTGGACAAGGCAATAGGGCTGCGGGCTGGGCCGAGGCCAGCTCCAAGGGGGCGGGGAGGCGGGATCGTTCCGGGGGGGCGCCTTAGCTCTGCGGGGAGCCCCCAGCACCGGTTGCGCTGCTGCCTTGGGGGCGCCGGCGGCGGTCGGGCACACTGGGCGTCCTGGGGGGCCGCTCGGGGTGCGTCTGAGGCTGCGGTGGCAGCTGGGGACGGAGCGCGGCGCCTCAGCTTTGGGGTGGGAGCGGCCCCCGAGCGGGAGGGGAGGGGTGCAGCGCCCAGCGGCAGCCGGGACAGCGCAGGGGTGCGGGGTGTTGAGGGGGCGTCTGGTGCAGAAGTGGGGCGACGTGCAGGTGCCAGGCGCGGGGACGCAGCGCGCAGGCGCAGCGGGGGAACTTGGTCTCCGTAGTTCCTGGGCAAGTGGGGCGGGGCGCGCCCTGCAGAGGCGGGGATTGGGGGGCAGAGGCTTCCGGGGGCGGGAGCTAGGGGCGCGCCCCGGCGGGGCGGGGCCAGGGCCTGGCGCGCCGGCCTTTGTTTTCCGTTCCCTTCCCCCCGCCCCCCCAGCTCCTGTCCCCACGCCCCTTGCTTTTCGGGGGGCTTCGGCCCCGCACCCCAGTCCTGCTTGCGCCAAGGAGCCGGACCAGCCTGCGTTTTGGAGACTCCAAGGCGCCCGCGCCGCCTCCCGGAGCCCCGGGGTGCCCCTCCCCGCTCGCGCCGCGTTCCCCGCGCCCCAGCAGCCTGGGGTCACCTCCCGGGGTCCCCCACACCTGGCGGCGGGCGCGGCCCGTCCCCTCCGCGCCGTGGGTCCCATGAGCGAGGCCGGCCGGGCGCGCAGGACTTTGCCCCGCGCCTCCGCGCCCCGGCGCCCGCCCCCAGCGCGTCCTGCAGGGCCGGGCCCGCCGCGTCATCTCTTAATCTGCGCCCGGGGCCTCCCGGGGAGTCGCTTCCCAAACAGGTTTCCCCAGATCTCAGCGCCTTGGGGCGCCAGGAGCAGCCGCGGGCTTGGCACCTCGCTGCGAGCGCCCCAAACCCCAGCAGCCCTCCCGGCGCGCGCGCCTGCGGCCCCCTGGCCGCCTCACCCAGCAGCGCGCGCACTCAGGGTGTCACTCGGTCCCCGCGGGGGGGCAGGGCGGTCACCCCCAAGTGTTCAAACTCCCCAAGACCTTCAGGGTGTCCGCGCGCCCCAAAGCTAAGAACAGGGATGCAGGTTAACAAGTGGGGGGCTGCGTCCTGGTTTTCCCCACAACGCATCTTGCCACGAGGGGGAAGCCTCTGCCCAGGGAGGGGCTGCCACTGTGGTGCTGCGCCCCGTGGGGGTGGAGAGGTGGGGGGTCCCCTCTGGGAAGTTTCTCCAGCTCCCTTTGAGGGAGTCACGGAGTCTACCCAGGAGAGCAAGTTTGCACGCAGGGAAGGTTCCCTTTTGAAAAGTTGGGGGACTACTTCTGTAGTCAGGGGGCAGGAGAGCACCCCAAAGGGCAGGATTTGCTCAGAAAGGCACCTGCAGGTGGGGGGAGCGGGCAGGGCTGCCCAGTGACCTCTCCGGGAGGCCCGCCCTGAGGGGGGTGACCTTCCTCCTGGGTCCCCTGGGCTGGGCTTGCATAAAGGACGGGGATTTTCTGGGGTCCCTCAGGGGGGACACTGCTTTCCTGCAGGGGGTTCAAGGCCCTGTTCAATTCTCCCCCACCCCAGCTTCCGCTCCTGGACGCCTCTCCCTGAGGTTTCTGTTCTCAGCCCGGTCTCTGGTGACCCTGGGGGTGGGGGGGTCGGGGAGCAGCAAGCACTGGGGGATCCCCGCCTCGGAGAGGAAAAATCAACAGCACCGAGACATCGGAGGGTAGCCCCCCTGAGGATTCTCGGAACAGACTCCCCAAGATATTAAGAACTGGTCCCCAAATGCCCCCAAGGTCCCCAGGATGCTCAGAACAGGCTCCCCAAGATGTTAAGTTCTCCCCCAAATGCCTGGAACCAGGCCCTCAAGGTGTACAGAACAGGCTCCCCAAGATATTAAGAACCGACCCCCAAATGCCCGGAACCAGGCCCCCAGGATGCTCGGAACACGGCCCCCCCCAATGCCCGGATCCAGGCCCCAGGATTCCCAGAACAGCCCCCCAAAATGCTCAGAATAGCTCCCTAGTGTCCAAACCAAGCAGAGTCTGGCCTTGGAGCAGGGCCGGGACTGGCCTCCAAAACGGGCAGTCTGACCTCCGAGGTGGACAGAGTCTGGCCTCATGTCAGGGGCAGAGCCTAGCGTCCGAGCTGGGCAGAGACTGGCCCCTGAGCCAGCAGAATCTGGCGTCCGGGGCAGGCAGAGTCTGGCCTCTTAGTGGGGCAGAGACTGGCCCCCAACAGGGTAGAGTCTGGCCTTCGGACCTGGTAAAAACTGTCCCCCCAGACGGGCAGTTCTGGCCTCCAGTCCGAGGTGGAGACTCAAGTCCAAGCCAGGAAGAGTCTGGCCTTCGGGCTGGGTAGAAACTGACCCCCAGGCCGGACAGTCTGACCCCTGAGCCGGAAAGAGACCAGTGTCCAAACCGGGCAGAGCCTGACCTCCGAGGCGGGTAGAGAGAGGCCTCTGAGCGGGGCAGGCCCTGTCCCCCAGCGTGGGCGAGTCTGGTCTTTGGACCTGGTAGAAACTGCCCTGTGAGCCGGGCAGAGTCTGGCCTCCAGGCTGGGGCAGAGCCGTTCCTCCAAGCCCGGGCAGAGACCAAGCTCTAAAATTTCTAGAAATGGTTTGCAATATTTACAATTACACGCAAATAACCGCCATTTATAATACAGGCAAACCCCACTGGGGCAGACTCTGGCCTCATGGTCGGGGCAGAGACTGGCCTCTGAGCCGGTCAGGGTCTGGCTCTGAGCTGGGGAGTGTGGCCTCCACCAGGAAGAGACTGGCCGCCAACAGGGCAGCCTGGGGTCCGAGCCGGGGCAGAGATTGAGCTCTAAAATTACTAGCAATGGTTGGCAGTATTTGCAATTGTATGTAATTAATAACAAATTATAATATAGGCCACCCACCAGGGCAGGGTATGGTATCCTGGCCGGGACAGAGTCTGGCCTTCAAAGTGAATAGAACCTGGCCTCCGAGCTGGGCATCGTCTGGCCTCCGATCCGGGGCAGAGAGTGGCCTCAGGGCTGGGGTGGACACTGTCCTCCAAGCCGGGCATCGTCTGGCCTCCGATCGGGGGCAGGGTCTGTCCTCCAAGGCGGGCAGAGTCTGGCCTCCAGTCAGGGGCAGAGATTAGCGCCTGAGCAGGTTAAAGTCTGGCCTTGGTGCTGGGCAGAAACTGGACCTTGAGCCGGGCAGAGACGGGCATCCGAGCCAGGCAGAATCTGACCACTGAGCTGGGCAGAGCCTGACCTCGGGGCAGGGCAGACACTGGCCTCCAATACGGGCAGGCTGACCTCAGAGATGGGTAGTCTGGCCACCGGTTAGGGTAGAGATTAGCGTCCGAGCCGGCCAGAGACTGGCCCCGAAGTGGACAGAAACTGGCCTCACAGCCGGGCAGAGTCTGGCCTCAGGTCTGCAGCAGCAGCCAGCCTCGGGGCTCAGGCACAAATGCTCTCCCAGCCGGACGGACACAGGCCTCCGAGCAGGGCGTAGAATGGGCTCCAGGCCAGGCAGGGACAGAAATTAAGCAGAGAAGGATGTTTCATGAAGCCTCCGCGATGGACTAAGAAGTGGCGAGATTGTGTGTTGGTTGTAACAGGCCGACGCCAGCCGGGCAGACGGTGGCCTCCGGGTCCGGGCAGAGCCTGGGCTCCAGGCCGGACACACACTGGCCTCCGGGGGAGGCAGATACTGGCCTCCAAGGTGGGCAGAGTCTGGGCCCCGAGCCTGGCAGAGACTGGCCCCAGGCCGGGTAGAGTCTGTCCTCCAGTCTGGGGAAGAGTCTCGCCTCTGAGCCAGGCAGAGACTGGCCTCTGAGCTGGACAGAGGAGGCCGCGTAGGGTCTGAGCTCTAACGTTTCCAGAAAAGATTTGCAATATTTACAATTATATGCAACCAGACAGTTTAATACAGGCCAACACCAGCAGGGCAGAGACTGGCCTCTGGGCTGGTCAGTCTGACTTCCGGGCCGGACACAGACTGGCCTCCGAGCACGGCAGAGTCTGGCCTCCCGGCCGGACAGACACTGACCTCGGGGCTCAGGCAGAGACTGGCCTAGACCAGGGAACAGTCACGTCTCCAGGCCGTTGAACAGACGGGCCTCTGGGCCTGGACACAGCCGGGTCTCTGGGCCGGGCAAATTGTCCTGAGAAGGGCCAGAGAGTGGCCCCTGGATCCCGGCAGAGACTCGGCTCTTAAATTTCCAGAAACGTCATAGCAGCCTTTTCACTTCCATGCAACTTAAAGTCAGTCGATGCCAGAAAAAATATTTCCAATCAGCATCCAATATAAGAGCTAAAACTTCCTAATTCAGCCTCAAAATAGACCCCGATAAAGCTCAGTGCAACAAAACGCAATGACCAAAGACAGAATGGAAGGTCCAGCCCATGTTGGGGAGCAGGGACAACGCCGAGGACCGAGAAGCGGACACTGGTGATGACCCAGGAGAGCGCTCAGGCTGGGCAGGGCCGAGGGCCTGGTCCCGGGCACCATCTGGGCCCCGGCCGGGGCAAAACTCGGCATCCAGACCCGGCAGGAGACCCGACGTGACTGCGAAGGCCCCAGACAGTCATTAAACTATTTACTGGTGTGCAGAGTCGTGCCCAGCAGGAGCCAGACGCAGAAATTAAAGGGTTTTGAGATGCTCCAGAGAAGCTTCTCTGCACGGGCTGATCCAAGCTCCCGAGGGGCTGAGTGATGTTGACCGCACGGGCCAGCGCCCGGCCGGGGCTGAGACAGCGCTCAAATTTCTGCAAATGGCTCAGAAACACATTTGTCCTTGTGGGCAGCTTGCAGTAGGAGGCGAAGAAACCACAAATATTGATCCCATCAGCAATAAACGTTGAATCCAAACACAGCGTTTCAGTTCAATGGAGCAAAGGAAAAGATGAAAAGCAGCCCTGGAGCTGGGGGTGAGGCCTTCTTGAAAATAAGAATTTTTGGAGACTCCTGGGAAAGAATTGTGAGTAGAGGCCCCGTCGACGGCAGCAGTGATGGAAAATCAAATGCTAGGGAAGCCGTGACGCCGCTTTTCCCCAGCGGAGCAACACGAGAGCGAGAGGGACGGAGTGACGTTCAAAGGACAGGCCCACGGCAGGCCCGGGCAGAGAGTGGCCTCCGAGTCGGGGCCCAGACTGGCCTGCAGGACAGGGCAGAGGCCGAGCTCTGCATTTTGTAGAAACGGTTGCAATATTTACAATTCTATGCAGCGTAATGACCGTTTGTGACACAGGCCAACAGCGCCAGGGCAATGTCTGGCCTCTGGCCGGGGCAAGATTTGGGTCCGGGCTCGGGCAGAGCCTGGTCTCCGTGGCAAGGACGACTCAGAACTCAGATTTCAGAGATGACTTAGCAACATCTTTACCATATGCAACAGTTTTTCTGGGGAATAAGGAAATATAATATAAAATATAATATATTTTAATATAAGAGAATGGTAGACAGAAGACAAACGTAGAAATTAAAGTATTTTAAGGATGTGCTAGAGCAGCTTTTCTACCTGGGACTAACACAAGCTCCAGAGTGAGTGATGTTTACAGGACAGGCCCACACCAGGCCCGGGCAGAGCCTGGCCTCCGGGCCAGGCAGGGACGAGCCTCTGAGGCGGGCATGGAATGGCCTCCAGACTGGACAGAGACCGGCCTCCGAGCCGGGTAGAGTCTGCCATCCAGGCTGGGGCAGAGACTGGACGCCGGGCTGGACAGACTCGGGCGGCCAGGCAGGGACTGACCTCTGAGGCGGGCAGGGATGGCCTCCGAGCTGGGCAGTCTGGCATCTAAGGCTGGTCAGAGCCTGGACTCTGATGGGCCGAGTCTGGCCTCCGAGCCAGAAAGAGACTGGCCTCCTGGGCCAGGGCAGAGACTGGCCTCTCAGTGGCCCAAGTCTGGCCTCCGGGATGGGCAGAGTGTGGCCTCTGGGCCGGGGCAGAGACCGGCCCCTGCCTGGCAGGTCTGGCCTCCAGGCTGGGGTAGGGTCTGATTCTAAAATTTGCAGAAATGGTTGCAATATTGACAATTCTATGCAGGTTAACGACAGTTTATAACACAGGCCACACCAGCAGGGCAGATTCTGGCCTGCAGGTCAGGGCAGAGACCGGACTCCTGCCCGGGGAACACACTGGCCTCCTGGGGGCCACACTGGCCTCCGAGCAGGCAGCATCGGCCTCCAACCTCGGGCGGAGACGGCATTCAGGGCTCGGCCAGAGTCTGGCCTCTGGCCTGGGGTAGGGTCTGAGCTCTAAAATCTCCAGAAACGACTTCAATATTTACAATTCTGTGCAAATTCACGCAGTTTATAATACAGGCCAACATCCGAAGGGCAGAGTCTGGCCTCTAAGCCCAGGCAGAGACTGGCCCTGTGAGCCAGGCAGAGTCTGCTCCGGGACAGGCAGAGCCTGGCCTCCAGGACAGGCCGTGTCTGGCCTCCGGGCGTGGCACAGAGAGGCCACCAGGCTCGGGCAGACTCTGGCCTCCCAGCTGTGCAGAGACAGGCTTGCTGGCCCGGGCAGAGTCTGGCCTCTAGGCCCGCGAGGAGTCTAGCCTCCGAGGTCAGCAGAGTTGGCCTCTGGTCTCAGACACTGGCCTCTGAGCTCGGGGAGAGACTGACCGGGGAGTGTCCGAGCTCTGAAATTTCCAGAAACGGTTTGCAATATTATAATTATATCCCACTGGACAGTTTATAATACAGGCCAACAGCGGCCTCCAGGCCGGGATCGAGTCCTCCGAGCCCGGGCAGAGACTAGATCTAAAATGTCTAGAAACGGTTGCCATGCTTACAATTATGTGCAACTTAAAGGCAATTTCTGCAAGGTAGGAACGACTTTCCATAAGATCAGCCACAATAAAAGCTGAATCTGGACAGCTCTGCGCCCAGATAGACACAATAAAGGTCAACGTGGCAAAGTAAAATACCAAAAACCGAACTGAAGGCAGGTGGGAGGCCTTAGTGGGAGACGCAGGCGCCTCAGATCATGGTCCTAAAATATTCAGAAGATATTCGTAGGCGGCATCAGCCAATGGATTAATTCAATATTGAGGATCTAGTGAAGTAAGTTTTCTACAAAGGCCTCAGACAAGGTGCAGAGAGACTGAGTGATGCTTCTACTGCAGGGTCACACGCTGCTGGGGTGGACCCGGAGCCCCGGCCGGGGCAGAGTCCGGCCCCCAGGCCGTGGCCGAGACAGTGTCCATCAAGCCAGGGGCAGAGACCGAGCTGCGACCTTACTAGAAATGTTTGCGATATTGACAATTAGATGCAAGTAACGCTAAGGACCGTTTATCCTGCAGGCCATCAGCGCCGGGGCCGTATCTGGCCTCCTGCCTGGGGCTGAGTCTGGTCCTGGCCGGGGCTGAGTCTTGCCTGCGGGCTGAAGTGAGCTCTGAAATTTCAATAGTTTGCAATATTTACACTTATGTGCAGCCTCACGGCCGCTTATAATACAGGCCACACCCCTGGGGTGAGACCGGCCTCCAGGCTGGCCTTAGACTGGCCTCCAGGCCGGGGCAGACACCGTGTCCATCATGCCAGGGGCAGAGGCCGAGCTGTGACATTACTAGAAATGGTTTGCGATATAGTTATGAGCAACCTCACCCCTGGGGTGAGACCGGGCTCCAGGCCGGGGCATAGTCGGGTCTCCGGGTCAGGGCGGAGGCGGAGCTCTAGAATTTTTAGAAATCGCTGAGCAAAACTGAAAATTGTCAGCCAGTTAGTGACCGTTTACGGGAGGAAAAACCAAATTTTGAAAATAGCATCTGTAGTAAGAGCTGAATAGATCCCAATAGACACGACAGTCTGACTTCAATGCAACACAAGGAAATGACCCAAAGCATAATTAAGGCAGGACTCAGGCCCTGTGTCTTAGTGGATCCGCCTGTTCTGCTCCCCACTCTGTCTCTGGGGAGTCCTCACACCCCCCCACCTCTGGCCTGCACCCCAGCTCTCGTATGCATCCATAAATCTTTAAAAAAAATTAACCTGATTGCACGGAGAGACGGGGTGGGAGCAAACAAAAGCCAAAACCTTGTCTTTATGCAAAACAGACATCGCCACCCCCCAGGAGAGCAGCACCCCAGCTGATGGCTGATGGGAGTGGGCTCACCTGTGGGCCCGTGAGCGCAGAGGTAAACAGGTAGTTGCCCTAATGATGGGAGTGGGCTCACCTGTGGGCCCGTGAGCGCAGAGGTAAACAGGTAGGTGCCCTGATGATGGGAGTGGGCTCACCCCGTGAGAGGTGAACACCCTGATGATGTGGGCTCACCTGTGGGCCGTGAGCCAGAGGTAAACAGGTAGGTGCCCTGATGATGGGAGTGGGCTCACCTGTGGGCCCGTGAGTGCAGAGGTGAACAGGTAGGTGCCCTGATGATGGGAGTGGGCTCACCTGTGGGCCGTGAGCGCAGAGGTAAACAGGTAGGTGCCCTGATGATGGGAGTGGGCTCACCTGTGGGCCCGTGAGTGCAGAGGTAAACAGGTAGTTGCCCTGATGATGGGAGTGGGCTCACCTGTGGGCTGAGTGCAGAGGTAAACAGGTAGGTGCCTGATGATGGGAGTGGGCTCACCTGTGTGAGTGCCCTGAGTAAAGAGCAGTAGGTGCCCTGATGATGGGAGTGCAGAGGTAAACAGGTAGTTGCCCTGTGGGAGTGGGCTCACCTGCAGAGGTAAAGAGGTAGGTGCCCTGATGATGGGAGTGGGCTCACCTGTGGGCCCCGTGAGCGCAGAGGTGGTAGGTGCCCTGATGATGGGAGTGGGCTCACCTGTGGGCCCCGTGAGTGCAAAGGTAAACAGGTAGTTGCCCTGACAATGGGAGTGGGCTCACCTGTGGGGCCCCCTGAGCACAGAGGTAAACAAGTAGGTGCCTGACACGGGGTGGGCTCACCTGCGCACCTCCCGCTTGCAGAAGCAGACCCCCAGAGCAGAGCAAGCTGGTCCCTGAGGCAGAGAGGACTGAGCTTGGCCCACCCCACCCACGGGCACTGCAGTCTCGGGTGACCCGCCTGGTAGCTCTGGGGGCCGCGGGTGCAGGTTGTTGGGGGATGCAGGGCCTCTGAGGTCCAGAAGTATAGGAGTGCAGAGATGCAGGGGCCCTGGGGTCCAGGGATGCAGGGTTCTGGGATCCAGGGGTGCAGAGATGCAGGGGATCTGGCACCCAGGGGTGCAGAGGTGCAAGGGTCTGGCGTCCAGGGGTGCAGGAATCACAGCCCTGGTGCAGGGATGCACCGTCCTTGTTTGAGCCCAACACTGTTGTCGTCTCTATTTTATTACAAATGAAGCCTGGGTTCTGACCCGCCCCGAAAGTCCCAGGTGAGTCAGGCAGGTCCCGGTCATGCCGACTGTCATGACTTTGCCCAGTGATGCCTTGGCAGGGCCAGCACTGACCCCTGGTGTCCACCGCCTGTTGTCTGCCTTTGCAGCCTGGGTCCTTTGGGGGGCTGGATCGGGGGGCTGGGGTCCTCGGGCAGGATGCCCACAGATGTAGCAGCATCTGGGCGGCCCCGTCCTGGTGTGCTTCACCCAGTGGTCAGTGTTTCCGGATCCTTCTGCTCTGACTCTTCCTCTTTTTGAATCGGTCGCTGACTTAACTTCACAGTGAGGTTGTACCTGACCCCAGTGCTGGTCTCCGGGCTTGGGGACCTGATTACTGGGGGTCACTGTCCCCATCACACCAGCACAGGGGGAAGGGGCCACAGCAGGGCTGGAGCCAGGGCTTCCAGAGGTTGCCCGGCTTGTCCAGCTGCAGGGGGACCGGGCTGAGAGTCCGGCGATGTTGCTCCACAGCCCGGGAGACTGTGTCCACCACCTGATGGAACAAGGGCTCCGTGTCTGGCGTGAGGATGTGGGCTTCAGCAGGATCTCTGGAGAGGTCAAAGAGCAAAGGTGGATCATGATGGTCGACGTGGCCCCCGGAGCATGGACAGACCATTCTCCCGTAACAGGCTCCTGCACCTTCCGGGTGGAACCGTGGGGTCATGTAGTGGACTTTCCATGTGGCTCCACCTGCAGGGAAGGTCAGAGTCACAGAGGGTTGTTGAAACAGGGTGCAGTGGGGGAGCATGTGATGGAGAACAACAGCCAGAGGGGAGAAACCCTCCAAATGCCCTTCAATTCTGAAAGATTAAGGAAAATGGTCCATCCGGGTGTGGAATATTATGCACCTGTGAAAAGGGAAAGCTCTGCCATTGCTTACAATATGGATGAACCTTGAAACATCACGTTCAAGGAGAGAATCAGGCGCAGACGGGCACACAGTGTGGGATCTGTTTCTAGGAAATGTCCGGAACAGGCCAGTCCACAGGCAGGGAGTGGGGTCCTGGTGCCAGGGACTGGGGTGAGGGAAGAGATGGTACTGGCAGGAGCGAGAAGGAGGGAGCGTGCAGAGGAAGCCATGAGGAGCCAGTGGCCACTCCTCCCAGCCCACTCACGGTCGGCTTGGTGCCAGCGGGCTGCGTGAAGAAGGTTCTCGCAGTAATGCATGAGGAACTCATGGTGCTGGTGGTGGGGTGTCCCCAGGAGCAAGGGCAGCAGGTCCCGGCCATCAATGACCCTGGAGGAGGGACAAGAGGACATGGGGTTCGTCCTTGATGCACCTCTAAGGTCACCTTGTCTAGAGCATACTGGAGACTCCAGCTGGCCATCAGGCATCCATCCATCCATCATCCATCCATAATCCATCATCCATCCATCATGCATTCATCCATCATCCATTATCCACCCATCATCCATCATCCATCCATCATCCATTCATCCATCATCCATTATCCACCCATCATCCATCCTCCATCATCTACCCATCATCTATCCATCATTCATCCATCATCCTTCCATCATCCATCCATCATCTATCATCCATGATCCATTATCCATCTATCATCCATCATCCATCCATCATCCATCATGCATCCTCCATCCTCCATCCATCCATCCATCATCCACCCATCATCCTCCATCCATCCATCTTGCATCATCCATCCATCCATCCGTCCATCCATTCATCCATCATCCATCCATCCATCCGTCCATCCATTCATCCATCATCCATCCATCCATCCGTCCATCCATTCATCCATCATCCATCCATCCATCCATCATCCATCATCCATTCATTATCCATCATCCTCCATCATCCATCTGTCCGTCCGTCCATCCATCCCTTTAGACATAGATGTATTTAGCTATACATTCTATTAACCTAGTTAAAAATTATGTGCCAAATATCTGCATCATGCTTTAAATTTTGTATCCCCTCCAGGCTGTCAAGATCATAAAAACAATTTTATTTTCTATTTCCCCCAATATCTTCTATAGTCTTTAAAAAGAACCATTAGAACGATCTAAAAGGCCTCCCACTGCCTCCAAAATGCTTTCTCCTGAGGAACTATTGGATTTTTCAACCACACTTGCCCTTATGATAAAAGGGCGGCCTTACGAATCGGGACATGGACCTTTTGAGTCATGACGCAGCCTTGTGACCCCCCTAGAGCGTGGCTGGGACCTGGAGAGTTTCTGTAGATGCTGGTTTCGGGGAGCCCCACCCCAGTGAAAGCCACGGGGACCTTTCACATGTCTGTGGTCTGGAAAATCGAGCCCCTTGGGCCCTCTGTACCTGTCTCGCGGCACCGTCCCGCCTCCCAGCTGCACCACGGTGGGGAAGACGTCCATCAGGCTGGTGGGCTCGTGGATCACGCGGCCGGCCGGCAGCACCCCCGGCCAGCGGAAGATGCCCGGGACGCGGATGCCCCCTTCCCAGCCGCCCATGCCCTTGCCGCCTGTGAAATAGAATGGAAAATTGGGACGGAGCGTCAGCGAGGCTGCTCCTCTGCTCATTCACCTTCTCGGCTTGTTCTAAAAGCTGCTGCCTCTGCTCTTTGCCATCCTCCCTCTTGCTGCCGTGACACATTATCACAAGGGTAGGGATTTATGGAAACAGAAATTTAAGATCTGACAGTCCGGAGGCTCGATGTTCAATAGGGGACCCACAGGGTCAAAGCCAAAGCGGATCCTTTGAGAATCTTTGTGGCCCGTGAGATAATCTTAGCGGCAGCAGCTTGTAACGTGGCCACTATGGAGGTCAGCTCTCCTGGACTGTAGGATTCTAAGCTGAGCCTATGGGAAGTTGAATGGGTCAATAAAATGGTGGCTACTCACTCGGTGGAATATTATGCAGCCATGAAAAAGGTGGCAGTGCAGAAATCAGGTGCAGCATGGATGAACCATGAAAACATCACATTGAGGGAAAGAAGTCACAGGAGCACATAGGATTCGTGATTCCATTTACATGAAATATTTAGAAGTGGGACATGTTCAGTGTAGAAACAACAGTGCCTGAGAGTTGCCAGGAGCTGGGTGGGGGCGGAAATGCAGCGTGACCACAAATGGGTATCGAGCTTCTCTCCGAGAGGATGAGATGTTTGCTCATTAAGAGCGATGGTGGCTGCACGGGGCTGTACATACCCTCAGCGCCAGTCATTGGGCCCCCAAAATCCAGATTTCAAGATTTTAGAAAAAATCTTGCCCTCACAAAGCAAAGTCCTTGGTCAACAGTACGTGAAGGCTCTTGAGAGGGAGGGTTGGGGTGGAAAGATTGGGGACTGCAAGGGAAAACCAGAGACCACAGGCTAGGACGGGCTCTCTTACCTCTGTAGATGCCATTCCAGCCGCCATATTGGTTGTCTCCAAGTTGGACCTCTAAAGATCCCCCGTTATCAGACGTGAAGTACACAAGCGTTTGGTTGGTCAGACCTTCTGAGTCCAGAGTACTGAGGATCTGTCCTGCCAAGAAGGGGTGAGTTTGAGTCGCCCCCATGGGAAGACTCTCTTAAACCCAGTGATTTGCCGCGTGTTAGCACTTTGGAAGCCTCCATGAGGATGAGTCTTCAGTGGTAACGCAGAAAGGGCGTGGGCAGCGGTGTAACCGTGCGCCCCTGGGCATCCTTGACCGGAGGGGGCCTTTTTATGCTCCATTCAGTCCCAGAAAAGCCTCCGGAACACCCCGAGGGCACAGGGCCCGTCAGACAACATAGCGGAAGCTCAAAAATTGAGACAGAAGAGGGTTACGGTGGAGCAGGGCGGTGGAGGGATGGCTGCCACCTGACTCTCCCAACCTCCATGGCTTTCTCCCAACCGTTCACTCAAATCCCAGGTTGTGCCGAGGGGGGGTGTTCTAAAAAGAGTCTGGAAAGCGCATTTGCCCTGAAATCTCGTGTCACGATTCTTCTGCAGACTCTGACACGCTCCGTCCGCCCCACGAGGACCCCGGGAAGCCGCACCCCGGGACATCCCATCCTGGACGGGGAAGGATCGGTCACTCAGCTTGAGAAAGCCCCGCCACTCCAGGCACTGTTGTTCACCTGGGGGAGAAGGATGAGACTTCCCGCCCTAGGGGGGTCGTACTGCCCCCCAGCTGTCCACCGATAGCGTCGTTGTGAAGGAGACCAAGCACCGGGGAGTCAGGATAAACGCTGTGGTGGCTTCCACCTGACCCGCTCAAGACTCGAGCCTCCTCTGCACCTCCGAGCTTTCGCCTTAACCCGCCCCTTGTGTCTTCTTCCTCGCCTTCTCCGGCCTTCTTGGGGTGCACTTGGCAGAGCACTTACCCACCATCCAGTCCATCTCCTCTACGTTGTCCCCGTACAAGCCGTGGGCACTGTGCCCCCGGAAGCTGTGCGTCGTCACCAGGGGGGTGTGCACGTGCAGAAAGGACACGAAGAGCAGGAAAGGGCCGCGCTTGTTTCTACAGATCAAAAGTGACAACGGTCGGCATTATTTTTTCAGATATTTTAGCTGAAGTCGTGGGGTGCAGTGTCACACCGTCCTCAGGGGTACAACCCTGTAAATACACATCTGTGGACATCAAGATCACCCCGAGAATGTCGGTTCCCTGCCTTTGCCTATTTCATCCAAGCCCAACCCCTTCTCCCCCGGCGACCCCTCTCCAGAAGGGGCCGGCGTTTCCTTTCTAAAGCCCATCGGAAAATCCGCCCCAGTTTTATAGATTGTTTTCATCCTAAACGCTGTCATTTTCTCACTCTACGGGGAGCTGAGATCTGAAGGGAGGAGGTGAGCCCCATCTGCTCTGGCAGCTCTTTCACGCAAGGATGTCAACGTGTTTTTTCTCCTCCGCTGTCACCTTCAAATGGCATCACATCCTCAGTTTTCTTGACAAATTCTCTCCAACTATGAAAGTTTAGGACACTACAGGATTGTGGAAACGCGTGCAAACTTTTTCTCCTCCATCTGGGTAACCCCGCATCGCCCCCCTCTGCACTCTTGGTTTTCCTGATCGAATCTATGTCCTGAAGTTACAGAGACAAAGATCAAGGTCTTAGACTTAATGGGTTTAATTTGAAGACTAGTTGTCACTCATACCAGACCCGGATTACACAGCTCCTTCCAGAAGTCCAATGAATATTCCAGAACGTGAGCACATTATCACCAGCAGGCAAGCTGGGGGGATCCCCACTTCACTGGATCGCCCGGGGGGAACAGGAGATGCCTCTATGTAGTAGAAGCTATTCATTGTCTCCCTCTTGGTGCAACAAAATCAGTGCTCTGGTCACTCAAATTTATGTCCAATCTGAAGTTAGTAACAGGACATCTCTGTCTAGATGAGGGGGGGGTGTCTAAGAATATTTAGATTTTGCTGTAAAGGCTTTTCTGTGCTTGCATTTCTCATGTTAGATATGGTCTGTGTTGTCAAAGGGTGTTTATGGGATGACATTATCTCCCCCAAGACTGAAGGCAACAGCAGCGAATTTCGAGCAACCTGTGCCTTGTGTCAACGGACACAATGCAATGGCACTCCAGTGGACGTCACCTGCCACTCATGTCACCAGAAATGTCTTTCTGGGCCAGGGCTGTTTCCCCGTTCGAACGCCCATTGCGGAATATTTCCCCAATGCATTTCCATCACCTTTTGAGAAAGGATGACACTTCCTGGAGCATCAGTGAGGTTGTCCTTTGAAATTTCATGGGCTGTTCGGTGATGCTGTGGTTTCTCATCAGAAAGCAATCAGCGTGAACGAGCAGGGTGCCCAACGCACAGGAGGTCGTGAACAGCAAGATGGCGGCCGCGGTCGACCAGATGACCGGTCTCCACGAGACTCCAATGAGGCGGGTGAGTTTCCCGGCAGTGAGCGTGAGGGTGGCGAAGGCCATGATTTGGAACCAGAAGTGGAATGTGTGCTCCAGAACCACCCGCTTCTCCGATATTTCCCACTGGTTACAATCTGCCATCATGGACAAGGGCATCCCGTAGAAGTGGTCAAATCCGTGGGCAAGTGGGTGGTGGCAGTGGTCGCTGGAGGACTCGCAGTTGAGACCCAGGTGCCATTTTCCTAAAAGGCAAGAAAGAAGAGGCTACAGTGACCGGTCAATCACTTGGTGGGTAGTTGTTTTGTGGTTGGGATTTTCCACTGGCAGATGCTTGTCTTCCCTGCTGTCACCCCTGGGGGCTGAGAGTGAGACCCAAGTGTTTTGTCCCCACCCCAAGGGCACCCACCCACCATCCAGAGACTCTCATGAGATGTCCCAAGGGGTATTCCGTGAGAAGTCACTCTGTAATGCATGGGTCTCCCTCTCTCCTGAAATTATCCCTATATCACACCCATTTTATTTCTGATTTTGAGCTGAATATTCTCTCCCCACCAGTGAAAACGATGTACGTACCTACCAGCGCGGTGGCGTAGCCTTTATCCTTTAATATCCTCGCAAACGTTGTCTCATTTGCAGGAAGCCCTCCAGATGCTCCTGCCCACGCCAGAACCCGGTAACCTCTGCTGGACACCATACCTCGAAGAATGGTTGCCAAAGACATGTTACAACCACGGGACAATGTTCATCACCAGCCTCCTTCTGACGTCATTCAGAATACTTGGGGGATATTATTCGCAAAGCAATGGAAAATTTCTATCTGACATGCCATTGCCTGAGGGGCTTCCATTTTGGGTCACAAAAGAAATGATCAGTTACTTGAAGACATTGTTTTATTATGTTTAGGCTATTACGAAAGAGAATTAAATGAAAAAGGATTGATGATTCAACATGGTTGATGACTTCACGGCACTCTTGACAGAATCCCTGGTTCTCAAACTTATTTGTACTCTGGAATCGTGTGGAGACCTTCAAAATATTCCAGCACCATAACGCTTAGCGATGATGACTGCAGGTGGTCTGGGTAGAAATCGGGGTTCGGGTGGCTAAAAGATTCCCCCAGATAGTCTCAAGTGCAGACAAGGCTGGGGGTCATGGGTATAATGCATCCTGACGTGGTGCTGCCAGGGTCTCACCCCACAATTCTGAATCCAAGGTCATTGTCTTTCTAGAGTCCTGCAGGAGAGTCAAGAGCCAGCGCTGGAGAAGGTACTAGACCCCCCTTGGCGGCTGCGGTCTGAGGAGAGAGGGCAGCCTGGTCTGAGGCTGCCTGTATTGCTAAGAGATCCTCACCCGGGAGCTTGGAGAATGCTGGGATTTTCCCAAACCATAAAAGACCCCTGGTTCGATAAAGACTCATGGAAGGGACTCAGCTTTTGGTGGGGTGCTCCGGCTTAAGTGGACCTTGTTCCCCGGGGCCCAGAACATCTCAGGTGGAAAGGGAATGACAAACCTGATCTGATGGGGTATCTGCCTGTCAGGAAAGCAGCCCGACTTGGGGTGCACATGGACGCAGCTGCTATGTGCTGCGTGAGCTTCACCCCATCCTCAGCAAGGCGGTCGATGTTGGGGGTCCTATGGAGGAAAACATGAACACTGTTCCTTAATTAGCAAACAAATGGTATTTCCCTCAGCATGCTTCTGCTGGTCACTGCCCAGCACCCCACAGGCTGCCCAGGGATGACCGAAGCTCAAAGGCAGGAGCCTCACATGTGTCCTCACCCACCCGAGCAATGTCCACTGCAGTCTAGTATCACCTGTGAAGCTCCCAGCACGTGCTGCTGGTGCTGAGATCAACACCCCAAGGAAGCCAATCTGGAATTCAGAATCTGGTGTCCTTGGGAAGATCTAACCTCAAGGTGTTGGGGGAGTGGATGTCCTGAGCGGGGTTTATGGGCACCCCCTCCTCCCCAGACCTAAGAGACCAGAGACACCAAGGATGACAAATCCTGTAGAGTCGTCACCACCGAGGAGCGGATGCTGGGAGCTGAGGGTGGAGTCAGCAGCTGGGCTTGGGATAATCAGACATGTGGGTCTTGGGTGGGGGGGGCTTGGTTTTCCCCAGTTTTCAGCATGTTTTGGGGTCCCAGTTCAGAGGACCTGGTAGGAACAGTCACCCATGTATCTCTCTCTTTCTCCCTGAGTTATTCCTGTTTTCCCCTTTCTTGTTGGAGACCCCTGAGGCACACAGCACAGAGACCAGAAAAACATCAAGGTCATGGCTGAAAAACTGATGAGCTCAGGTCGGAACAGTGGCCCCTGCATAGACTGTGATCTTCCTTCTTGTGTGTACAAAGCTATGTGTGGGATCACAAACTAGATTAAAAAAAAAAAAACAAAATAACCTAATTACACAAAACCTTGGCAGGAAATGTGTGCCCAGACATGGCCAAATGCTGAAAAAAACACTTCATTGTCTAATAATTAATATGAAAAATCTGAAAACAAGTTTCAGCAGACACTGAAAGCCCTTCAACACAAATAAAAGCCCTGGCGTCCCCTGGCTCCCGCTTCAACTCTATGTGCGTCTGTCATTTCTTAATAATTCCATCGACTGCATCAAATTCCTCTCTCAACCCTGCTCACCGAAACTGGACTCTGACATGTCCTGTGTGCACCTGCCGCTGAGTCTCATGATAAGGTCCATTTAAGCACACGGGTGAGACCCAGTCAGGCCACCTCATTTCCCATCAGGTGGGTGGCATATATGGGAATTTCGGGGTGCTTGGAGGTCCCAGCCTTGACCTGCACACATTGCAGGTGCCACTGAGGCTGGGACTCAGGCACAGTGTCCGGCAGGCCCGTGAGCTGGGCCCTGCAGGTGACCATACGGCTGAGTCACGAGAGCTGCATGGAGAGGCGGGGACGGCTCACCATACCCTGCGCTGGGGAGAGTCGTGGGAAGCAGCGAGTCTTTTCTGCCCACCTGACGGTGCGGTTGCCGTAGCAGCCGACATCTCCGATGCCGAGGTCATCGGCCATCAGAAGGAGGATGTTGGGGCGGGAGCCGGACACGCTGTGGCACGCTGAGGACACGCACAGCAGGAGCAGACAGGCGCTGACCGGCAGCCACTTCCTGCAAAGAAGCCACCGAGGAGCTCAGCCGGGGGCCCGTCCATCGCTGTGTCCTGTCGAGAGCATTCCGGGCACCTCACGGCTCCGCCTCCACCGACAGTGGCTGTGGTCCCAATTCCCACAGCTCCGCGGACACACAGCCAACATGTGGCAGAGTCGAGAAGTTATGAGGGATCTGACACCTCTTCCAGGATGCCTTCCTGGATTGCTCCCCACAAAAGGGAGATGTGATCTTTGGAGAATGACAGTGTCTATGGCATTTGCACGACAACAAAACCATTTCCGGAAGGTTGTCCTGTCTCTGAGACACTCACCGGGAAGGTGTCTGTTATGACCCTAGAGAAGCTCTCCCTGCCCCCAACCCAGCGCCTCCTCCTGTGTCTTCCTTAAATAAGAAACATGAGCATCAAGATAGCAACATCTGACCTTTCCGGTCCACTGGTGGGTGGTGTATGTGGGAATTTTGGGGTGCTTGGAGGCCCCAGCCTCGACCCGAGACACTGGGGGAGAATTATCACCACCCTGGCTGGGGGCGCCCCGATTGCCCTCACCACCCGGCTCTGACTGTGGCCGTGTTGTGTGTGAGACCGTCTTTCTCAGCGGAGCGTTGGGGCTTGTGTGAGTGACCTGACATGCGTGGCGGATGCTGACGCAGCAAGGCCACTGGCCCTTTAGCTAAATGCATGAGCAAACACAGAGCAACAGGCCCCCCAGGTCTCCCTTACCAAGAATGTTCCAGATCCGGCATCTCCTCGTTCCCTCTTTTTCCTGCAAGACAAGAAGACAACCCTGTGAGATGGTCAGAAAAGGGACTCGTTGCACAACAAGTGGGTCTGTGTGTGGCGGAGCCAAGCTGACTCTCTCTGCGGTGCCCCACCATGGAGTCAGTCTCCATAAATCCCTCAAGTCCTGGAGTCTGCTGTGAGTGGAATCACACAACTCTTACTTCACTCAGCATCATCCCCCTCCAGGCCCTTCCATGTTGGTGCAAATGGCAAGGGCTCATCTTTTTCATGGCTGTGTAGTATTCCACCATGTATACAGACTGTGTCTTCTCTCCCTACTCTCCTGTCCTTGGCACTTGGGTTGTTTCCATTCCTTGGCTATTGCAAATATTCCTCCAAGCAACACAGGCACCAACAGGATCCTTTTGGATTCGCTTTTTTGTGTCCTTTGGGTAGATGCCTGGAGCGGAATTGCTGGGTTGGGTAGATGCCTGGAGCGGAATTGCTGGCTCATAGAACAGGTCCATTTGTAGCCTTCTGAGGGTCTGAGGACCCTCCGCGGCTTTCTGCAGGGGTGACCCCGTGAACATTAAAGGTTCAGTTACCATCATTCTGGGAGCAGAAACCAGACAAACAGAATTTCAACGCCTTTAGCCTTGTTTTCTGGAAAACAACTTTGCAAAGTGAACCTTTCCAAAGAGGCCTGAGTTACATGGTCACGTCTGGGTGTGAAAATTCAGGGAAAGCATCTTTTTCCAACTTTCCCGCACCTCGGATGTGTGTTTCTTTGAGAAATAAGGAGATGGAAATTAAGGAAGTTAGGAGTTTATGGCGGGTTCTGTGAGAGTGGGGCCTGGGGGAGGCGTTTGCTAGAATTTACGAAAGATCTCCAAGGAGGAGCTGCCTCCCCACCAGCCAGCAGACAAGCTACTAAGTCCCTTCAGGAGCTACCCCAGGACTGTTTCTCAGGAACAGGAGGGAGCTGGGGCCCTCAAAGGTGGGGTCTGATCCCACAGAGAGTGCCAGAACACCCTCTAGGTGTGTTCCTGACCCCCTCCCCACCTTCAGGGACTGGAATGTTTCATGGCCGGAAGGTGACCCCTCCCAGCTGGGCACACCGGAGACAGACAGCCCCCCCCCCTGCTGTGACCCCTGAATGGCCTTTCCACCCCCTGCCAAGAGCCAGTGGCAGCTCCAGGGGACTGAACAATGGGGTGGCCTTTGGTCTCTGCCGGCCTCTTAGAAAGAAAGGAGCAGACCCTGCCAGCCCCGGCTCTGCCTGCTTTTCCCTCAAAACAACTTAGAACAAGCCCCTGGGGAGGGGGTCTGTTCTAAGCATCTTGGGGCCTGTTCTGAGCATCTTGGGAGGCCTGTTTGAGTATCTTGGGGGGCTTGTTCTGAGCATCTTGGGGGCCTGTTCTGAGCATCTTGGGGGTCTGTTCTGAGAATCCTGGGGGGCCTGTTCTGAGCATCTTAAGGGACTGTTCTGAGCATCTTGGGGGGTCCATTTTGAGCATATTGGGAGGCCTGTTCTGAGTATCTTGGGGGGCTTGTTCTGAGCATCTTGGGAGGCCTGTTCTGAGCATCTTGGGGGACCTGTTCTGAGCATCTTGGGGGACCTGTTCTGAGCATCTTGGGGGCCTGTTCTGAGCACCCCCAAGGGAGCTGACCTGCAGGGTCCTCTCTGGGTGGAGCTGGGGGTTTGCAGAGGCTGAAGGAGGAAGCCCCAGGAGGCGAGGCTGGGGGTGCTGCAGGGCTGAGCTTCCCGACTTCCACCGGGGAAGAAATCCAGCCCAGTCGCTGGACGTGACTTAGCAGGAAGCTTTGGCACAGGTGAGGGCACATCCGGGCTTTGCAGAGAACCCCGCGGGGCCTTCAGCTGCTGAGATAAACACCAGCTTTGTTCCGGGGCCTGAACTCCCACCAAAGGTTCTGACCATTTTGGCATCTCCAAAGCTGCAGGAATTTACTAGGAGGGGGAACAGGATCTGCACCATTTGTTTAACAAAAGCCCCAGACCCTAAACCCCGCCCGCCCAGGAGGATAAGATCTGGGAGGCCTCACACCCGCGGCCCCTGCTGAGCCAAACCTGCAGGGTTTGGGGCAAAAGCAGAGGCTCCCAGTGCTTTCTTCTGTAAAACGCAAAAGCTGCTTTTTGGAAATGGTGCAGGGGGCCTGGGAGGGGGCTGGTAAATCCCGCTGAGCTGCGGGAGCCGGGCTCCGTCCATCCCGGGGCCTGGGGGAGGCTGGCCAGGGGCACCAGCGAATCCCCCAGCAAGACCGACACGGCCCGGGGCTGCCCAGACAGGGAGGCTCAGACTCAGCAGTTAAGAGAAAGAAAAGTCTGGCAGAGGCACAAAGGAGCCTTTGATTCTCTGCAGACGGGAGCTCCTGCCCACCCAGCCCAGCGCCCACGCCTGGCCGCCCGCCCGCCTGGCCCCGCCGAGCCCCAGCCGCCTCCAGCCTCCGCCCGCAGGGCCAGGATGTGGCTCCGCTGTCCCCACACGCCTCCCTGCCCCGCGCCGGCCAGCTCTCCGCTGGAAGAGCTGCCAGCAGCTGGGGTGTCTCTCACATCTTGTCAGTTTTTGTTCAGGAAAGTTGCTTCTAAGATGGTGCCCAGAGAGAGGCTGCTGCCCGCCTTGGCTGCCCGCCTCGCCCTGACCCCCGGGGGGCAGATCCACGAGAGACTCAAGTTGAGACTCAAGTTGCTCTTGCGCGAGGGGGGCACAGACTTGCACCCCTGCAGCCCAGCTTGTGCTCAGGTCACAGCTCAGCCCAGGCGCCCCGGTCGCAAATAGTGACCCCCTCCGTGCTGAGGGGATCCCCGACCCCCCCCTTGGTACTCAGCTCCTGTCCACGGAGCAGCCTCAATGTGGACTTGGCCAAGGCTCCCCGGCACAGCCTCCCCCGAGGGCCAGAAACCGTCCCGAGAGTCCTGTCCAGTTCGCAGCAGAAGCCCCAGAAAGCCGGTCACTTACCAGCCCCCAGCGCCGGCCGGCGGGGTCTCCAGGCAGCTGCCCGCTGGGGTGGCCGCTGCTGACCGGGACTCGGGAGCCGGCTCGGGTCAGAGGAGGAGCCGCGGTGTCTCCCCTCCCTGCAGACGCTGAGGACGGACGCAGGCTGGACACGTGTGCCGGGAGGACAGTCACCCTTTCACGCCGCGGTGGCCCGGCGGTGGCCAGAGCGGCCAGCGCTGCTGTGCCCGGGGGGAGGTGCGGCCGCGGGTCGTCTGGAAAGTCTTAAAGGCTGTTTTTTCCTTCCTCTGCGGCATCCGCTCGGAAAGAACATACCGAGGCGGAGAGCGGCCCTGACTGGGCCTCCCTGTGTTAGTTATGACCGAGCCCGGCAGCTCAGCCGTGCCGGCTTTGGGGGGGTCTGTCTCCCACATTTCCCTGACTGTCTGGGGGCCTCAGAGCCGGGACCTGGGCTCCCAACAACATCAGCAGGGAAATGCTTCTTTGCTAATTAAAAGCTGGGGTCTCCTCGCTCTGCACAGCCTCAAGAGTCCTGGGGGGGGTGTTGCTGGGGCTTATTTTGGGAGGCCCCAAGGGCAGGTGCTGCCCCAGGAGGGAGGTTAAAGGCTGAGATGCTGGTGGAAGCTCCCGGGGGCTGGGGCAGGGCCAGGTCGCAGGACATGGACGTCTGAACGCAGCAGGACGGTAGCCACGGTATGGACGGGGTGTGGGCGGGGTGTGGACGGGGTGTGAGCTCACAAGGAGCAGGGACGGGATGGTGCCTGCTGGCCCCACCCTCCGGGTCACAGCAGGGACTGGGGATCCCTCACGCCTCCCTCCCACCCTTCCTGATTACCAAGGAATTGGAGCTCAGAGGCAGGAGGGGCCTGTGGTCACATGCAGCTGGGCAGGACGGGAGGGCGGCTATTCTGGGGGTGGCCGGTGCAGGAAAGTGAGGCTCAGGTGCTCTGCCACCAGGCCCTCTGCCTGACCCGCTTCTGCCCTGACGCCTGCCCTTCCTGACCCCACCAGAAGGTGTCAGCGCAAGTGTCCGCACAGCTGGGTGCTGCCTGGCCGAGCTGCCCGGGTCGTGGAGGCATCTTGAATGCAGGAGCAGTGACGGCAGGGCTGGCAAATCATTCTCCCGTGCTGTTCCCTCTCTCCGTTGGGTCCTTCAACGCACACACATTTAAAAATGTCCACTGGAGGGAAATGGAGCGACTTGTCTCTCTTTATTGTCTTGAACCTTTGAATCTTGGTGCCACAGCTAAGAAACTGAGGCCACGTCGGACACGCTGAGGATTTGTCCCTGCATTTTCTTCTAAGAGTTTGATGGTTTGGGCTTCGTAGGTCTTTGATCCATTTGGGGTTATATTTCTGATCTGTCTGCACAGTGGAGTAGTATTCAGCCATGAAAAAGGATCAAGTATTGATGCGTCCTATGCCTGGATGAACCCCCAAACCTCGATGGTTGGTGAAAAGTCATACCCAGAAGACAAGTGTTGTAGAAGCCCGTTTCTATAAAATGCCCACATTAGTTCATCCATTTGGGGTAAATTTTGTGATCTGTCTACACGGTGGAGTAGTATTCAGCCATGAAAAAGGATCAAGTATTGATGTATCCTATATCTGGATGAACCCGAAACCTCAAAAACCTCAAAACTTGGTGAACAGAGCCATAACTGGAAGGACAAGTGTTGTAGAACCCCATTTCTATAAAATGCCCATATTAGTTGATCCATTTGGGGTGAATTTTGTGATCTGTCTACATAGTGGAGTAGTATTCAGCCATGAAAAAGGGCCAAGTATTGATGCATGCTGTATCTGGAAGAACCCCAAAACCTCAAAGCTTGGTGAACAGAGCCATACCCAGAAGAGAAGTGTTGTAGAACCCCATTTTTATAAAATGCCCACATTAGCTGATCCATTTGTGGTGAATTTTGTGATCTGTTTACATAGTGGAGTAGTATTCAGCCATGAAAAAGGATCAAGTATTGATGCATCCTATATCTGGATGAACCCCAAAACACCCAGAAGGACAGGTGTTGTAGAACCCCATTTCTATAAAATGCCCACATTAGCTGATCCATTTGGGGTGAATTTTGCGATCTGTCTACACAGTGGAGTAGTATTCAGCCATGAAAAAGGGCCAAGTATTGATGCATGCTGTATCTGGAAGAACCCCAAAACCTCAAAGCTTGGTGAAGAGAGCCATACCCAGAAGGACAACTGTTGCAAAACCCCATTTCTACAAAAGGCCCACATTAGCTGATCCATTTGGGGTAAATTTTGTGATCTGTTTACATAGTGGAGTAGTATTCAGCCATGAAAAAGGATGAAGTATTGGTGCATCCTATACCTGGATGAGCCCCAAAACCCCAAAGCTTGCTGAGCAGAGCCATACCCAGAATGCAGAACCCCGTTTCTATAAAATGTCCACATTGGAGCAACCACAGATATTTGTGGTCAAGCAAAATGCCCACATTAAAGCAACCACAGACATCTGTGGTCAAGGAAATCATTTTGTTACCACCAGGGGCAGCAGGGAGGAGGGGGAAGGGATGACTGAATGGGATGGGGACTCATTTGGGGTCACGGGAATGGTCTGGAACAGGCCACAAAATCGTGCACTCGTTGTTGGTCTCCGTAGTGATTTTGCAACCTGCTGCACTGTCCCCTTGCTGCGCTCTCCACCCTGAGGGACAGTGGATCCTCACACCCCCGCTTTCTGCTTTTCCCTCTGGCTTTTATATTCCTTTGTAATGAATCGATGAGTTAATTCAACCACGACCACAAGAAAAGGGTCTTCCTCTCTAGGGCTTTCCCCTGGTTCTTTTCAGTTGATTGGTCCTTTTTTTTTTTTAAGATTTTTCCCCCAAATCTGCATTTGTTCTTATACCTCACAGTGGAGTTGGGATTTACCAGCCTGAGCTGCAGCACAGACGTGAGATGAGGACAGCAGAATTATTTAAAAGCCACATACGAGGCCATGGGAAAATGGACACCCCTGAAATACGACCATCTTCCAGGGCAGCCCCTGGCGGTTCCAGAAATGACTGAGCTTTGGCGCAAGATGTGCTGGAGCTTGGTTTATCATCGGTCGTCTTCAGGGCAATCCTCCGTGGCTCTCTCTGCTCACCTGTCCCCACTCCCACGGTTATCTCCACATAGTGAGGCTTCCCTACGTGGAAAACCCCATTTTCTAGAATTTCACATACGTGGGCTCGTACAATCTACCCTTGTATCTGTCATTATTTTTGCCTTTTTGGTCAGCTTTGAGATCCATGAAGGTTGCGATTGTGTCAACCATATGTCCCTTATCATTGCTGCGTAGTATTCCGCAGGCTGTGTGAGGGTTGGTTCACCCATTCATCTGCGGGTTTGAGAAAAGGCACCTGTCTCATCTCTTGAGGAACGCCTCCGTGAGCCTCCAGTGCAGGACGGCTGGGTGTGGGGACCAGCACAGCTGCAAATGTCCCTCAGGAGTCTCAGTGGACACTGGGGGTCCCGAGGCCATGTTTGCAAGATGCCGTAGTCAACGAGACGGACGTCACCCTGGAAAGTATCCAGTCGTCCCCCCAAAACTCACCTGTTCTGTTCCCTCTTCCCTCCTTTCAAAGCCTCCTTGGAGTCCTTGGTTAAGTTCTAAGAAAATTATCCTGGCAGAAATCCCATCCAATCAACCCCCTTAATTATATCCGAGCGTTTACTACCAGTGAAGAGGCCGCCCCTAAATGACTACCCAGCGGCTGTCACCGTAGGCCGTGTGGACATATAAAAATAATTGACCGAGCTCAGCCGGGTCCTAACTTGATACCCCACATATATATTTAATTATAATCACGACCACGGTGACTTCGGGCCGTGGCAGGACCGGGGAGTTGCAAAATCAGTGTCTACAAATGTAGGAGCCGGAGAAATATCTTCTCTCGAGTAAGTAGATTTTGTTCAGTTCGCTGGGATTCTGACTCTGCTGGTGCTCTGTGGGGTAAAAGGTTTGAGTTTCTCATGCCTGTCCTATTCCAGTGTCCGGAGTTTCCTCTGTGTGGGGTCACACAGTCTCTACTCTTTGATCTGTCGCGTGGATTCGCCTACGGATGGATCATTTTTGAGAGTCGTGAATAGTCTTGCTTGTAGCAACGTTGGTTCCTTGTTATTGCTGCGTAGTATTCCACAGGGTGTCTCTCCCGCTCGGCTGTGGGCGCACAGATCCTGCCGTCTGCCGCGTATTTCATGGCTGTGAGAATAAATATCTTCTCGGGGAGATTAAGGAAGCAGGTGCGTGGAGGATCGGGGACAATTAGTCAGTAGGAAAATGATAAAATCTGCACGGGGGGGTTGGTGAACGTCAGCATTTTGCCTGCGATCGGTTTTAATCCCTGAAGGGGTTTATGCACCTGGTGCTATTGCAGCGAGCGAATAAATACTAAATACGAAACATGATATTATGAAAATATAAGACGTGTCGCATGAACTGTTGCAGATTTAGACACCGGCTTCCACTTGGGGGAATTCGCTTCACGACGACTGTAACTGATTTTTATTAGTGCAGGTTTTCTTGGTGAAAAGCGTAGAATCGGAGGCTGGGGGATGTGGGCTTTATGGTCATTGTCAGGAAAAAAGAAGGTTTTGAATAACAGATAGTTTCAATTTTCCACGTGGCTGGGGGTTCTGTTTTGAAATGACAGGAATAAATGTTCCAGCAATTTTTGAGCATCAGGCAACTGGGAGGAAGTTGGAATTTATAGGACTGTCTTGCGGGGTCCCGGGCATCAGTGGGGAGCCTCATAATAGAGGCTCAGTCCAGCTTATTCACGTCCGTCTGATTGCAAAGGGGCAAAAGACAGCCCCGGGGAAGCTGCTGTTTCCTTTTGATGATTAACACAAAGCAGAATAGAGTCGCTGGGCTTGGAGGCCGAAGGAGCATGTCTTTGAGTGACAAGTCCGAGCCCTGATTTGTTTTGGGGGTCACCCCGGGGAGGGCTTGCTCCTGGGGTCTGGAGGGTGAGGAACAGGGATGTTGCAAGGGACACCCTCACCCAGAGGGTCAGGATGCGGGTGCTGACATCAGGATGTGGGTGGGATTAGAGACCCTGGACCTTAGTATGGGGGACTGTGTCTGTCTGTCTATCTATCTATCTATCTATCTATCTATCTATCTATCTATCTATCTATCTATCTATCTATCTATCTGTCTATCATCTATCTGTCCTGTCATCTATCAATTCTCTCTCCATCCATTATCTATGGATCTATGCTTTTATCTACCCGACCATCCATCCATCCATTATCTACTACCTACCGATTAATTATCTATCATCCATTCACCCACCCATCATCTGTGGGTATATTCACTCATCCATTTTCTATTAATCAATCATCAATCTATCAATTAATCTATAATCCCTATCGATCATCTATTGATCAATCACATGTCATCAATCTGTCTTCTTTCTATTTAACAATCACCTATTTAGCATCTACCAATCATTTATCTATGTTTCTGTTAATTATTAACCAATCATCTATATATCATCAATCATCATCTATGCCGCTATGTATCCAACTAGCATCCATCCATCCATCCATTTATCCATCCATCATCCATCCATCATCCATCCATCATTCATCCATCATCCATCATCCATCCATCATCCATCTTCCATCATCCATCTTCCATCATCCATCCATCATCCATCCATCATCCATCCATCATCCATCCATCATCCGTCATCCATCCATCCACAATGCATCATCCATCCATCATCCATCCATCATCCATCCATCATCTATTATCCATCCATCATCCATCCATCATCCATCATCCATCCATCATCCATCCATCCTCCATCCATCATCCATCATCCATCCATCATCCATCCATCATCCATACATCATCCATCATCCATCATCCGTCCATCCACAATGCATCATCCATCCATCATCCACCATCCATCCATCCACCCACTTTTCTATTTCATAAAAGGGCACAACATTGCCATCCAGGGAACATGCACCAAGTCTGGGGGCATTTTCATTGTCACCCACACTGGCATCAGTGGGTGAAGACCAGGGGTGCTGCTCAGCCCCCACGTGCATGGGACGCCCCACAAGGAGGGTCAGCGCTACGGGGTTGAGACTCTGGTGTAGTGCTACAGCCTGAGCCTCTGGCTCACACATGCTGACAGACACATTTTAATTAGCGCAGAGGCCGGGCCTGAATTTACGAGCTCACCCCAGCTGCTCTGCTCCTGTGGCCCATTTTATGCAGGTAGATGTGGGTCTGACGACCTCATTACCCCCTCAGCCCCTGAGAGGTGCCCCGGCTCAGTTCCCCAACACCCAGGTGGCCTCACTGTTGGTGGATGAAAGGTTGGCCTAATTGCTGTTTAGGTTTCCGCTGCGGGAGAGAAATGCTTGACAATAAAGAATCAGGCAGCTTTACCTTCAAAGGCACTGGGGGCCAGTGAGTTCACCCTTTTATTTTAAAGGAAATATTTGCCATTCCAGCCCCCCCCAGGGGACTGGGATAATTGATAGATTGGTCCTCCAAGGGTACAGGACAGGGTGGGGGCAGCCCAGCCAGCCGGGGAGCCTCTCGGAGGTCACCCCGGTGCACTGATGTGGAACAGGGACAGTCTCCGTGTGTTACGGATACCTCAGATCTGCGGTCATCCTGCAAGTTTGCTTTTCCCTGACCCTTTGCTTGCTTTCCCCATATTCCTCATATAAGTGAGACCCTCTGGAATTTATCTTTCTCCTTCTGACTTTTTTCCCTGAGCATCATTCCTCCCAGCTGCATCCATGTTGCCACAGTGGGAAGAGCTCGCCTTTTTCATAGCTGCATAGTATTCTATTGTGTATCTACCACATCTTCTTGATGCTGTCATCTATTTTGGGGCATTTGGGTTGTTTCCACATCTTGGCTATTGTCACTGGGTCCTGCAATAAATATTGGGGTGCGGGATTCCCTTTGAATTACTGTATTTGTGTGCTTTGGGTAGATTCCCAGGAGCGGAATTGCTGGGTCCTGGGGCAGATCCACGTTTAGTGTTCTGAGGAAGCTCCACACGGCTCTCCAGAGTGGCTGGGCCAGTTTGCACTCCCCCCAGCTGTGGAAGATGCTCCTTTTTCTCCACATCCTCAACGGCATTTGTTATTTTCACTTTTTTTTTTTTTAATATGGCCCATTCTCAGCGGTGTGGGGTGTATCTCATCCCTGATGATTGAGTTTCTTCTTCTGAAAAAGGTCCTTGAACCTCTTCTGCCCACTTTTTGATTGGGTTGTTCACGGTCGGGGGAGTTTAAAAAGCCCTGATCCCACCTCTCTGTGGCAGTTCTTGCTTTTTTCGGTGTGTGTTTTTTGGAACTCCATGGAGTGTCTTAGCCAGAGAGGTGGGATGTGTTTTCAGGATCAACCATGGAACCAGGGTACTGATTGGGTTGTGGGTCGGGCAGACAGAATGGCCCACGGCTGACAGGTGGGGACGCGGGCTTCGGAAGATGCCCCTTCAGAAGGGACCCAGCTTCTCGAAACATCACACTTGAGATTCTTGCTGAAGACCTTCCATGACACGGTGACCCTGGGAATCGGACACACACCCCCCCCCCGGGAGTCAGGGGCCTCATATGACTCCCAGATCTTTAATTTATCAGTCTATTAAACCCCGTGGCCCCCAATTCCGTCCTCCGTAAAGCCAGACAGCTGTCATTAACCCTCCGAGGCAAGCAAGGCCAGATGGTTTGAGGGCCCAGTGGGGCACCTTGCCCGGGATGCCTTGGGGTTGACAGAGCCCCGTAAACGCCGGAGGTGTTATTAGTCTTCATTATATATCATTTGTCCTGTGGGGTCGCCGCGCAGCCGAGGACCCACTGAGCTGAGCCATTGGAGGGTCCCGAGGCAGGGGAATGTCCAGCTCTTTGAAGTCCTTTCAGAAGGTCATCATTACAGCTGCTGAGGATGCGCGAGGACCTGGCCGCCGGGACCGGGTCCAGGTAGGTGCGAAACAGGCAGCTGCTGAGGGTCGGCCAGTTGCCGACACGGATCCGAGTGACCCACGACGCCACTCGTCACCCCCGGGATGGCTGATCGCTCGCTCTTGCGCCGTGTCCCTCTACACAGACATGCCTCGTTGGCCCAGGAGCAGAAGGAATCCCGGGGCTCCCGTCAAACAGGCTCTTTAGCAATTTGGGCTCTTTCTTGTCGGCCCACGAGACAGATAGTGCCCGGCGCACGCCTCAGTGTTCTCTCTTCTCCCCCAGGCACCGCGTGAGAAGCTATGGTACGGCCGCTGCACGCCCGGTGAGTCGGCCCGCCCGCCGCGCGGTTCTCTGACTCCACAGGCTTGTCCACTCTGGCCCCTTTCCGGTCGGCCAGCTCCCCCGGGGACGGGGCGATGGGGCAGGGAGGCGATTCCTTCCTTCCTTGAGGGGGCAGCACAGAGCTGCAGCGGGCACGGGCTGCCCAGGGCGGTGGCCGAGGTCACCGCGGAGATCACAGGGCTGGGAGAGCCGTGGGCATCTGTCCGGAGCGTTGGCACCAGGTTTATGGAATTACGGGGCCACCGCGCTGGGCTGTGTTTTGCAAGTGGCCAAAGAGTCACGGGAAGGTCAGTGGTGAGGGTTTCGAGACGCCCCAGTGAGGGCTGCCGGGGCGGGTTGCACGGCAGGGAAGGGACCCAGGGGCCCGAGGAGGGACCTTCCGCTGGCGCGGCCACTTGCAGCATCCGCTTTGGCCGCGGAGTGTCGCCGCCGGGTCAGGGCGGCTCCGGGCCGCAGGTGACGGGTTTGGCTGCTCCCCCGTGTCATCCTGCCTCTCCCCCAGAGACAGCAGAGCTTCCCTTCCACTCCCTGCTCTGCGTGACTCAGAGACAAACGAGGAAGCTAAAATATCCGTGAAAAAGTGCAACGGGGCATCTGAAAAAAAAATGAAGCTGCCCTTGCTGGCTCGTAGCCTCTGGTTTTCTCTTTGGTTCCTATCTGCATGCAAAGAAGTGAAATACGGGTCTTGTCGTGCTCTGGAACTGCTCTGGGTTTTCTCGGAGGGCCCGTGGCACTTGTTGGGAGGATTCAGTGTCCGAAAACCTGGAGCACTCGCTTGTGCCTTAAAGGATGCTTGCGTGAAAGTTGACTTAGGAAAACCTAAGAGAAAAAGGAGAAGATTCAGCTCCTGAGTAAGGCAGCTCCGTGGAGTGCCCCGAACACGAGGTCAGGTCAGGACTGCACCTGCTCTCGCTAATTCTCTCTCCACCAGGTCGTGGCCAAAAAAAAAAAAATCTGGTTTCTGAGTAAACTCTCCCAGGTACAAGAAAACCCGTCACCTCAGCCTCCAGCTGGCCCGAAATGCGAGTCTCAACGGTCAACCTCGCTTCTGTCCTTCCGCCTCCCAGCCCGTGTCCCAGGAGCCGCTGGGTGCTGCTCTGGCTCTGCTGCTTCCTGGGGGGCCCCCGGGCCATGTTCGTGACCAGGAATTCCAGGCCCAACATTGTCCTGCTGATGGCCGACGACCTCGGGGTGGGGGACCTGTGCTGCTACGGCAACAACACAGTGAGGTAAACTGGCTCGTCCCGGTGGCCGCCAGCGCCCGTGAGTGTCTCCAGAACCGACCGAGGACTCTGTCCGCCTGGACAGCGAGACCCCAGAATGCCTCCCCAGCCCTGACCACCCCGGTCTGCTTGCTGTCCCCGTGGGTTCGGTTATTCTGGCCATTCCATATCAACGGAATCATGGAATTTATATTAGTTTCCCATATAAGGCACCACAGAGCCTCTTGGTTTCGGGGAAAGTCCCAGCTCAAGCTCTGGGCTGGATCCTCTGTCCTGGGTTTCTAGATGCTTCTCTGCCTTGGGTCTTCACAAGTCCTGTGGGTACCTATGTCCTCATGGTTTTTTCTTAATATAGACCAACAACCTGGGAAAGAATGTGGACCCTAAAACATTACCATTTGGTTGTAGGACAGGTGCATCTCGGAAGACTGCATTCAAGTGGTGCTTAACCTCAGTTACCCCCCAAAAATAATCTCCTAAAATATCCAGTTTTAGGAAGGTGTCATATCTCAGCGACTGAGCTGTCGACTGAAATGTGGACGCTCTCAAACTGCTCGCCCTGGCTGGCAACTGCAGGTCCCTGTCAGTTTTTGAGACTAGATGGTCTTACCTTCGACTTTCCACTTGCATCCAACCATCGATGCCCCTGACAAGGCAGAGGGACTGATGTTCAAGGGGCAAATTTTAGGGTTCCTGCAGACACAGCTGTCTCAACCCTAAACAGAATACCCTTGGGTCTCACTCATTGTGTTGGGGGTTGAAACCCACACGCTGAATTCTCTTCCACCTGCAGCACGCCCAATATCGACCGCCTGGCAAATGAAGGTGTGATGCTCACTCAGCACCTGGCCGCCGCCTCTGTCTGCACCCCAAGTCGGGCAGCCTTCCTGACTGGCCGGTACCCCATCCGATCAGGTGCGGAATGCCATGGCATTGTTGCTGCGCTACATGCTTTCTCAGGATGTTTGTATTTTTGCAATTCTTCTAAAGGTCAAAGTATGAATCATCTACCCTCACATGGGACTTGTGCTCATACTGTTAGGGGGGAAAGGCTGTCCTGAAGCTGATCCCATACAGGCTCTGTGGACTCCACCCCCACCCCAGGCCAAAGCCAAAGACACTGGGGACTCCACATCCCATCCCCACCCAAGGGAAGGGGGCTGGGACCTGAGGGTGGGGTTCAGCAGCCAGGTGGGGATAAAGCCAGACACGTGGGCTTTGGGGGGGCGGTTCCCCCATTTTGGCTCCCCGCCAGCTCGCAGCGGGTTTTCACCAGGTGCCACCAAGCTGCTCACCTGGGGACCCTGGGGACAGTGTTTCGGTTCTGGTGAGCAGTTTCCAGCGAACAGATCACCTTTTCACTTTGAGGCGCTTTGGCAAGAACCAGCAGGAAGTACCTTATTTCTTTCTGATTTTAGTAAATGTGTTGACTAAACACATCTGGTTCCTCATTCCTAAAGCAGGGACCATGTCGGCATTGTAAGAAAAAGTGGCTCTGTCCAGTCTCTGGCAAAGAGGGTGGAAAAGTAAAAGGAGCACTGGGGAAGAAAGTGTGGCGAAGAGCATGGAAAGACAATGGTCGTCATACATTGTCTCTGTCTCTCTGTCTCTGTCTGTCTCTCCCTCGCACACATGGTTTCAACATGCACGCTTAACGAGTCAAGCACAAGGGCCACAACTGGGTATTTCCCACTGCAGCTCAGCCGACAGGCAACACGGTCAGCCCTGGTGTGGAATCAACATGGTGCAGATCGATTTTTATACCCAGCTAAAAGCAGCGATGCTGTCAGCACTAGCACCTCCTCCGTGAAGTTGCCCCACGTCATTGTGTTTCGATTAACTCAACTCGCTGGGAGCTGCAGTTTTCATACGTTCCCCAAAATCTTTCCCTTAACGAGATTTTTCTCCAGAACTTTCCTTCCTCCCAGCTGGGAAGATCCGGAGAAGGAAGGAAGGAGGTTGGATGAGTGACATGAACATGACAAACATTGCAAGTCCTTGTCCTTTGAACATTGATTTATTCCCACCTATTTGTGCTGCCCAAGGATGTTTAAAAAATAATCCAAGAGTCCCAATTTTTTTTTTTTAGGATTTATTTATTTGTGCATACAAGAGCTGGGGTACAGGCCAGAGATGCGGGGAGGGGGGTGAGAGGATTCACCAGAGACAGAGTGGGGAGCAGAACAGGCGGATTGACTGAACCACACGGCTGAGGGGAGCAGCGGGCGAGGCAGGAGAGGTCTGCTGTGCCATGGGGGTTGCTCGCTGACCGGCCAGGGATCGAACTCATGCTGTAGAGGCTGCCGATTGCTTCATAATGTGGTGCTTAACCTCTTGCGCCACCAGGGAGGCCCCCAGTTTTTTTTTTAAATACTTCGGTTGCCTCAAGACTTGTCTCTACTTGACGTATTCATGGGCATGAACAGGGGTGAAGATGGACGTGTGCGAGTGTCCAGGGACGGCAACCCATACGTCATTTTGGGAAACTCTAAATATCGACTAGGTGGAAAAATGATTGAATGCATGAAAATAAGAAAAACCACAGCACCATGGAAGGGCTCTGTCAAATCTTTGCTGCAAGGGAACTACCTAGAAATTTCCAGAAAAATGGTCCTATCTTTGAATTCAATAGAAATTCATGCGTGTGTGTTCCATGGCCTTTATATAAAATGTGGAGATGTAAAAGGGATAAGGGTTAGAAAGGCAAGAGGGATAAGAGTTCCGCATCTCCCCCTTCCTGGGCCCCAGATATGACCAGTCTGCTCACAGAGGAGTTCCCTTGCGTGCTGTGCTCTCATGCTGTTTTCTAATTTCTTGTGGTCGCTTAGCAAAAATACCTTCGCGAATGGGCAGGCTCCTCTCTAAAAAGCTTCTCCTGCCCTTGCGAGGGTTGTATTTTATAAACACGCGCCTCTCTGTAGCTCCTTCCCATGGACACGCACTCATCCTATTTCCACCAACACTTCAACGCCAGAGAAAACAAGAAGGGGTAACCCCACGTAGGTGTCGTCTAGAACAACTGAAGATAAGATGTCGCCCTCTCCCAAGTGCCAGGAGGAGAGATTCACGACACTGGGGCCTCTGGGGGGCAGTGGGAATGGTCATGAGAAGAGGGTCCCTGTTCCTCATCTGCTGTCCACTCTGTGACTCCTCCAGGGATGGCGTCCCCCTTCGAAGTGAACCGCGTCTTCAACTGGCTTGGAGGCTCGGGGGGTCTTCCCACGAATGAAACCACCTTTGCTAAGTTGCTGCAGCACCGTGGCTATCGCACGGGTCTCATAGGTATGGCTGTGAGGGATGAACTGGGGGTCCCAGCTCCTGGCACTACTGTCCCTCCTGTCCCCTACCCCTCGACCCCTCCTCCCTCCACTGTCCCTCTTCAACTGGGCATCCTCAGCCTGATCACCACGGCCCCAGGGTGCTGGCAGAGTCCTCAGAAGACCCACTCACAGGTTTTCTCATGAGAGGAATAAACCCACGACATCGGGACGTCCCCATGGATTAGATGGCCTCGGTGCGGTGCTGACTAAGAGTGACCACTCCCCAGGTTTCAGTTCTCATGTCCAAGAGGGTGGGAGTTGAAAGGCCCTGGTTTCTTCTGCTACTGGGTTTCGAAAGCAGCATCCGCCACCGCGAAATCGATATCCAGCTGCCAACCTTCCTTTCGGTGGCAACCGGGATAAGTCTGTTTGCTTTTGCAAGACCTGGCTCTTGATCGGGAAGGTCCTCTATCAGGGTGTGTTAACCGCCTGCCCACGTGTCTCACTGCGCAGCGAGTCGACTGGCACTGTCCCTGGAAAACGGAGGCACCGCAAACAACAGAATGATTTTGCTTTGTCCGTCGATTCAGTTGGACTAAATGTGGGAAATGATGCATTTAAAGATTTATTCATTGATGCACACAACGAATGGGGTACAGGCCTGAGGTGTGGGGGTGAGAGGAGTCGCCAGAGACAGAGTGGGGAGCAGAGCAGGTGGATCCACTGAAACCCACTGCTGAGGGGAGCAGTGGGGAGAGAGGAGAGGTCTGCTGCACCCTGTGGGTAGCTCCCTGGCTGGCCGGGGATCGAACTCGTGCTGGGGAGACTGCCGATAGCTTCGCAGTGCTGAGACTTTACCCCTGCGCCACCAGGGAGGCCCCACACACTCTTTTTCTTTATCTTTCTGACCTGCTTTCCCTCGAGCTCCTCCCACTTTGCTGTAAATGGTAACATGGCCTCCTTCTTCAGGGCTGCGTAATATTCCACAGAATGGCCAGACCAGCCATTCTTCTGGATCCAGCTTTCCATCAGGGGGCACCGAGGTTGCTTCCGGGCCCTGGTTATTCTAAATCGTGCTGCCAAGAGCATTGTTTTTTGATGGTTTTGTGTTTCTGGGTCCGTTTCCAAGAGTGGGCCGCACGGGTGAGGGTCCTCTTGTCCTTCCAGGAAAGTGGCACCAGGGTCTCAGCTGTGCCTCCCGGGATGACCACTGCTACCACCCGCTCAACCACGGCTTCGACTACTTCTACGGGCTGCCCTTGGGCCTTCTGAGCGACTGCCAGGCGTCCCAGAGGCCGGAGCTGCACCGCTGGCTGCGCATCAAGCTCTGGATCTCCACGGCCGCCCTCGGGCTCATCCCGGTCCTGCTGCTCGTCCCCAAGTTGGCACGCTGGTTCCCCGTCCCCTGCTGGGTCATCCTCACCTTCGCCCTCATCGCCTTGCTCTTCTTCATTTGCTGGTACTCGAGTTACGGGTTCGTGCGGCGGTGGAATTGCATCCTGATGAGGAATCACGAAATCATCCAGCAGCCGATGAGAGAGGAGCGGGTCTCCTCCCTGCTGCTGAGGGAGGCCCTCACCTTTATCGACAGGTCATTGGGCCTCTTTGGCCAGACTTTATTTTATTATTATTATTATTAATTAAAGATTGATTTATTGATGCATACAAGAGCTGGGGTGCAGGCCAGAGGGGCGGGGGTGTGAGAGGACCCCCCAGAGACAGAGTGGGGAGCAGAACAGGTGCATCTACTGAGACCCACTGCTGAGGGGAGCAGCGGGGAGACAGGGGAGGTCTGCCGCACCCTGTGGGTAGCCCCCTGACCAGGGATCGAGCTCAGGCTGCAGTGGCTGCTGACTGCTTCACAGTGCTGAGACTTCACCCCTTGCACCCCCAGGGAGACCCCGATATTCTTACTTTAGGGGACAGCTCAGCTGCCTTTCTCCCCTCAGGTACAAACGCGAGCCTTTCCTGCTCTTTGTGTCGTTTCTGCACGTGCACACCCCCCTGGTCACCAAGGAGAAGTTTGTGGGGCGCAGTAAATACGGCCTCTATGGGGATAACGTGGAGGAGCTGGACTGGATGGTGGGTGAGTCCAGGGGCAACGGTGGGATGAGTTATTAATTTGGTCGACGGCCCCCGGGGTGGTTTGGGGGAGCAGGGTCCGCCCCTCTCAGCCACCGAGACGCCCGTGAAATCCAGCTGTCGGTATCGGAAACCCACGTCTGGGAGTGAAATTGCAAATTACGTGGCGACACAGTGTCCGTCGCTGCCGGGTAATAAATAATCTAGCGCACGAGTGGTTTGGACAGAGAACAGTGATTGCGTGTCCTATTATGCATTGTAAATGGGTTTTTAGTTTTATTTCACGGCATCTTTTTATTATGTGTGTGTTTCTATGGGATGCGATGGTAGAGGACGTTCCTAAGAATTTACAGATTCCATAGGGTGACAATAAACCACACATTTACGTATTTACGTGGGGGTTTTATGTTTTATAGCACAGCGTATATTTTACTATTATGATTTTAATATATTAGACATTATAATTTATCATATTTTGTATAATATAAATGTCTTTTAGACTAATTATATTTGATGTATTCTGTCGTGTGATTGTATTAAACATACACTAAAGGTGCTGTATTCCTTCTATTCATATGTCTATAAATGACATTAAACATACTACACATATTTTATAGACAGAGCATTTTACATTATTTTAGAGTATTTTTATTTTTATAAAAATATTTTTTATTTTTAAAAATGTATTTTTATTTTTATTTTTATAAAAATAGTATTTTTATATAGTATATAAAATAATTAATTAAGCATACTACATATATTTTATTATTATAGACAGAGCCTTTTACATCATTTTAGAGTATTTTTATTTTTATAAACATATTTTTTATTTTTAAAAAAGTATTTTTCTTTTTAATTTTATAAAAGTAGTATTTTAATAATAATTTAATTACATATTTATAATGATTCATTATATGTTGCTAATATAAACTACGTATAAACTATACAGATACACAATAACTACAATATATTGCAGGATAAAGTCTCCTATTATTTCATATTACTCCACAGTGACGTCTTACTATTTAAGAAATAATCTGTTGCGTAGTCTTCTACCATTATGACTTATTGCATAATATTATACAACAGTAATTTACTACATATTCTATAGCTAGTGATATTTGTAATTATTATGTAGGATATTACGCAACGGTGACTTGTGACATCCAGTATACAATAGCGGTTTGTTATCAATATTCTATAATAAATAGTGAACTATTGAAAATCATGCAATAGCGGCTCCTAACATAAATTACATAAGACTGATTCTTATAGATCATGTAGCTATTTATTGCTTGATATTGTGCAATAGTGACTGATGACATCCATTGTACAACAGTGATTGATTACCTATTCTATAGATAGTCGTATTGCATATTATACACTCGTGACTTCTTACATAAATTACATCAGTGTGATTTTTACATATTATATAACAGTGATCGATTGCGTAATATATAAATTATGCAATAGCGATTCAGCACTATGAAACACACTATATATATTTTATTTATTTATTTATTTAAAAAAAGATTTATTTTATTTATTTACACAAGCACTGGGTACAGTCAGAAGCGCGGGAGGGTGAGAGGATTCACCAGAGCCAGAGCGGGGAGCAGAACAGGCAGACTGACAAAACACACTGCTGAGGGGAGCAGCGGGCGCGCCAGGAGAGGTCTGCGCGCCATGTGGGACCCTTGCCGGCGGCCGGGGATCGAACCGGCGCTGCAGAGGCTGCGGGCAGCTTTGCAGTCCAGCGCTCAACCGCTGGGCCACCAGGGGAGGTCCACACTATATCTATTTTATAGATATTAAATAGCATTTTACATTATTTTAGACTCTTTGTATATGTTACATAAAATAATGTTCATTATCACATGCATAGTGCTATCCTGCATGCTGTTCTACACCAGCGACTTATTACATAGTGTTATACGACATATAATAACATGTCATGATGGTGTTACGTAACACACGTGCGCAATGACTACCCCAGTGCATCTCCAAGGTCCTCACTGCAACGTGCCCCTTCCTCTGTGCCTTCCCCAGGGAAGATCCTGGCCGCCCTGGACCGGGAGCTGCTGGCTAACCGCACACTGGTGTACTTCACCTCAGACAACGGGGGCCGCCTGGAGTCCCAGGAGGGCGGGTCCCAGCGGGGCGGCTGGAACGGCGTCTACAAAGGTGAGGCACAGAGAAGCGACTCCACCCTCTGTCCCGCTACTCGGCTTTGCTTCCAGTTGATTCGTCTTGGAGAGTTTCCTGTGTGGCTTGCACCCTGATAGGGCTACACGGCTCTCGGCTGCAGGTTCTCGTGCCCGGTGGAGTGTTGGTCAGTGGGGCAGTGTCCCTGGTCCCCACCCCAAAAGTAGTAAGGACCAAAAGTCAAGTATTCCCTGGGCTCTGAATCTCATTGCAAGCCATGTGTGATAAGAGAAGTCTGACTTGAAGGCCCAAGTCAATTTAATTTAATGAAACTAACCATGTTATTGGTATATTTCCAAGAGGGTTGTGCTGGCCAGGTAGGGGGCTATCCCTTCAGGTGGTGTCCTACCTCCTCATTGCATCCATCCATCCGTCACCTACTCATAGGATTCCCTCATTCTTTATAAAATTCTTCTGTGTGGATAGATGGATGACTGGTGATAGAGTGGATGGATGGATGGATGATGGTGGATTGTGGATGGATGATGGATGGTGGATGCATGATGGATGGATGATGATGGAGGATGGATGGAGGATGGATGATGGATGGATGGATGATGATGGATGGATGATGGATGGATGATGGATGATGGATTGTGGATGCATGATGGATGGATAATGATGGATGGATGATGAATGATGGATGGATGGATGATGATGGATGGATGGATGGATGGGTGGATGGATGGATGGATGATGGATGGATGATAATGGATGGCTCAATGGATGATGGATGATGGCCATTCCAATGTTATCTCCACAGTGGCCCATCCTGGAATGCGAGGGTGGGGCTGCTTGGCTCGGAGGGAAGAGACAGGACCTAACCCGGGAGCTTATCTGGATCCAGAGTGGGGTCAGGATCTGGCGTCAGTCCCCCTGCTTGTCCTGAGAGCATCCCAAGAACACGTCCCACCCAAGGGCCTCGCTCCAGCCTCTCCACCCCCACACCCCTGGGGAATCCTGCTCAGAGGCTGGAGCTCGCTTATCACTCCAGGAGCTGGGAGAGAACCAGCTGGGCCAGTCTGGTGGCCTTTTCCACCCCTCAGAGCCAACCCATTTCCAGAAAGACGGGGTGTGTGGCAGCTCTCACCTCAATCACACTTCCTTCTCTGATGCCATCTCCAATCTTGGGGTTTCCAGGCAGGGTAGGCGTCTCCAGGAAGGATTAGACACTCTCAGGTGCTCCTGGAGACCTGGCACATCAGGGGTTAGCCACGGGAAGTCACGGCAAGCCCCTGAAGACGTTCTTCTGTGCCGCATGCCATGAACCCCAAAACCCTTATTATGGGGCGAAGGTTTGGCTGCTGTGTCTTATTGCACCGGGACTAAACAAGGTTGGGTCTATTTGTCTTCAAGGTTTGGGTGCATAGGAAGGAAAAGTCTCCCTGGCAAAGGAAACCAGATGTGTGCTCAGTGGGGGAAGAGCAGGACGAGATGCGGGTCTTCCTGAAGCAAAACTAATGTTGCCGGAAGCTGAACTGGTTCTTTTGGGGGGAATATTTGAGAATCTCAGCAAGAGAAATGTGGGTGTAAAAGGTTTGCGGGGAAGGGATCTTGGGGAAACAATGTTTTGTGGACACACTCATTGAGACTTTGCAATCAGGTCTTAGTACCAGAACAGGGATGCCATGGCATGGTTGGGCTGGACTCCATGGGTGGTTGGGTTGGACACCATGTTGGTTGGGTTGGAAGCCTTGTTGGTTGGGTTGGACACCATGTTGGTTGGTTGGAAGCCATGTTGGTTGGGTTGGACACCATGTTGGTTGGGTTGGATGCCATGGTTGGTTAGGTTGGATGCCATGGTTGGGTTGGACGCCATGGTTGTTTGGGTTGGACACCATGGCTGGATTGGATGCCATGGTTGGTTGGGTTGGACGCCATGGCTGGATTGGACGCCATGGTTGGTTGGGTTGGACACTATGGTTGGTTGGGTTGGACACCATGGCTGGATTGGACGCCATGGTTGGTTGGGTTGGACACCATGTTGGTTGGGTTGGACGCCTTGTTGGTTGGGTTGGACACCATGGTTGGTTGGGTTGGACACCATGGCTGGATGGATGCCATGGTTGGGTTGGACACCTTGTTGGTTGGGTTGGACTCCATGTTGGTTGGGTTGGATGCCATGGTTGTGTTGGACGCCATGGTTGTTTGGATTTGGAGGCCATGGTTGGGGTTTGGACTCTGTGGGTGGCTGAGTTTGCCCATGATGGGGGTCCAGCAATGTCCTGCGGGTGCTGGATGGAGCTGGGGGTCTCCACGAATGGGGCACCCGCACACAAGAAATCCCAGCCTGTCTACCATTGGGCAGGGTGGAGGGGCATGGCGAGTCAGTCTCCTCCAGCATCCCCCTGTCTCTCCCCCTCTGCTCCAGGTGGCAAGGGCATGGGTGGCTGGGAGGGTGGCATCCGTGTGCCGGGCATCTTCCGCTGGCCGACCGTCCTGGAGGCAGGCAAGGTCATTGACGAACCCACCAGCCTGATGGACATCTACCCCACCCTGTCCTACGTGGGCGGCGGGATCCTGCCTCTGGACAGGTAGGCGGGGGCAGGGGTGGGGCATGCGGGCACCATGCTGGGGTTTACTGTGAGCAAAGATGGTGGCCAGTGTGGCGTGTCCTCCCAATCTGGGGCTGCCCCCCTGGGAGGTGACCACAGCAGCCCCGCTCACGGCTGTCCACCTCCCCTCTCTCCCAAGACCCATCGATGGCCGCAACCTCATGCCCCTGTTGGAAGGCAGGGCCCCCCACTCGGAGCACGAGTTCCTCTTCCACTACTGCGGGGTCTACCTGCACACGGCCAGGTGGCACCAGAAGGACTGTGAGTAGCCGGTGCAGGCGCTGGATGCCCGGGACTTGGGCCAGCTCTCCCCTGTGCCCACCCCACCTCCTCCTTCCTCGGGAAAGTCACTTAGTGGCCGTTTGCACGGCTGACCTTAGGGTGCGTGTGTGTGTGTGTGTGAGATTGTGCAAGCTCATGTGCATGAATAAGAGACAGAGAGAGATTTTATTTATTTTTATGTAGAGAAACTGGGGTGCAGGCCAGAGGTGTGGGGGGGGGTGAGAGGACTCCCCAGAGACAGAGTGGGGAGCAGAACAGGTGCATCCACTGAAACGCACGGCTGAGGGGAGCAGCAGGGAGCCAGGAGGGGTCTGCTGTGCCCTGTGGGTAGCTCCCTGGCCTCCTGGGGACCCGCCGAGACTGAACCCCTTGCGCCCCCAGGGGCGCCCCCTCGAGATGTCTATTTTTATCAGGACGCCTCCCGCCATAAACACGCAAACTCCCTTTCGCAGGCGCAACGGTGTGGAAAGCCCATTTCATGACCCCCAACTTCTCCCCGGAGGGAGCCGGTGCCTGCTACGGCAGTGGGATGTGCCCCTGTTCCGGGGACGTCACCTTCCACGACCCCCCGCTGCTCTTCGACATCTCCAGGGACCCTTCGGAGGCGCACCCCCTGAACCCCGACGACGAGGCGCTCTTCGAGTCGGTGGTGAAGAAGATCGAGCTGGCCATCCGCGAGCACCGGCGCACGCTGGCGCCCGCGCCCCTGCAGTTCTCGCTGTTCAACACCATGTGGAAGCCGTGGCTGCAGCCCTGCTGCGGGGCCTTCCCCTTCTGTGGCTGCGACAAGGAGGACGTCATCCTGCCCACGTCTCTGTGAGCCAGAGAGGGGTTCAGCGCCAGACACTGACACTCGGCCGGGAGGTCCTCTGACACCGGGCGGCCAGCTCGTCGTCCCTCGGGGGGCGCAAGGACGCCCTCGCCGGTGCCCGGACGCCCTCGCCGGCACCCAGGAACTCAACTGTGTGCCCGATCCCCGGAGCCACCATGTCTTTTTATCGTTTTTTTCGATAGTTGGGGGTCCTGGCTGGCGGAAGGGGGCAGCCGGGCTGAGCTTCTGCAGACTCTGGTGCGGGCTCCAGGAGCTGCCGGTACAACCTCCTGGTTTGGACATGTCTGGAGCTCCGAGCTGTTGGTCCCCGACCCACCCCGGCTTCTTTTGTAATCCCAGTAAAGACGGCTCCCGACTTGGCACGTTGGCGTTTGTGGTTTTTCGACGTTCAAAGGGTGCGGAGGGGACACGCGTCCAGCAGGAGCTGGGCTTGGAGATCTTGGTCGTTCCCCGGCTGGTGGGGCATGGTCCTGGGGGGCTGGCCCGGCACCGGCTGTCGATAAACGGCACACGCCACTTGCACGCGGTGCGGGTTTTCTGTTACATGACATTGCCCGGCTACAGGCTGATGTCAGTGAGCTGAATCCAGTCAAGGTTGTGCTAAACACATTCAAGGTTGTGCCGAGTCTTTTCGAGGTTGTGCTGGACCCATTGGAGGATGTGCTGAACTTGTGAGGTTGTGCTGAACCCATGTGAGGTTGTGCTGAGTCTATTTGTGGTTTGCTAAACCCATTTGAGGTTGTGCTGAACCCATTTGAGTTTGTCCTGGGTCCATTCGAGGTTTGCTGAACCCATTTGAGGTTGTGGTGAACACATTTGAGGTTGTGCTGAGGCCATTTGAGGTTGTGCTGAACCCACTGGAGGATGTTCTGAACTCATGTGAGGTTGTGCTGAACCCATGTGAGCTTGTGCTGAACACAGTGAGGTTGTGCTGAGCCCATGTGAGGTTGTGCTGAGCCCATGTGAGGTTGTGCTCAGTCTATTTGAGGTTTGCTGAACCCATTTGAGGTTGTGTTGAACACATTTGAGGTTGTGCTGGACCCATTGGAGGATGTTCTGAACTCATGTGAGGTTGTGCTGAACCCATGCAAGGTTGTGCTGAACCCATGTGAGGTTGTGCTGAGCCCATGTGAGGTTGTGCTGAGTCTACCTGAGGTTTGATGAACGCATTTGAGGTTGTGCTGAACCCATTTGAGTTTGTCCTGGGCCCATTCGAGGTTTGGAGAACCCATTTGAGGTTGTGCTGAACCCACTGGAGGATGTTCTGAACTCATGTGAGGTTGGCTGAACACATTGAGATTGTGCTGAGCCCATGTGAGGTTGTGCTGAGCCCATCATTCATCATCCATCCATCATGCATCATCCATCCATCATCCATCCATCATCCATCCACCATCCATCCATGATCCATCATCCATCCATGATCCATCATCCATCCACCATCCATCCATGATCCATCATCCATCCATGATCCATCATCCATCCATGATCCATCATCCATCCATGATCCATCATCCATCCATCCATGATCCATCCACCATCCATCCATGATCCATCATCCATCCATGATCCATCATCCATCCACCATCCATCCATCATCCATCATCCATCCATCATCCATCATCCATCCATCCATGATCCATCATCCATCCATCCATGATCCATCCATCATCCATCCATGATCCATCATCCATCCATCCATGATCCATCCATCCATCTATCCTCCATCTAATCTACCCTCACTTCCTCTCTCTGCAACTAAACTAAAAAAGTCAACGCAGACCAGTCTTGAAAATCCCCTGAGCTGACGAAACAGACCAGTCACACAAGCAGAGCATCAGTAGCTTATTTCCCACACCTCCCTTGACCGGATCTATCTCACTGACACCCCTGCAGTCCTTGAGAAACCCTCGCCCTCCCCACGGCGGCGGGGGAGTAACCACCGACTCATTCCGCATCGTCCCAGACAAGCTGACACTTCAATCCATCGCTCTGAGGAACAGACACTCGCTGCCTCACTACCACCCCCTGTTCCCCCCACAGCCTCCCCACACGGGTGGATCCAGAGCCCCCCTCTGCAGACTCCGTCCTTGGGGTGTGCTGGGTCGACTTTCCTGATTCCCGCTCAGGGGACCCAGCGGTTCTACTTTGACCACTTGGGAACATTCACCTTCTCTCTGCTCCCAAGTCAGCCCCGCGCCCTCGGGCTGTGCCGGGGGGACCAAGCCAACCATTTGAAGGTGACACGGCCTTGACAAGATGGCCTCTTGGGAGGGTCAGCGTGGCCAGATAAGGAGCTGGCTGTGCTGTGCCTGCCACTGTCCTGGTAGCAGCAAGAGAAAACCCTGGAGCTGGAGAAACCGGTCTTTCTCGTTCTGTTCCCGCCTTTCTCGTTCTTATCTCCTCCGATAAGGCAGGGCCCCAGGCAGCTGTGCAGGTGCTGTGTCTGCTGTGTTGGGGTGTTGCTCTGCACCTGGGTGCTGTGTCGGGGTGTTCTCTGCACCTGGGTGCTGTGTTGGGGTGTTGCTCTGCGCCTGGGTGCTGTGTTGGGGTGTTGCTCTGCACCTGGGTGCTGTGTCGGGTGTTGCTCTGCGCCTGGGTGCTGTGTCGGGTGTTGCTCTGCGCCTGGGTGCTGTGTCGGGGTGTTGCTCTGCGCCTGGGTGCTGTGTCGGGGTGTTGCTCTGCGCCTGGGTGCTGTGTCGGGGTGTTGCTCTGCGCCTGGGTGCTGTGTCGGGTGTTGCTCTGCGCCTGGGTGCTGTGTCGGGGTGTTGCTCTGCGCCTGGGTGCTGTGTCGGGTGTTGCTCTGCGCTTGTGAAACGGGGATGGAGGCAGCAAGCAGGTGGCCCGTGAGATGGGGCTGCCCTGGACCCATGACAGCTGGGCCGCCCCCGGCCTGCGGGGTTTTCCCGAAAGCGCCCGTGTTTTCCTGGCCGTGGGCAGCGCTGTCATCCGGGACGCGGCTTTCTGCCGGGGAAGCAGAAACGGGTGTGGGTGTGCGAGGGCACGGCCGTCCCGCGGGCTCCTGTGCAGTCAGCACTTTGTCCAGGCTTCCAGGACAGCGGTTGTTCTGGGAGGACAGAAGTTCTTCGGGGGGACAGAGTCCCTCCCAGGAGGACGCAGACCCTGCCAGGAGGCCAGAGTCCCTTCCAGGAGGACAGAGTCCCTCCCAGGAGGACACAGACCCTCCCAGGAGGACACAGACCCTTCCAGGAGGACAGAGACAACTTCTAGGAGGACACAGACCCTCCCAGGAGGCCAGAGTCCCTTCCAGGAGGACAGAGTCCCTCCCAGGAGGACAGCAGCTCCCTCCAGGAGGACAGACGTCCCTCCCAGCGCCGGAGCTCCCCGGGCGCCCCGGGAGCAAGTGGACACAGCCTCCGGCAGGTGAGTTGGGGGTGGTGGTGGGCTTGTTCCTCTTGAGGTGGACACAGCGGCGGGGCTCCCTGGGGGCCAGCCCCCGTTCCTGGCCCTGGACGCAGCGCTCGGGCAGGGGACGTGAGCTCCAGCCAAGCTCTGCTCCCCCTTCTGCCCCGTCCTCCCTCCTCCGCTATCCCCTTCTGGAATGGGGGGCTCTTGGCACCAGTGTCCACCCCCTGCTATCCGGCTCAGGAGGGCGAAGTCAGGATTCCGCCTGGGTGGTGTGTCCAGGACGTGGACGTGGCAGGGGGCGGGGCAGGGGCCTGCAGGGGGCGGAGACCCTCCACCTTTCCTTGTCATCAGCTCATCACCACCTTCTCCTCTCCGCTTCTGCTCCTTGTCCCTCGGCCATCCCAGGGGCCAGACCCTCCACTTCGGCCGGCCCTCCTGCCCCAGGGCAGGGCCGAGCACCCGGGAGGTCACCTGGCCAGGCCATCCCCTGGAGTTGCCATTCCCCGGCTCCGCCCCGGGAATCTGGACTCTGGAGCTGTGACCCCAGCGACCTTCCGTGTCCAGTGAGCGTTGTTGACAGCGGCTCCGAAGCAGGACTCCTTGCTGCGGGCCTGCTATTTTGGGGTGCCCATCCCACGCGGCCCCAGGCCAGCTCAGCCAGATCCCCCTGACGCGGCTGTGTCTCTCGCTGCAGGGATTCTGGGCTCCGGGGCGCGCAGGTGCCGGGGAGGCTCCGCGGCGCCAGCTCTGGCCCGGCGGGTGGGGCGCCGCGCCCCTGGGAGTTCTGTGCAGCAGGGAGTGGCCTCTGCGGCGGGGACCGAGCGTCTTGGCCGGGATCGGCCGGGACTTGGAGCACAGCACAGAGGGGACTGTCTTGCGGGCTCCTGGGGCCGGCTCCAGCGGGGGGCCGGGGCGCAGACACCACCCAGGGGCTGCTTGGCCCCACGCTCTGCTGTGTTCTCTGCAGTGGGCCTCAGGTGCGTCCCCCCAGAGCCCCGGGGGCCTCTTCTCTGCTGAGGGGGCAGCACTGGCAATGCTGCGGGCGGAGATGCCGCGCCTCGGTCTGCGGACGGAGGGCCCCGCTGCCCAAAATCACCTCTTTTTCTCTCCAGGACCTTTCAGGGCAGCTCAGCGGCGCCTGGGAGCGCGGGATGGAGCTCAGGTAAGGGCAGCCACGGCTCCGAGGCCCCCGGGGGGCCCCCGACTTGGTGCAGAGTCTGCAGGGCTCCCGTCTGTCCGGCGGGGACCAGAGGCCGTCCGCATGGACACTCTGGACCGGAGTCTGAAGGAAATGAAGTGGGTTGCAGCCCCGGGGACGTGGCAGAAGGTGTCCGGAGGCCGAGCCCAAGCTTCCCCGAGCACATGAGACGCTTTTGCAGGACAGTACTTGGCGCTGGGGAGCTGCGGGCATGGAGCTGAGGCCACAGAGAAGTCCAGCCTTGGAGGGGGGAATTTGGGGGGCCCTAAGGGCTGCAGTGCACTCAAGGCATGACGGGTCTAAACTCGCCTGCCCGCCGTGCCAGGAAATCGGGGTCCTCCGGGTCTTGCCGAGGCTCCAGGGTTGCGTGCCTAGGCCTGGCCTCTGTGGGCATCCCTGTGCCGACTCCTGACGGCCGCGGCAGCGCAGGGACGGGCAGGTGCAGCCGGGCGACCCCCTGGAGACATTCCAGACACCGGCCTCCGCGCCGGGCACCGCGTGGGCAGCACAAGCCGTGATGTTTGCTTTCAGGAGCCTCTGGCTGTCCCTGTGCGCTCTCGGGGCGCTCCTGCCCACGTGCCGGTCACAAGGGGCCGGGGACGAGAGGCCCAACATCGTCCTCTTCATGGTGGACGACCTGGGCATCGGCGACCTCGGCTGCTTCGGCAACGACACCATAAGGTTCGTGTCCCTGAGTCCGGCCGGTCAGGCTCCGGGGAGGGGGAGACGCAGAGACGCAGAGGCAGAGACGGAGGCGGAGGAACGGCTCCTCTGTCCCTGTGGTGCCCGAGCGCGGGGCCCGGAAGCTGGCCGTGGCCTTGCGGAGGTCTGTAAGTCGGTCATCAACCTCAGCGAGTCCGGCTGGGGCCATGTCTCTGCTTATTTCTGTCTCTTTCTCTGCGTCTCCAGGACCCTCTGCCTCTCTCTCGCTCTGTCTCTCCATGTCTCTGCCTCTGCGGCTCCAGCTCCGCCTCACACCCCTCCTGTCCCCCCAGGACGCCCCACGTGGACCGCCTGGCCCGGGAGGGCGTGCGTCTGACCCAGCACATCGCGGCCGCGTCCCTGTGCACCCCCAGCCGGTCGGCCTTCCTCACCGGGCGGTACCCCATCCGATCAGGTGCGGCAGGCTGCCGAGGGGTCCCTGCAGGGGTCCCAAAGGCTACCCTGGGCTGCGCGCTGGGTCACTCTGAGCCCCGGGGTGCCCCTGAGCGCCCTGGAGCCTTTGTGAGCTCACACTGTGCGCACCCTGCCTGCGCTCCGGGTGACCCCCCATTTGGCACAGTCCTCACCCCCAGGGTGCGCCCAGGGCTTGGGCTGCGCCTGCTGAGTTGTCAGGAGCGCAGCTGGGGCGCGCAGGGGGCGTGCGCAGGGAGGTGGATCGGGGCTCTGTGGGGGCTCTGTGCGCGTTTGCGGGGCGCACGTCCATCCTGCGCGCGATCCCCCCTACGTGTCCGGGGAGGATGAGGCACCGTTGGCCCCGGAGCTGGGCTTAATCGCGCCCAATATAAGCTGAATGGTGCGGGCCCCAGATGTGCCCGGGCGGGGGTGTGGGGGGGCTAAAGTCCCGGGGCGCACCGGCTCCAGCCTGCCCCCCGGGAGCCCTCGGGCGTCTCGGTCCTCGCGACCACGCGATCGCTGCATCACGCCCGGACGCTGAGGCCCAGCCGGCTCCGGCCAGCCCTTCCGCGGGCGTCTCGGCTCCCACTTTCAGCCATGGAAGGCCTGGGCGGGGCGGGCTGGGGTGAGCTCCCTTGGGGACCCCACTCCTCCGGGCCGGGGGTCCGGGGGATGCTCTCGCATGCGTGTCGGTCGCCCCACCTCCCGGCCAGAGGTCCCCGTGCGCTCCAGGTGCGCGCGCCACCCCTCTCCACCAGGCCCCCACCCACCCCCGCGCACCCCCTCACCCCCACCTGCCTCCCCGCCCGGGCTCCCTGCGCGCTCTTGGCACCCGGCTCTTCTTACGCTGCGGCTTCCCTCCCGCGCCCAGGCATGGTGTCCAGCAACCAAAACCGCGTCATCCTGCACGTCAGCGTCCAGGCCGGGCTCCCTCGGAACGAGACCACCTTCGCGCAGCTGCTCCGCGCGCAGGGCTACAGCACGGCGCTCATCGGTAGGGCCCGTCCCGGGCGCTGACCACACACACCTGGACACACCCCGACACGGGCGCGCGCGCACACACCCCTTCCCACGCGGGAGGACCGAGGCGCGGTCACCTCGGCACCTGAGTCCGACCCCTCAGGTCTCGCCAGAATCGCTTTCCTGCGCCCCTGCTCCCCGGGGCGTCCTGCTCCTACATGCTCCTCCTCCAGACCCTGGACTCCTCCACCTCGGCCTCTGGCCGGACTTCACAAACATCATGGGGCCTCCTTGGCACGCACGCAGCTCCCCTCATCCTGAACTGGCCTTTAGGGGTGTCGGGTTTGGAGCCCCTACATATGTCAGGCTGTCGCCCCAAGGAAACCCATAAAAATGTCTGTTGCTGTGTCTGTCACCCTGACCAAGATGAGGACTGGGCATGTGGGCTCACAGAGTGGCCATCGGCCACCTGGCTGCCCGTGCTCCATCTCACCTGACTCCTCCTCTGCTGGCCACCGGGAGACCCCTCTGGGCTGTGACACTGTCCCTGGCTCTGCATTACCATGAGGAGACTTTGCTTGTCAACATCCATCCAGCATCTGTGCAGGGTTCTTGCTGTCTGTCCATCCACCCATCCAGTTACCTGTCATCTAAGCATCTGTCCATCCACCGTCCATCTTCTACATATCATTTATCATCTGTGTACCTGTGTATCCCTCCATCCCTCCATCCTCCATCCATCCTCTATCATCCTTCCTCTATCCATACATCCATCACGTATCATCCATCATCCATCCATCATCCATCAATCATCTACCATCCATCCATCATCCATCCATCATCTACCCATCATGCATCATCCATCCATCATCCATCATGTATCATCCATCATCCATCCATTATCCATCCATCCTCCATCCATCCTCCATCCATCATCCATCCATCCATCATCCATCATGCATCATACATCAATCATCTACCATCCATCCATCATCCATCCATCATCTACCCATCATGCATCATCCATCGATCCATCCATCCATCATCCATCATGTATCATCCATCATCCATCCATCATCCATCCATCCTCCATCATGTATCATCCATCCATCATCCATCATCCATCCATCATCCATCATCCATCCATCACCCACCATCCATCTATCATCCATCCATCATCCATCCATCATCCATCCATCATCCATCATCCATCCATCTATCATCCATCATCATCCATCCATCCATCCATCCATCCATCATCTTATCTATCTATCTATCTATCTATCCATCTACCTACCTATCTACCTGCCTACTATCTATCTATGCACTTTTGTGTGTCCCCACCTACCTCCCTACCCATCACCTGTGACCCGTCCCCCGCAGTCTCTCCTGGACCTGCATCTCACCCTGTCTCTGTGGCTATAACTTCATCCTTGTCACGAATGACAACCTGCCCACTGCCCATCCTCGCCACAAACACAATTGTATTTTGCCCCCTTTATGTTCACACCACTCTGCCTCCTTACAAGCACATCCTTTTTTTTCCCTTAAGATTTATTTATTGATGCACACAAGAGCTGGGGTGCAGGCCAGAGGTGTGGGGGTGAGAGGACTCATCAGAGAGAGAGAGTGGGGAGCAGAACAGGCAGATCCACTGAGACCCACTGCTGAGGGGAGCAGCAGGGAGACAGGAGAGGTCTGCTGTGCCATGTGAGTCAGCTCCCTGGTGGGGGATCAAACTCATGCTGCGGACAGCTTCCTAGGTTGCACCTTAACCCCTTGCACCACCAGGGAGGCCCCTTACGAGCACATCCTAAAGCCTCTGCACTCGGCGCTGTTCCCTTTCTGCTTGCTCCCTCCCAGGCAAGTGGCACCAAGGCTTGAACTGCGAGTCCCGCAGCGACCACTGCCACCACCCGCACAACTACGGCTTCGACTACTTCTACGGCACGCCGACCACGCTCTTCGACGAGTGCTGGCCCGACCCGTCCCGCGGCACGGAGCTGGCGCTCTCCAAGCGGCTGTGCCTGTGTGTGCAGCTGGCAGCCCTCGCCGCGCTCACCCTCCTGCTCGTGGGCAAGTGGAGCCACTGCCTGGCCGTGGCCTGGCCCTTCGTCCTCCTCCTGGTCCTGTTAATCGCCCTCCTGTCCTACGCGTGGTTCTCCAGCCTCACGTCCAGGCTGTACTGGAGCTGCCTGCTCATGCGCCAGCACGAGGTCACGGAGCAGCCCATGAAGGCGGCGCGCACCGGCTCCATCATGGTGCGGGAGGCGCTGGCATTTCTTGAAAGGTAGAGGCGCTTCCAAAGAAGGGGTGCGCGCACCCCAGCGCCTGAGCCCAGAAGCGGCCATCACCGGCACCGCGGTGGGGGGGGGGTCTGGGCAGGACGGAGACGGCTGCAGACCCGCGGTGTCTCCCAGGCAGGGCCGCAGAGCTGCCGTCTTGTTGGCGGCTGCTATGAAAGTCAGACTCTCTTTGTTGACCCAGAGACCCGCACTCGCTCCAACTGGGGTTCGGGCTTGGGTATCCGTGCATGTGACCGGCTCCGGGGGTGATAGGGGGAGATATTCGCCAGGGAAGGAGGAGCTGGGGCTGCTTCCCTTCTCAGCCGGGCAGTGCCCACAAGGGGGCCTCGATGTCTTCCCAGGCACCGCGAAGGCCCTTTCCTGCTGTTCTTCTCTTTCCTCCACGTGCACACGCCCCTGCCCACCTCGGATGAGTTCATCGGCACCAGCCAGCACGGCCTGTATGGCGACAACGTGCAGGAGATGGACTTCATGCTCGGTGAGTGGCCAAGGACCTTCAATAGTTTCGCTTCATGCTTCTCCCGGGAGCTGGTGTGTGCAGCTGTTTTCTAGCCTCAGCCCAGGATGCAGAAAAGACCTAAGATCTTCCACGCTTTTCTGTGAGATAAGCTTCGCATGGGATGGTGTGTCCAGCTGGGGGTGATGTAGGTTAGGAGGAGCAGGGTTTTGGCAAGGAGGCCACTGGGCACAGTGTCCAGATCAGCAGCTGTGCTGGGAGGACATGGGCTCTCGGGAATGGGGAGGGAGGGGGGTGTCCTGAGGGAGAGACGGGAGCAGGAGGAGAGTCTGGGTGGGACCTGTTTGCAGACAGTTGTGGTTGGGATTGTGAGGTGGGGGGGATGTATGAGGACTGCTGGAGGATTGGGTACTCGACTGGGGAGGGAAGGTGAGCGTGGAGGGTGTGAAGCTGTCTAAGAAAGATGAAGATGGAGAGATGATAGATGGCAGAGAGGTGAATGGATGGATGAAGGATGGATGATGGATGGATGATGGATGGATAATGGATGATGGATGGATGGATGGATGGATGGATGGATGGATGGATGATGGATGGATGATGGATGGTGGCTGATGGATGGTGGCTGATGGATGATGGATGGATGATGGATGGATGATGGAAGATGGAGGATGGGTGGATGATGGATGGAGGGATGATGGAAGATGGATGGATGATGGAAGATGGATGATGGATGGATGATGGATGATGGATGGATGATGGGTGGATGATGGATGGATGATGGATGGATGATGGATGGATGATGGAGGATGGATGGATGATGGATGGATGGTGGCTGATGGATGGTGGCTGATGGATGATGGATGGATGATGGAAGATGGAGGATGGGTGGATGATGGATGGAGGGATGATGGATGATGGATGGATGATGGATGAAGGATGGATGGATGATGGAAGATGGATGGATGATGGAAGATGGATGATGGATGGATGATGGATGGATGGATGATGGGTGGATGATGGATGATGGATGGATGATGGATGGATGATGGAGGATGGATGGATGATGGATGGATGGTGGATGATGGATGGATGATGAATGAGGGATGATGGATGGTGGAGGATGGATGGATGATGGATGGGTGATGGACGATGGATGATGATGGATGGATGATGAATGATGGATGGATGATGGATGATGAATGGATGATGGATGATGGATGGATGTGTGGATACGTGGGTGGGTGGATGGATGGATAGAAGGATGGATAATTGGATTGGATTGGGTTAGATGGATGGATTGATGAGATAGATAATGGAAGACTCAATGGATAATTGATTCATAAATTATGAATCTGTAATTTATAGATTATAAATTATAATCTCGCTCCGCATTCTCACTCCACGGACATGAGGTGCTGCTGGGAACGAGGACGAGGTGCCCCGGACTCTTCTTGGGTGTTTGGGTTGTCCATCTCGGGCGGGAAGCATCACCCTGTGTGCCAGGGACATGTGAGCCCCGGGGGGAGGGTTTGCCGAGCTCCCCACATCTCCCCCTTCACCCGACATTCCTCATGGTTATTTCAGGCAAGATTCTCGATGCCCTCGACGGCCTGAATCTGACCCAAAACACCCTCGTCTACTTCACGTCGGACCACGGAGGGCACCTGGAGGCCCGGCGTGGGCACGCGCAGCTGGGAGGATGGAACGGGATCTACAAAGGTGTGGGGGATCTCCTGCCGGGCTTGGGGTGCATCAGCTCTGGGGGTCATAAGGCGAGAATCCAGGACGGGAATGCGGGGGCCGGTGGAGAAGTGATGCGCATCAGAGCACTAACCAAGGAAATGGAGCCCGAATCTGCGCATATTCCAGGGAAGCCCGGGTGTGCTGAATGAGAAGTGGCCTTTCTGGCAGCCCCTGCATGGGAGGGAGAGTGACCCCAGCAGGTAGTGGGGGTTCAGACTCTTTAAAGGAGTCAGACTCCACACGTGCGGTGAACTCAGGAGCGTGTGCGGGAAGATCAGGACGCAGGGAAGAGGTGGGGCTTGCAGAGGCGTTTCCTGGGCTCCTAGGATGCTTCGGTGCCTCTTTCTAAGATAGGATTTGCCCCCCCAAAGTCGCCTCCCGTCCTGGACCCGACACAGCGTTCACGCCACGAACATGCCCTGTCCATCGGGACGCGTGTCCTGGTGCTATAAGCAAATGTTATCTGGAAACCACTGAATGCATCGCAGCGTCGGTGCTGGGAAAGACCTCAGAGTCTTCTCTCGAGGAAAATATTTTCATAATCTGTGCGAGCAGGGCCTGGACGGTCTTGAATCTGGTGAGAACTTTCTGCAGGAGTGGGGCGAGGGTCTCCCCTCCTCCTGACCGATGGAGAGCTTGTGATTTAGGGCTCGGACTGCTATCCTGAGGGCTTAGCAAGCGCAGGAGACCCATAAGGGAAATTGCAATGACTGAAATTCTGTCTCTGCCTACGCGGACTTGAAAAATAGCTCCGATGCTCCGGGCGCTCTGGCTTCAACTTTGCTTTGAGTAACGCAGTGAAATCATGAAAAAAAAAAAAACCCAGTCGCAGGACGACTGTTGGTCCCCCAGGGGGCGTGAGTTTCCTTGGGGTTCACGTCTTTATGGAAGGAGCGCACCAGAAAAAAGAATAAATAATTTCTAGGCTGGGTTAGAAGAGGTCAAGGACTGTGGAAAAATAGAGCAGAAATAAAGATGGAGGAAAAGCGTAGAGAACTACAGGCGTGGTGCCGCCATTTTGTTTTTTGTTCATTGCACATTTTTTTTTATTGAGGTCACATTGGTTTATAACACCGTGTATGATTTGGGGGCTCCGTTTCACACCACCAAGGCAGCCACAGTCTTCCCCCACAGCCCCTGGGGTCCCTCCGCCACTGGTGACCTCAATTCTGTAGATTTCTAGGGTTGGTTTTGAGGGAGCTGGATCCGTTCTTTTGGTTTGTTTCTCTATATTCTGCGTCTGAGAGAAATTATCTGGCATCTGTCTCTCTCCTTCTGACTGATCTCACTCGGCATCATCCCCTCCAGGTCTGTCCACAGTGTCACGACTAGAAAGAGCCCATCTTTTTCATGGCCGAGTAGTATTCCACCATGCGTGTAAAACTGTGTCTTCTTGATCAACTCACCTATTGGGGGGCCCTGAGGTTATTCCCATGGTTTGGTTATTATAAATAGCGCTGCCATGAATGTAGGTGTGCTTGTCCGTGCCCACTAGCGCTTTGGCATCCTTCGGGTCGACACCTAGGAGTGGAATTGCTGGAGCCTATGGCAGATCCATTTTCAATATTTTGACAAGCCTCCACACTGTTTTCCGGAGGGAAAACCACACCCCACCCACATTGTGCAAAGGTTCCTTTATCTCCTCCACATCCTCACCTGTATTTGTTGCTTCTGGGGATGTGCCACTTCAACCAGGTGCTCTGACAGAGCTCACCGAGCAGGTAATTTTGAGCAAAGGTGTGCAGCAGGCCGGGGATGAGGCAGGTGTGTATGAGATATTCTTGGCAGAGACAATGGGCTGTGCCAATGTCCCAGAGCAAATATGATGACTTGTGGAATCAAAAACCTGTGTCTGTGTGTGTGTGTGTCTGTGTGTGTGTGCACTGCTGCCCCATCAGCTGAGCAAATACCATCCGATTGTGCATTTTTAAGTGTGGTTCCCACCTTGACGACAAGAAACTCCAACCTCCCGTCCTCCTCACAGGTGGGAAAGCCATGGGCGGCTGGGAAGGCGGAATCCGCGTCCCTGGCATCGTCCGATGGCCTGGAAAAGTGGCGGCCGGAAGGGACATTGACGAACCCACCAGCCTGATGGATATTCTGCCCACGCTGGCAGCTGTGTCGGGAGCCACGGTGCCGCAAGACAGGTGATGCCTTCACTCTGGGGCGATTCTGGGCACGCAGACTTGGCGTGGACACGGCCGGGGTGTAGGTGGTCGTGCTGCTTCCTTCCAGCTGGCTGTCCAGTTGTCCGTGGCCATTGGCATAACGACGGTCCTTCCTCGGCTGCAGTTCATTGGGCTTTGTCCACTTCTTTCTCCTGTCAGCTTTTGGTGGCTTCCAAGTGCGGGCATCAAAGGGGCGTCCCTCGATGGCACAGGTTTTTCTGAAATGCTTACTGGGCTGCTCTCTGGCCCCTGGACTGGCTGGACACACTGACCGACCTTCAGGGAACCGGGAGGGCTGGCTGTCCTGACTGCATCTCCTCTGTGAATGTCCACAGGGTGATTGACGGCCGGAACCTCATGCCCTTGCTTCAGGGGCACACCAACCACTCAGAACACGAGTTCCTGTTCCACTACTGTGGGTCCTACCTGCACGCCGCCCGCTGGCACCCCCAGAACAGTGAGTGCTCCCGCCTGCTCCCTGTGGATGCCACAGTGGGGTCAGCCCCATCCCCAGGGCTTTCTTCTGCTCACACTCCGGTCCTCCCTTCCAGGGTGGCTGCCGGAAATCACCCCTGTTCAAGCCGTCCTGGTTTATAAGATTATTTAGGATTCAGGTGTGCGTGGTTATAAATCAGCGTCTGTAGATCCTGCGTTGCGTTCACACCAGAAGCAAAAGCGCCACGCGACCGCCTTACCCTCTCCCTTTTGGTAACCGGTAGTTCCTTCTCATACTCGAAAAGGTTGCTTTTGAGTCATTTCATTCATTCGTTCGTTGCTTTCTTTATGCAGCGCAGGTGGGTTCAGATGTCTTGCTCCATCTGAATTATTTCACTCAGCATTATACGCTCTGGACACAAGTCTAGCAGGGTTTCATCATTTTTGACAGCTGCGTAGTATTCCGCCGCGTATTTATGCCTCGTTGGGAGAGCGTCTGAGAGTCAGTGTGCTTAGAGGGACAGGGAGACGCCTTCGCAGGCATCACTTTTGAGGACAAAAAGCAGTCCTGGCTACCAAAGATGGACAAAATTATGTAGTGGGGTGTTCTGACGCCCTAGGGCCGTTCCAAGGATTGAATGCTATTTTGCATACAAGTGCGGGCTGAGAGAAAGACCAGGGAAAAGCTTTAGGAGATGGAAGAACCCAAGGGCCTCTGGCAAGTGGTCTGGCCTCTCTCTGACTGGTCTTTCCTCCCGCAGGTGAGGCGGTGTGGAAGGTCCATTACGTGACCCCGGTGTTCCAGCCCCCGGGAGCTCAGGGTTGCTACCAGACCGCCCTCTGCCAATGCTCAAATAACTCGGTCACCTACCACGACCCCCCTCTGCTCTTCGACCTCTCCAGAGACCCCTCTGAGTCCAACCCTCTGAGGCGGGACACAGAGCCTCTGTACGACCTCGTGATCCAGACGGTGACGGCCGCGGTGAGGGAGCACAGGAAATCCATCACCCCCGTCCGGCAGCAGCTCTTGGAACTGAACAAGGACATCGTGTGGCTGAGGCCGTGCTGTGGGATGTTCCCCTTCTGTCTGTGCGACAAGGAGGAGGGCTCCCCAGGCGTGGGGTGGTAAGGAGGAACAGCAACCGGGGGGCGTCTGTAGCACCCCAGCCGTGATTGCTGAGGCCTCCGAGTCCTGAGCCCCTTTGTGGGGTCCCATGGGTCCATAATTAAATGTCTTTCCTCTGATATTTTTTTTTATTTTGAATTCTTGACGCCAAGAATTCTAAACTATGTGGAATTTGAAAGGGGCCAGAGGTTCGACAAAGGGCTCCACCTCTGTCTCTTCACCTTGGGGTCTGTGCTCCTGACGGTCCCTACAGCTTCTGACACATGCTGGGTCTCGTGCTTTGTGATCCGGGGGCGCCGGCACCTGCGGGTCTTGCTTTCTGGAGCTGGTCGATGACTAGGCTAATCCCTCTCCCACCGCCAGCGCTGGGCATTGTGCGAGCCACACCTCTGGCGCCTCCTTTGCACAAGGCCATCAGGAGGGGAAACCCGTGAGTCCACACAGAGGAGGTGTTTGTTTTCTGCGCCATGGCAACTGCGGAGAAGGAGGCAGGTGTGTTGCAGGTGACAACTCTGCGCCCACCTGGTGCCAGCCAGGTGCCAGCCATGCCCGGGAGCGCCCCTTTCTGCAGCCCCACCTGTCTGCCCCCGTGGTGCCGGCGGCGCCGGGAGGGTGGGGAATAAACGTTCTCGCTGGTGTCTTGAAATTAACCCCGAGGCAGGATTTAAGACGCGCCCCTGGTGGAAAATGGACCCAAACTTTGGCCACTTGTGAGCTGCCCCCGACCGCGGGACCCCCGAGCACCAGACACAGCTGTAAACTGCACCTCAGAGAGCAGGTGTCGGAGCTGGGGGCCCTGGGGTGCGCCGGGAGACTCCGTGCCCCGTCCCTCCGATTCTGCGGGATGGTAAATCTGCTCCCCAGCGTCTGCATGTGAAGAAAACCTTCCTTCCGCCCTCCCACGCCCCAGCTCGTCAGCTCCTTGACGGAACCTTGGTTGCTTGCACCCCGACTTTCTTTTACCCACTGGGGGGCGCTCGGATACAGCCCGACGCCCTAATCCCAGACAACTGTAGCCCCAGCACGTTCCTGTGAGCTCCATGAAGGCCTTGTGTCCCCTCCCATGGGGGTAAATGTTTTCTCCACCTTCCCCGAGGGCTCCCAACGGTTCCTTCGCCGACGCCGGTCTCTCTGCAGGGAACTGGGGCGGGAGGGCGGCTTGGACCGGATTTTTGGTTGGCGCCAGGCCCACACTTTATCTCCCGGGTGGAACTGTTGTCTCCATGAAGGACCACGTCTCGCAGGCTGGCGGGTTTTTGCACACTACAGGCTTTCTCGCTCACCCCGGCCTCAACGGGGCGTCGAGAAGAATCCAGGCGTTGGGGTGAACGTGGAGAGAAGATGCTCTCCCGCTTCTGTGCCGACACCCCCTCGTCCCACGGATGGAAAACAACGGCGCCTGGCCTGAGCGCCTCGGCCGGGTCACCCCAACACAGCGGCCCGTGGAGGTGGGCTCCTGCTGATTCCGTCTTGGGGGTGACGCCTTTGAAGAAACAGCACATCCCCCTGGCGCGGCGTCAGCTCCAAGTCGAGATCTGTACAGAACTTGACTGGGGTGCGGTCGGGGCGCAGGAGCAAATCCTCACCGAGATGTCCAGGCAGACACCGCCCCCGCCCCAGCCTCCGGCCGGTTGGGTTTGTGAACACAGCGGAGACGCAGCCGGCCGGAGCCGTGGGGTGAAGGCTCCTGGGTGCTGGGCTGTGTCCAGCTGCGTCCAATGAAGCCGCTGGCTCCGTGCACTGGGTGCTAAGATTGAGGTCAGGCCCCAGACCCTGGCCAGGGCTCCAGTCCCATCAGCAGATGTGCACGGATCAGCTCTGGGGTCCCTTGTCCAGCTTCGGTCGAGGCCTCGGGCGTTCCTGGTCACACCACGGGAGGCCGCCCCTGCCAGGTGACCACTTCTGCTCGTGATGGCCTGAGCGGCACCTGCAGGGTCGGGCTCCCGTAGCTGAGTGACCTGCGCAGGGACGCAGACCCACAGGTGGCGCCCCCAGGGGCCAGCAGGCCGGCGGGGATGCGCAGAGCTACAGACGAGGGCAGATCTCGGAAGAGCTTGGGTTCCGAGCTGCTGTTCCCGAGAACCCTGCTGTGTCCTCAGGCGCCCTGTCGCCCGATCCACGGACCATGGAGCCGGCAAAGATCCCGACCCTTTCTTCAAGCTCGAAGGACACCCCTGTTTCTTCTGGGCAGGGCTTGAATCAGGGACTGAGTGTCACCCCAGAGAGAAGCGGAGGTGTCAGCTGAAGGAGCGAGCCCAGAGTCTGCATGGAAGGAGCCAAGTCGTTGCAGACCCTCAGGTGCTCAAGCCTCCTCCGTCTTTGGTCTGACAAATGATAACCTAAGCGTGTCCGTGTCTCCTTGATTTCTGACGAGGGTGGGTTCGGCGCTTCGTGGGGTTCAGTGCACAAGGGTAGGGGCGGACCCCATCTTCCATCACCTGCTGGAATTTCAAGATGGCGCCAGGAGGCCATTTTGGGTGGAGACTGGAGTCCGTGGGGCAAGACAGAGCCGGGGTCAGGAAGGGCGTCGGTGAGAAGAACCAGCTTCTGGGGGCGGGGACTCTGTTTAGCAAAATAAAAATGAAAACTCTTGAGATTTGCTTGACAAATCTTTGCAATCAATAACAGGAGCCCCACTGTTAGCACGGCGGAGGCAGCCTCGGAAGAATTTTTGGGGGGCGGGAGGGAGCTTCCACGTTGCTCAAACCTGGCCCCTGCAGCCAGCCCGCTAGACACCTCTCTGGCCCCCGAAACAGCAACAGAAATATCATTTCCGAGGGAGAGCAGGTGTCCAGGTGCACGTCGACGTCAGTGGAATAAGCGCCTGCTGGGAAAGTGTAGGCAAAAGAAGGGTTTTTCAAGATGGCCTTGCAGGAAAAACAAGGGATAAAGGAGCGAGAAGCACACGCTGGGGCAAGGAGAGAGTCTAAGCGTTGAGGGAAGCGTCTCACGGAGGTGGCTGGACAGCTGGGCTTGGCCTGGCGCCAGCGGCTCCGAGACGGCCCTCTGCCATCCCCCCTGGGCAGCGTGAGCCTGGACGAGGTGTGCAAGACTGAAACTAGCAAAGATGCAGTGTGGACCACACACTTGGGTGGGACTCGGGGTCTGTCCACGCCGGTCCTGGTTTGGGTAAAATTCAGTCAACACTCCCAGCTTGGAGATGCTCAGGATCCCCCCGGCTGCTGGCGCGGGGCAGAGGTGGACCCAGTCTCCCTCATCACAGGCCACCGCTTCTCCTAAAAGCACGTGGAAGTCCCACGCCAGTGAAGAAGAGTCTTCCACGTGCGCCAAGTAGCACCCCCAAGCTGGTCCTTGGAAACAAGGGGATCGACTCAGAGCGTGAGCTGCGCAGCTCAGGCCCAGCTACGGGCTTGAGCTGTGAAAGGAAACTGTAAAAAGGTGGGGAAATTGTGGCACACATGGCTGTGCTATAAACCATAGCGTGTCAGTGACCTCGACCGAAGGCAGGAGGGAGTCTTTAAACAGTGAAGATGAAATTCAAGTCGGGTCACACAAAGAGCCAGCCACGGCGAGTTGTACTCGGAGCGGACGTGTATAAATTTAATCAGAGCCCCCGGCGGAGGCACAGCCAGAGCCTCGGGCGTGGTGGATGCAATCTCGACTCACTTGTTGCTTTGCAGAGAGACACGGAAGCATTTGTTGAGTCCAAACGGAGTCACAGCTGAGCTGGCTTCACCGCCGCCGGCCCTGATCTCTTCCCGCAGGGACAGGCGTGCGGACTCTGCACAGACGCAGCACGTGTTGTGCAGAATGGGGTGGCTGGTAGGCGTCAGTCATGAGGTCCGCGGAGTAAGTTGGGGAAGTGATGGGAAGTTACAGAAGCTGGACAGCTAGGTGGTGGGTAGGTAGGTAGACAGGTCCATAGATGATAGGTCGATACATGTATATAGATGATAGGTAGGTAGGTAGGTAGATGATAGGTAGGTAGATGGGTGAATGGCTGGATGAAGGAAAGATTAGATGGATGAAAGGATGAAAGTTTACATGGATAGGTAGTTAGGTAGACAGGCGGATGATTGGATAAATGAACATGGATGGATGGATGGACAGTGGATGGATGTAAGATTAGATAGATAGATGACAGATATATAGATGGAAGATATATAGATGGAAGATAAGATAGATAGATAATAGATAGGTAAATGGATGGATGGATGGATGGATGGACAGTGGATGGATGTAAGATTAGATCGATATATAGATGAAAGATTAGATAGATGATAGGTAGATAGGTGAATCGGTGGGTGGAAGGAGGAAAGATTACATAGATAATAGATAGGTGGACAGATAGATACATGGATGGATGGATGGATGGATGGATGGGTGAGTGGATAATAGATACACAGATAGATAGATGGAAGATTGGATGGATGAATGGACAATGGATAGATGTAAGATTAGATAGATAGATAGACGACAGATATATAGATGGAAGATAAGATAGATAATAGATAGGTAAATGGATGGATGGATGGATGGAGGTAATATTAGATAGATAATAGGCAGATAGATACATGTTGGATGGATGGATGGATGAATGGATGGATGGATGGGTGGATGGACAGTGGATGGATGTAAGATTAGATAGATGATAGATATATAGATGGAAGATAAGATAGATAATAGGTAGACAGGTAAGTGGATGGATGGATGGAGGTAACATTAGATAGATACTAGAGAGATAGATAGATAGATAGATAGATAGATAGATAGATAGATAGATAGACAGATAGTTAGATGCATGGATGGACGGATAGGTAGGTAGATAGATTACAGGTAGGTAGATGTCTGAAAGGATGGATGAAGGAAAGATTAGATAGGTAGATGGATGGATGGATGGAAGATTGGATGGATGGACGGATGGATGGATGGGTGGATGGACGGTGGATAGATGTAAGATTAGATAGATGATAGATATATAGATCGAAGATAAGATAGATAGATAATAGGTAGACAGGTAAGTGGATGGATGGATGGAGGTAAGATTAGAT